GAAATCTCGTGCCCGAAATTCATTTTCAGTGGGTCCAACCGGTTTCTCTCGGAATACCGAAAGCGATCGGTTCGCCATCCGTATCCGCGGGATCGAAATTCAATCGACGAGAGTTTGAACCAACAACGACTCGTTCAATTGATTTCGGCCTTCACAATGCAACGAATCTGCTTTCACGCGATTCGCATTCATCGTGTATGTGTGTGTGCGTGTGCGTGTGCGTACAGAATGATTTGTCGGTGGAATCGGTAGGCACACGTTTCAATGCGATTTCGAAGCGAAAAATTACTCCACGCGAAAGGACATTTTCCACGGATACCTTTCACCTCGTTTTGCTCTTTGATTTCACGTATACGCGTGCCTCTGCGACGCATTCTCGATCGGAAGAACGTACTTTTGCCGCTTGTTGTCGACGAATCTCGAAAATTGTTGACCCAGTCTTATTGGAATTATCATTGTTAGATGTTTAAATATTGCAACTGAATAGACTGGTTAGCAAGAGTTGTAATTTACAGAAATATAATTATATATTTATATTTATAATATATAATATAATTATATATTTATATTATAAATATATAATTATAAATTATAATTAATATTTATATAATTACAAAAAAATAATTTACAAAAATACAATTATATATTTATTTTGTAATTACAAAAAAATAATCATATGTTTATTTTATATATTTTATAAATATATTATGAAAGTATATAAAAATTCGAAATATGTAATTTACTGTAAATGTGAAATAGACAAATTGAATTCAATTACATTTATTAATAAAGAGAGGCATATGGAATTTTGAAAAATTTGAAAAATTTGAAATATGTAATCATGCGTATAATTTATTATAAACGTGGAATAGACAAGTTGAATTCAGTTACGTTTACTAATGAACAAGAGAGATATGTGGGAAGCAGTACGTACATACTCCCATTATAGAATGAGAACTTTGCATGGTAGATATTCCCATTCTCAGGAAGAGAACTTTGCATGGTATTTACAGCGCGTGCAGTGTCAAATGTCAACCGTTTAATTACATTTTAAGCGGCAATTAACGGTTCGAAAAACACAGATGCAGCATTTAGTACAGAGAACTGACATTTCTATTTCTATTATCCGGCATAGATAAAATTCTCTAACTCTGTATCGCGCAGATTGCGTGACATTTATTGCGCGTGATATTAAATTAAAAGGCACCATTGACTTGAGAAAAATCTCGAATGTTCTCGAACGGTAAATTTGTTGTCTAAGAATCATAAATTAACTTTAAATTTAAAAATAATAATTATAATAAATTAAATTTAAATTTAATAATAATAATTATAATAAATTAAATTTAAATTTAATAATAGGCAAAGTAAGACAGAGTTTTTTTATCTTCGGTCGAAAAAGCGTAAATACGAAGATAAGAAAAATGAATTCATCTTGAATGAGATCCAATCTAGAATCTTTTCTATTATCTTCTGTCAAGACGAAGCTATCAGCAAATTTGTTAAAGAAAGAAAAAAAAAAAAAGAAATCTAATTGAATAACAAGCAAGTTGCAACAATGCGTGAATAATGGACATCCTGATTTATATTCGAAAATTTTCTTTCGTTATCGCGTAAGGAACATGCAACGTAGAAATTACGCATTGAATAATTCATTAATATCCACATTCACTCTTCGTACCTTTCATAATTTTAAGAAAAGCATCGCCAACAACCTTGTGGATTCGTCGCGAGTAAAAAATTCCACTTGTATCGAATAATTGTATCGAACGACATTCTCGAGTGAAAAAAAAAATTAAACGTCGAATGCAAAACGATGCAGAAGTAAAAATCTTCGTCTTTCCCTAACTCTTCAGCTAACAAGAAAAATACATATGCAGAATGTTTTCAGCTAACAAGAAAAATACATTTGCCGACAGCAGAGCGAAAGATTTATTTCCATTCTTTCCTATAATTTTCTCTAGAAAAAAAAAAGAAAAAAAAGAAAAAGAAAAAAAAAGAAAAAGAAAAAATGTCTTTCATCCAAGAAACGTCTTCTCCGCAAACTCTCACGCGCAAATGCAGTTACACTGTTCTAGCACTCGAAAGCAAAAGACGATCACGACGCGCCAGCAAAAGTGGATAACTGTACTGAAAGGCAGCCGGTTAGAAAAGGTGGCATAAAGAGTTCCGGTGGGACGTGTCGCCTGAGCCTACGTCTTAATTGAATGTCGTACGACGACAAAATCGTTGTAATACCAGCGACCGGCGAACACGAAGAAACAAACAAGGCGAATTACACGATCGTGTCCACACTGGCAATGCCAATATAATGTGGAAACGTCGTACTCGCCTGTTGGTTGCATTGTTTCAAAATTCAAGCCAGCTTGTTTTTTGTTGTACGATACATTTATGATAGAAACGAGTGATCTATTTCCACGAGGAATTATTAATTTGTGAAATGGAAAAGCAACCACCTTTGTGAAATCACAAATCTGGGTTTTCGATTTTGTCGAAAAAAATCTGGGAAATTTAATCCTTTGAGTGCTAGAAAAATAAGCTCGTCACATGGACGCGTATATATGAAAATAAATTTTTCATGACTTTTAAAAGTTTAAAAAAATAAGCCATGTGGGTTATACATACTCAGGAAAATAAATTTCATAAATCATGGCTCTTGGAAGCTCAAAAAAATAAACTCATCATGACTTATGAGCGCATATATGTGCTCAGAAAAATAAACTTATCATAATCCTTGGGAGCTCAAAAAAATAAGCTTATCACGGTCTATGAGCGCTCAGAAAAATAAAATCATCACCCTTAAAAGTTCAAAAAAATTATCTCGTCATAGCCATATGTGGGTGCATATATGTGCTCAGAAAAATGAATTTTTCATGGACGTTCAATAACGATGGCGCCATATGTTGGACAAATCGATATAACTTTCGTGATTAATGATCTTGCCAATGTGCATGAATAGGACTGCCGATGGTAACGAAGTGAAACGAGAAAGTAAACAATCGTCGAAGACAAAACGTGTCTCTGGATCACGCGTCGAGATTTCGAACAAAAGATACGGTGGGCGTCCCTGCCACTTTCTTTCCCACGAAACAAAAACTTCGTATCATTTAACGACCAAACGATACAGACGTTCGCTCGTCATGCAAGATTATCCGCAACTCACGGATCTATCCCGATGAAATCTAGGGAGCCAGAACCGCTACGCCACTTGTTTTTTGCTTTAGCAATTGAATCAGTGAATCGAAGGACGGAGATTGGACGCTGGTTTCGAACGAATTGGAAAATATTTCGGGTTTCTAAAATCATTAGTTCGAAATGTACAAACATTATTTATATATAAATTTAATATATATTATAATAATATAAATATATTATAATATATATAATATATTATAATTATAATTATAATAATTATAATAATATATTTTTATATATATTATATTTAATATATATAAAAAATATATTGTTATTATAAATAAGATAAATTTATTATATATATAATAAATAAATATAAATTTTAATTATATATATATAATATAATATATATATTTATACATATATAATATATGTATAATTATATATTTATATATATATAATAGATATTTAAATAAATATAAATTTTAAGTTTTAAATAATTTTAGTTAATGTTCAATAATCAATAAAATAGTTGAAAAAAAATCGTGCAACGAGTTTTAAGGGGTTGTTATAAAGGGGAGACATTAATCTTCAAAATGACGGTGACTAACGCTATAAAATGAGATAAAGTGGATCTTTTTTTTTACGAACTTGCCACTAGCATATGCCACTTTGAAATCGATAATTTTCCATTGTCATTGACACAATTATACGCTCCACTGTAATTATCGTTTATACTTGTTGCACCAATTTCGTAATTTCAGCCATAAAATTGATTAAATGCCATGCTACTGATCGTACGCATTTGTAACGTGAAGCGGAGAGAAACAAAGGGAAGAGGTGCAAAAACAGCGAAAGTTGAAGTAGCTATCTATTCATTACCGCGATAAAAGTCGAGAAATAATGGTACTGTGAGATCGAGATCGTTCGACGAGAGCCATTCGACCAGAATCGTCACGGTGAAAACCCGATGACTGTGCTCCACCGTGGAAGATTTCGTGGCGACTTTGATCCCTAATCAGCATGTTACTATGAACATAATACGCCGCGTAAGTGGCAGGTTAGGGTTAATAGACTCCGTTGTCAGACGGAATAATTTGCAGAGTTTCTGCAGCCGCTGAAAAGCTGGCAATTTCCATTACCGTAAGTCATCAGCAAGATCGGCCACAATGCAGGTGTACACGATAATTACACGTCAGTTAAGAACGTTATCCGTTACTCCTTAGCAGCGAAGATGGTTTGATGGACTGAAGATTGTTGATAAAACGGACCATGGTTCATCAGCGTCTCAATAATTTTATTTGATACGCACGAAACTCTGCGACGCGAGTCAAGGGTAATTATACGAATTGTACATGCTACTCATACCACCAGCTCTAGATTTCGTCGAGCACCTTGCCAGCTAGCTCTAACAACCGTTAACAACATCGACGTTCGATATTGATATCGAAAACAGAGTTCGAACAGAAGAATATTGGTCAACGAACGCAGTCGCTAATAAAGGAAACCCCGCACGTATCGAGCTGACGAGACGAATGTATCGGCGGCGTGCGATTCACGCCGCAATCTACCGCTAGCTGTTTCATTTGGTCGTCGATCCGATACCGTACGGCGGCTAACAAACGGCTTGCATACAAATTCATCGGGTCTTGACAAACGAAACTATGCCGCGCTCAAAGTGTTATACCGTTGTACTCTCGAGCACATGAGACCGTCGTGTCTCAATGATCTCACTCGAGGCGAGCCGCGTCTTTCACTCAATCGGCGAACAGACCGCCAAAAGAGACGATTTCCCTTGGCTAAACTGAGAGTATCGTCGAACGAAGCAGGCTCTGTTAATGGACAAAGAATCAGAGACCTCTCACCATTTTTGTCTGTCATCGAAGACGTGGAAGCGGTCGAAGCTTCCTCAGGCACGTCCACCGCTCGTTCCTCTTTGCCAGAAACGATCCCCTCGATATTTCCCTCCTCGAGTTCCTGCACCTTCGATTTCAACGCCTCGTCGTTCTTACTGTAAAGATCGTCGATCTTTTTCCACTCCGGCGAGTTATTGTCCGCCTCCGTAGCGAATCCCTCGAGGCTGGCTATATTTCGAATATCGGGCACCAGGGTCTCCTCGTCGTCCTCTCTTATCCGCCATTTGGCTCTCTGATGGTGTTCGGCGGCCCCGTTGTTGTTCTCACGCGCCGCGATTTCACTCACCGAGTCCACCACCTCCTCCTCGACCAGCTCCTCCTCCTGGAGCATGTACTCTCGTCTCTCGTTTGGATTCTGGTAAACACGGTAAGGCCCTACCAGACCGACGATCCCCTTGGGCATCGCCACCTTCCTCTTCCAATCCGCTTGCAGCTGATCAAACTCTCCCAAGTGGTGGCTCGTGTACATTTCACCGAGACTGAAGAGACGCCGCGGTTCCGGTAGCTGTTCAGATGCGACCTGCAACCATCGACGGAGTTCCTCCTGCCGAGAGCAAACCTCCAGCTGTGTTTGCCTTTCTTTCGTCGATCGTTCCTTTATCGGCTGAAGTTTCTTTCCCTCGAGATAGTAGCTGCTCTCGCTCAACCGGACTTTTTTCGGCTTTCTCACCACGCTGTAAAGCGGGTCCTCGTCCTCCTCGCGTATCGTCGAATCTTGAAACGTCGTTGGTTTGTCGCTGTCGGTCGGTAGCCAAACGTAGGGCAATTCCCTTTGTTCAGAGCTGGTTCTCCTCGGTTTCTCGTTCTTTACGGCGCTTATCACCACCACGTTGTTCTTCGCGTTCGACGATAAATTGTTGGTCGAGCCGTTGTTACTGTCGAGGACACTGTAAATCGGCTCGCGTGTAGCAGCCTCGATCCACTTGGGTCTGTTCTTTGGCTTGGCCGAGGACCTGAACTGTTCTGGATCGGCCGTCGGTGTCTTTCGTTCTACGTTCGCAACGGGAATGTCAGTCAGTTCGGCCACCATTGTGTCGATTGTGTTTCAATTACGATCTGGGTAATCAGGCTCGCCGGATGTCACGCTCAGATCGTGATGAACATATTCGAAGATTCGCTCGTTCGCCGATCTTCGAAATGTGTCTTCGGGCGCGACCTGAACGTAACGGTATTTACAGGACTGATAATAAATTTAACACGAATTTATCAACATGGAGAATGATTCCACCTTAACCACTTGCGCTGGAATAACATGCCACGTCGAGAATTTTTTGTCCTGAAATTGCGATATTTTTTCAGTTTTAAATATACTTAAGTATAACCAAATACACGGGCAAAACAAATAATAAATTTATTACTTCTCAATCATTTCTATCCAGTGATATACCGACGAGTTCAAAAAGAAAACGACGAATTATTGTAGACGATTTGGTCTCTCGTTATGGTCCGCAATCAGTTGCCAGCGCAAGTGGTTAATCTCTTACACTAGAATGACGTGCCACGCACGTCGAGAATTTCTTGCTCCAAAATTGTAATGTTTTCTCAGTTTTAAGTATATTTAAGTAAAACAAAATAGGCAAAACAAACAATGAATTTATTATTTCTCAATAATTTCTGTCCAGTGATATCATACCGACGAGTTATTGTCAAAAAAAGAAAGCGACGAATTATTGTATACGATTTGGTCACTCGTTACGGTCCGCAATCAGTTGCCAGCGCAAGTGGTTAAATCACGAAAGATCGATCTAAACAGTAAATTTTTATTTTGATCAATTTACTCAAATTTGGTGAATCTTCGGAAAATTTTTAACTTGCTCGATAACACTGTCGCACCAAAAATTTACGTCACCGACTAAAGAGCTCTGTAATTATGTGAAACGTGTATGTTCCTCCGACCAGGAGAAAACCTTCGACAAATTCTTCCTTGGCGATTTCTTCGAAACAATTCAACGACGGAATTCTTGAATCTTCTTGAACGACGAGATCGAGATGCTTGAGACACTCGGTCACTAAGAGGAGACACTTTTACATTTTCCATTCGCGTTTCCAAGCATTTTCAACGTCTGTCGTCGTCGACGAGCGCATCCGATCGAACACAAAAGGTAAATGTCGTTTCTTGGCTTTAGTTTTGCCAGGAAACAATGTCCCACGGCCGTGGAGGTGGTCGCGGAGGTCGATCGTATGGATCTGGCTCTTGTTCGTGACCAGGATGACGAAAAAGGTTTCACATCCTTCGTAGATAGCTTTTACCTTTTCCATCATCTGGGTTAAGCGATTTTCCAGAAAAAGCGATTTTCATTGACGTAATTGAATCTCGTTTAATTGAGTTCCTCGCGATTGCCCTTATCTGACAACGAGTGGAATCGCATCTATATCCGCGAGAGTAATCAGCAACGTTTATTTCGTTCAGTATAACAGAAGGGAAGACTAATGGAAATTCGAGATGATACAACGATGATACAGGGATAATTTTTAACTGTATTTAATGCAGTATGATACTTTTACGAGTTGAAGTACGTTTGTAAATTATTTGTCCGCTTTTCTCAGATCATCCTGTGTATTCCTACAAATTTAACACCTCGTCGTTTCTTTTTCTTCCGTGTATCATACTTTCACGTGGCAGCATACGACATTTTACAGTAGGACCTCGTGTAACGCGAACTGAAAAATTGCTCGATTAAAAAATTGCTGAAAAAGACGTAAAAACCTAGAGTTTTACACTAACTCTTGCGCGACAAGACTTGCTCGAAATGCACATTGTGGAATTGTTATTTCTATAGAATATTAGTATTTCAATTACAAGGAATAGACCGATTACTTTCGCCAGTTTTTAATGTCAGAAATAAGAAGTAATATTTTTCAGCCATGACTTCAAAAATCTGCACAATAGATAAGTTGAAAAAAACGAAAGATTACTTATGTACATTATTTTCTGTTTTATTTAAAAAAAATTAGGTCAAACTTTTTGCGCTGTTCGTTGGTCGTATAAACGTATCTCTCGCGTAATGTATTACAATCAAGGCTGACAATTAGCTACTGAAACAACGCGTCACGAATATTAAGATCTCTGCAATTACAATGTCATTTCACTATGAAGAAGCTATCATCGGAAAATTGCGGACAGAGGGAAGATCGTTAATCTTTTCGGATGCAGATTGTGGTAAAGTAAACACGGATTTTTCACGGTGGGAACCATAAATTCCGAAGAAACGTGACTGAAACCCCAAGGCAAAACTGGCTAAGGAAGACGAGCCTCCAACAGGTGTTAGAGGTCGAAGCATTCTGCTGCTCGATAATCACTAGCCGATTATACCAGACGTTCCAACGGCAAATTCTTCTGCATTTCGCTTTAGGCGAGCATGCTCGTCGGTAAATAGCTGGACAGTAGTATATACCGCTAGAAAAATTGACAAACGCCGGTCATTGCAGAAACTCGCGTATCATCGCGGTGCAACTGCTGCACAGGGTGTCCGATAAATCGTGCTGCAATTTGTTGCAATGATGACAATACGAGAAGATAACGTTTGTTCAGATGTAACCATTAACATCAAATTAACAAATAAGTTTTCTTTGTCCGAACGTCTTGAAAAAGTATTATTTTCTTATTTATATATTAAATTTTTAGCAGCTTCGAAAAACATATGGAACTTTCTTCCGTATTTCTGACTGAAGATTAGCGTAATTATTGCAAAGAAACACGGAAACAAAAGATATATCGATACCTATAACGACCGAATAGCTCAAAGAAGCTGCTAGATTCTAACGTCAGATTGCGATTTTGAAAACTTACCAGGAATAACAGTTACCGGTTATAAATCACAACGTAGTAGTACTGTTACTCCAAAAACTAAATCTGTTCTTCGACTTGGCTTATCTTAAACTTACAGTCCCATATAGCAACAATTAGTTACAGTTACTATATGGTACTATACAATTAATAGTGGTTTCATGTTTGGAGCAATTATTTTCCATTTATTCGTTCGCAATGGTGATCATTGCCACGCCGCGTCGATTATATAGTAATTTATCGGATATTTTGCCCGCCAAACTGATGTTTAAAACTGAACCGCAATTAAACGCGTGTAATTCAATGAAAAAAATTATGATTTAATCGCGTCGTGTGTCCACGTTGAGATCACACCGTGACGGTGAACCTCCAGACTCGCTCTGTTAATCTTGGTAATTGTGATTCTCGTTTTCTATTTGATAACAGTATCACTTTTTTAGACCAGGTATACTCGACATTCGAGGTTTCTCTCTTCTCTTTGCTTTTCTTTCTCAATTAAACTCCAATGAAGTAAGAAAATCATCTTACAGCATCTATTAGCATCTTTAGTTCTCGTTTGATATGACTAAATGATATCAAGTATGTTTCTATCAAATTCGAAAAATTGATAAATTGTCCTATTAATAATATAATTATATACATGTAATGTATTAATATACATATACTATACATATAATATATATTTATGTAATAATGATAATATAATTTATATAAATCCTTCGACCAAAGAGCTCATCCGAATGAACGAAATATCCAGTGAAAAAAAAAAAAAGAGAAATAAAAGAAATAAAAAGAAAGAACGAACAATACTGTGCGAAATTTCGAGAGACGTTGTAGCCGTTCTAAATATGTGCATATACCTCTTAGAAACTGAACATCGAAAGACTTTCAGAAAGTTTCGCGGGACATGGCTGTCGTCATTTTAAAAATAACGCCGTACATCAAACACCTTCTGTCGGCGACTTTCCACGTTTACTTTCTCGATCAAGCTTGATCGCGGGGGTCGACAGTTAAATCATTCATGAATACGATGTTACTTTTTTACTCCGCAAGAATTTACTTTAAGCCTTGTATTCATTAATCATATTTCTCCTCTCAATAAATACGTACCAATCTACATTTTACAGGCAATAACTGTCCGAGATTCATTTTTCTTTAAGCATATTTTTTTATTTCGTAATTTGAAATAAGTCGAAATTAACATCACACTGTCACGTATATAAAACGAGCGAACATGTTCGGCATAGCGACAGCATTCTTGCCGGGCATTGAAATCACTGGCGTCCTGAATTGTCCAGTGGCGTTAATACTACCGCTCTAATATTAGCAATATAGTCTACCTTGATCCTTCCATCAGTAATAGATACAGTGATGAATAAAGATCAAATTTTCCCAATTTTAAAATCAAAACAGAAAAAGATTCCAGAACTAGGTGAAGAAAGGAAATGAAGAAATGAAGAATATTCAGTCGCGGAATAAAATTTTTCAACTTAAATACTAGGGTTTTTCTTTTTTTCACAAATTTTACAGACAGAATTTTACGAGCTTTTCGTTCGTTATTGTAACAATTTGTCAAGAACAAACGAGAAATCCGTCGTGATTGGCGATACGTCGATCGTTTCGGTACATTGGTTCGATCAGCGGCGATCAATCGCGCACGAGTGAGCAGAAATTCTGAAAATAAGAGTCGGAGAGAAGAGGAGCGAGCAAACGGCGTATAATAGAACAGAATTCACTCTAGACCGATTATTTTCACTTCCGTGGAAAAGAAAAGGGAAAGTGCGCGTCGTTTCAGAACAAGAAACCGTAAGCACGTATTTTACCAAACGCAAGAAGAGAATCTTCATACGATATTTCTGCTGAAATATAATGTTCATTCATTGAAAACAATTCTGAACGATCATCGAGAATAATTTGAATTACATTTTTGCAAAAGTTTCCACCAAATAAATTATCTTTTCACACATCGTATTTTATTATCATATCTGTTAATATAGTTAAGTTAATCTAGCTTTCAAGCCGTACAGCGACGTATAATATATATAAATTTTATTTATTCAGTAATGAAATAGAAATATGCGTATAGGTATTATACAAATAAGTTAATACAAAAACAATTTTAATTTCTACTATAAAAAATTGTAGCACTGTGATACAAGATGTAATAAGATATTTTATTGCTTATAAACTCACTTGATTTTCCGGAGTTACATTCCTGAATAGGTTGGAGAGTTCGTGGCATCATTGAATGAAATTTCTGAATTTTTTTATGCAACGGAATAACAGTTCACCAACACTCGCGTTCGTAAGATTTATCATGAAGACATTCAGATTTATTCGACGTCCCCGTATCGCGACAAACTATGTGTCAGGATCGCTCGATTTCTGTCATTTCGGCGATCATCACGAAATGCCATATCTTTCTTCCAGTTCTCGTAGTTCAATCCATTGTTTATTGTAACTCTTAATTTATTCGAAGCATTACTCTCGATAATTTTTCGAATTTTTAGGTTATACGTATTTTACAACATTACACTGAATTCTTCAACGTCAATTGCCCGGGTATACGACAAATTTCGATTTTTATTATTTAGTTGCACAGGACGAATTATAAAAAGCGAAAGAGACAAAAGTATCAAAACGTCAAATTGATACGTGCCACTGGCGCACGTGCACTAGCTATAGTCGTCAATCAGAAATCACGTGCAAATTAGTTCGCAAAAGAACAACTTCTGAGAGTGTGACTTCCAATCTCTCGACTACGAATGGTCGATCTCTAGAAAAATGGCGGTACTCGTGAACGGTCCGTGATCACGAGTGTCGACTATACACTAGACTACGATGCTAAGATGAACCAAGTAAACGATCCCAGAGTTAAGTTCTAGGTAGGAGAAGCCTACATACTTGCTTTCAATCCTCCTCGATACCTTCTCTCTTTTAACTTCAGAAAGAAAGGGAGAATATATGTGAATGTACGTTAACTGTGCATGTGTGTACGTGTGAAGATAAGTTTTAGACTCTCTCTCTTTCTCTCTCTCTCTTTTTCAAAGGAAAAATAAAAAACAAGTGATTGGAAGTGTGAAGGAGGAAGTTATAGAGATTATTACAAACATTATTCTAATTTTATTGAAAATTTAAATGTAAATTACATCAAGTTAATATCAAGAGAATAGGTAAGATAAATTCACAATAATTAAATATTATAAAATCTTTATTGACAAATTAAAACATTATTCAAACAATGTTCATTACTGGTCCAGAAAAAATTTTATAAAGTTTAATTTTAGTATTGCAATAAATTTGAAGTACATTGACAAGTTATTTGTGAGGCCGAAGCACATATATAATTTTCGCAGTGCTCTTAATGTTTTTACTAAATTAACATACTGTGCTTATGAAATGAATCACTTGTTATTCATTATATTGAATATAGATAAAAATTATCTGTACATTTAGAACATTGATCATACAAGAAAAAGGGAATAAATTAAATTATGTTCAAACTTAAATATTGATATCAAAGATAAATTTTTTATATAATTTAAGATCAGTCTTATTTATCCCTGATCTTGTAGTGTTCAATGTTAATTCTTAAACAAAACATTTCTTAAAAAATTAATAACATCATAGTCCCTTCTTGAGATTTGTCTTCAAAAAATGATCTTCTTCATTGAAGATGAAGAATGAAGGATGTATCTTCATTGCTTTGTCAAATTAATCAATAATGTTTCAATGTCACTTTTTCTTAGATCCAAAGCCTGAGAAACCCATTATTGCTGCCATTTCATCTGAAGGTCCACCATTATCTTCATTGATTTCTTCAATTTTTCTTTTCTTGTCTTTTCTCTTCTCTTTTCTATACTCCTTAATTTTTTCCTCCTATGAGCAATAAAAAATACTTAATTAAAATATCAAATAATAAAAACACAATTGCACAAAAGAAATACAAAAGAAATACACAATACAAACCTCTTCCTTTAATTCTTTTACTCTCTGTTCTAAATCATAATCTTTCTTTTTTTCTTCCAATTTCTTTTTATTCATTGCAAACCGTGCTTTAACCTGTTCTAACGTAGATCTTTCTATTTTCATTGACATGCCTAAATTACGTTGATCTAAAAAGATACATGTATTTGAAAAATTGATATTTAGTAAAATATATAAAATTTGTAAAAATAATAACAATAGTATAGTTACTTACGTTTTGTGCCATTAATGTGATCTAAAAAATTAATTGAATCCTTGACAACGCAATCGCAAACATTGCAATAGTACCCTCCAGTTTGTGATGATGGAGTATTTTTATTAATAACTACACTTTTCCCTAATTTAGATTCAAGATCAACTTTATAATCTCGTTGTTTGAGCAATTCTCTTTTTACTGCTGGCTGTTTTGGGATTCCCAACTCTTCCTCAGCAATCTCATCCTGGAGACGCTGAAGTGCTATCCTTTCGTACTCCTCCCTGTTCCATTTTCTCCTATGATCATCAGGTCGCTAAAAATAAATTTATCATATTATTTAAATAAACTAATATCAATAAAAAAATGAAAAATACATATAAACCTGGTTACAAATATAGAATACACTCTTTTGTATACATACTTATATAAAATATAAATATATATTATGAATCATATTTATGATTTATTTTTTCTATTTTTCGAATTTAGAAAATATTATTTCTTTTCTCGTTATAGTAAATTTAAAACATTTTCTTTGATATGAAAGTTAGGTTAGAAAAAATGTCAAACGATGTTTTCAATCAAAATTGCACAAATTACTTTAATAATAGTAAATTAACAGAACAATATAAAATTTCGTACAAATATAAATATTGTTAAAATTCTTACCATAGACATTTTCGAAATTCTTCAAATTTCACTCAAATTTATTACGAACAGAAAAATAAATTGTTTTCCTTCTCGTCTTTCTAGTCGTACTAAGAACACGCTCTAAATGTTCATGAATTTAACTCCGCCGTGGAACAAATTTAATACGAATAGAAAAATAAGTTATTTTTCCTCTCGTCTTTCTAAGAGTTCGTACTAAGGATACACTCCGAATATTCGTGAACTCTTTCCGGGATATTCCCAACGAAGCTATTGTACCGTTGCAGTCGCATGCCGGGATATTCCCGGTGAGGTTATTTTCCCGGCACAAATATACAATTTAACCAGTCAAATTGACACTAACATTTAAACAAAATTTATATACGTTTTTAGACAATTGACTGAGCTCATGATTCCAAAAAGTACGACCGCAAAGAGTTAAACATGTACATACCTATTTTATATATGTTTAAATATGTATATACCTATTTTCGAAAAAATATTCGATAGCATTTCATTATTTTTAAATAAGCCAATTAGAAAATCCTTAACTTTCTTTTAAGTTATATTTTTTAATAACTAATAGTACAATTATAATGAATAATTAATTTCTAATAATATTTCTTATGGTACAACTATAATTAACTTTTATAGATTATAAAATTAATAGTTCATTAAATTTTTTTGAAATCAATAATTCATATATTTAAAATAAAAACTTAATGTCTTAAACATTACTAAATCTTCTATTAATTTTTTGTATAATTCCCGAATTGCTTTTTTAAATATTTTTATGTTCAATTTTAAAATTATAGAGAGAAATATTAAATTAAATGAAAACTACATCAAAATAAAATTAAATATTTTCCAAAATAATTTTATTTGTAAAAATAAATTTGTACAGTACTATTGTATATTATTGTTTCTATGTAGATATAGCATCTTTCTAATAAGTCAACATCGATAATAAACAATTAAATAATTTTTATGGGCTAAATTCTTCTTGCTCAAACTTAAGATTTTTTTGTACAATGCGATACAATTTATGTACATCTAAACAAAATTATATATTTCGCTTTTCGAGCGAAAAAATGTTGAAAATATTATTTCATCATTTTTAAGATGACTAACAGCATGATTAAATCTACTAGTATAATCTTTTTTCAACAAAAAAAAAAAAAAAAAAAAAATTACGATATCGCTAAAAACTATAAACATAAATACAAAACTTTATTTCTATTATCACAACAATTCTTTTTCTAATAAAACTCTGAATAAAAATTATTTATAGACTTTCGCATGAGATAGGTAAATATTATTTAGTGATGATCCGTAAATAATTATACTTGTTATTCCAATAAATCTGGTGGCACATTATCTGGTAACATAACCCCAAGTCTGGTTACCATAAAAGATGCTACTTTGCAACCATATTCTAAGCAATGTTTTGGTTTCCATCGAGCTAAAACGCCGGCTAGAAAACCAGCTACCAAAGAATCACCGGCACCTGTTGTGTCTACAACAGGGCCTTTTGGTTTAATTGGTTGTACCTAAGTAAAATATGAACAAATTTTCATTCGGTCCCACAACTCAAGAAATTATTTCTTTCTCTATAACATACTTGAACAGATTGACTTCTTCCCCAAACAGTAATTGCTGGAGCTGAATCACCTTGACTCATAACAAATACTCCCCCATGACGCAACCAATCTGCATTGACTGTATTAGAAATATTAACTGTAATTCTCTTTAAGCTATTCAATAAAAATGGTATATCTGTTACATCTTCATATGCAACATTTAATGATTGAGCCAAGGCCTCCATTTCTCTTGCATTACCAAATACAATATTTGCATATCCTATCATTTCACAAATTGCTATATGATGATCCTATAAAAATATAATATAATATTACTATTAACATCAAATACTATCACTCTAGATGTAATGATTTTGTCTTCATTGATTCACTGATTGAAACTGTTAAAATGTAAAATATTTGTATGTACATTAAATATATATGTTCCATTTAGGTTGAAAGCTATAATTATATCTCTTTCTTCTGCTTGTTTAACAAGTGCTTTTACTGTAGGAAAACTGTGTGTCAAGAAAAAACCTTCAATATAAATTATTTTTATTGTATCCAATGATAAATTGCTTTTCTTAAGATCATCTAGAGTATATACACCAGCAGCTCCTATATTTGCAACAAGACTACGAGTTAATTCATTTGTTAATGCTATGCAATGTCCTGTAGATAAAGTTGGATGAACTGCATATCTGCAAAAATATATACAGTTACAAACATATCATAAATGGAATAAAACTAAAATACAGTATTTAAACTATCTGCAAACCTGACATCCACACCTGCTGATTTAACTAGGATTTCCAACATTTTTCCTCCTGAATCATTACCAATTCCTCCACAGTATATAGTGTATCGATTTTGTAGAGTTTCATCACAAAGCCATTGTAAAATTCTCATTGAATTTTGTGCTGATCCTCCAGCACTGAATCTATGTTGTGATCTATTTCATATCGTTAATAATATTTAAGTTATTAATAATATAAATTCTTTTTAATAATAATAACAATAACGATAATAATTAGATTAAAAAAATTATATATTACACTAAAGTAACAATGTTTACACTGTATTATTTTTTATACAAATATATGAATTATACTCGTATTCTAATTTCAAAACAATAAGGACAAAATAAATGTTTGTGTAAAATATATGCATTGTAAGCATGTAACAATTATTAATAAATATACTTATTAACTCTAATGGTAAATCTGCCAGCAGCTCTTGCATTTTTTCAGCAGGAAGTTCCATTTCTCCATCCGCAGAAAGATTATATTTCTTCAACAGATCATCATTTTTCAATGTTACATAGATATCCAGCAAAGGATTACCAAAAGCTACAACTGCAGGAACATCCAACTTTATAATAGATTTTCTCAATGGAACTTCTTCAACCATTTTTTCTTTTCTTTTTACTTATAACTTCACTATATTACAAGGCTATTGCAAGTAAATTTTAACGAATTATTTTCATTTAACATATGACATATTTATATATGTTACAATCATAAACATCCGACATATACCTTATGCCTTTATATTAAAAAATACAATAGATAATTACATTATTTTGTTGTTTAAAAATATTATAAATAAATTTTTTATATTTTCTTAATATTCACTTCATATAATATCAACGTTTTTGAATATTTTTCTTATAAAAGTATTCATGTTTCTATTAACAGCATGCAATCTTGGAAAAAAAAATCAATATATATATATTTCATCTATTTTTGCTTTACTCGAAATCAAACATAAAGGATACTTTTCATAATAACGTCAAGATAACTTTAATTAAGTTTTTTGTTTTTTATTAAATAATAAAAATGTTCGTAAATATGTTTATAATTATGTGCAATTATATTATCCATATCTGAAAAAAAATATATAAATTTCATATATTATTCAATTATGAATTAAATCTAAATATTTATTTAGATTAATTTCAATATATATTATGTTGTATTTAAATGGTGTAATTATGTAAATTAATGACTTTTTACATAATTTATTTTTTTCGAATGATTTTCATGAAAATAAGTAATAACAATTTATCGTATCTGAGGATCAACACGGATAATACAAGATGGAAGCGCACTTATAGTTTAGACACATTGCAATACATGTGGTATACGGATATTTTCAAATAAAAATTTAATAAGGAGTTTTTTTTGTTTTCTTAAGATGGTTCGTAAAAAAATAGATAATCGTATTCGTGTTTTAATTGAAAATGGTGTTAGTACGGGACATAGAACAATGTTTATTGTTATTGGTAATAAAGCACGAGATCAGGTTAGTGCATTAAATTTGTAAGCAATAAATACATAAATATATAATTAAATTTATATTTATTTGTTAGTGTTAATAAATTTATTTAAGAGAATTTCAATTCTTTATCAGGTTGTTCTGCTACATCATATGTTATCAAAGTCCGTTGTAAAAGCGAGACCATCTGTTCTTTGGTGTTATAAGAAAGACTTAGGTTTTAGTAGTCATAGGAAAAAACGAATGAAATCCGTGCAGAAAAAAATTAAATCAGGAAAATTGGATGTGAATGAAGATGATCCATTTGAATTATTTATAGTTTCTACTAATATAAGATATTGTTATTATCATGAAACACATAAAATATTGGGAAATACATATGGCATGTGTGTTTTACAAGTAAGGTTTTTCATTTGTTTAAGTTAAACAAAATTCATTTTAACAAAAGATCACTTTTTTTAGGATTTTGAAGCAATTACGCCTAATTTATTGGCAAGAACTATTGAAACCATTGAAGGAGGCGGAATCATTGTATTTCTTTTACAATCAGTAAACTCTTTAAAACAATTATACACCATGAATATGGATGTTCATCAAAGATTTCGTACAGAAGCACATCAAGTATACTGTTCATTTTTATTTTGTTTTGTTTTAATTTATAGATAGATTTGTTTAATTTGAGAAGCAAATAAATTTTTTAAATATCTTTTATTTATTAATTATTAATTATTTTTTAATTATTTTTTTATTTCTAGGATGTTGTTGGTCGATTTAATGAGAGATTTTTATTATCTCTAGCTTCGTGCAAAAGATGCTTAGTTGTTGATGATCATTTAAACGTATTGCCATTATCATCACACAACTTAAAGATTGAACCTGTACAAAAGCTAACTTCTTCTGAAAAATTATCAGAATTAAATGTATTGAAAGAAAGTTTAAAAGATACACAACCGGTTTCTTCTCTTGTTAATTGTTGCAAAACAATTGATCAGGTACATATAAAATAAATAAATATATAAAATTAATATTTCATATCATAACTTCAGTACATATTGATAACTATATAAATATTAATATTTTTAGGCAAAAGCACTTCTCAAATTTATTGAATGCATATCAGAAAAAACATTAAGATCCACTGTTTCCTTAACTGCAGCTAGAGGTCGAGGAAAATCTGCAGCATTAGGTTTAGCTGTTGCTGCTGCCATAGCATTTAGTTATTCAAATATTTATATTTCAAGTCCAAGTCCAGAAAATTTGAATACATTATTTGAATTTGTTTTTAAAGGTAAATATCAAAAGAAAATAACATATTTCAGTATAATAAAATTTTATATTATTTTTAGGATTTGATGCATTAGGATATCAAGAACATCTTGATTATGGTCTAGTACAATCTACAAACCCTGAATTTAATAAAGCTACTGTACGAGTAAATATCTTTCGGGATCACAGACAAACAATTCAGGTATATATATGAATATATGTATGTATATAATCCTTCTCATATAATACTTTATTAAAATAATAATTTTAGTATATTCATCCCACTGATGCTCACAAACTAAGTCAAGCTGAATTACTTGTAATTGATGAAGCTGCAGCAATACCTCTTCCCTATGTGAAAGCTATGCTTGGTCCTTATTTAATATTCCTTGCATCAACAATTAATGGGTAATTGTATTTTATAACCTAATTTTTTTGTAGTTATACATGATAGTTATACATGACATATACTTGTTTTTAATAGATATGAAGGAACAGGTAGATCTTTATCATTAAAACTATTACAACAACTAAGAAATGAAACTACAAACTCAAATAGTCATGAGAAACAACAAAATGAAAAGATTATTATTGGAAGACAATTACATGAACTGACTTTAGATGAATCTATTCGTTATAAACCAGGAGATTCTATTGAACAATGGTTGTGCGATTTGTTATGTTTAAATGCTACAACAAATACACCTATATTATCTGGATGTCCACCCCCTGATATGTGTCAATTATATTACATAAATAGGTAATTAAATTTTTAACGTTTATCGCTATTTCTTTATAATACTTAATTTCATGTTATTACATTTTTTTCAGAGATACCTTGTTTTCTTACCACAAAGCATCTGAATTATTTTTGCAACGATTGGTAGCTCTTTATGTCGCCTCGCACTACAAGGTAACTATTTTCTTTCATTTCTTTAAGATTTGAAAAATTATGAATTTTTCATATTTCAGAATAGTCCAAATGATTTACAAATGATGTCTGATGCACCAGCGCATCACTTGTTTTGTCTTTTGGGTCCAATAGATTCAAATAAGAAAACGTTGCCTGAAGTATTAGTAGTTATTCAGGTAAGCCTATAATACAATATGTATATATCTATACATATAATTTCGATATTTCTTCTAATTCTAATATTTCTATAATGCGTAGATCTGCTTAGAAGGTGAAGTAAGTAAAAATACTATAAACGACGGACTAGTTCGAGGACGTAGAGCAGCTGGTGATCTTATACCATGGACTATTGCACAACAATATCAAGATCAAGATTTTCCGGCGTTAGCTGGGGCACGCATTGTCCGCATTGCAACACATCCTGAATATCAAGGAGTAAGTATATATCATTATATAATAACATCATATAATTTATATTCAATAAATAATTGTGTTATAGATGGGATATGGTACTAAAGCATTAGAATTATTAAAACAATATTACGAAATGAAAATACTGAATATTAACGAATCATCAGAAATATGCACAACAGAAATATCAAAAGTTCAAAATGAAGAAATGAATTTGTTAGAAGAAAGAATAGGTAATTGTATTTATTATATTATAAATTAAAAATTTTATAATTTTAATTTTAACTAATTTCATATTTTTTAGAACCTCGTGCCTCTCTTCCACCACTTCTCTTAAAACTAAGCGAGAGGCGTCCAGAAAGTTTAGATTATATTGGTGTATCTTTTGGTGTTACTGAACCACTTTTGAAATTTTGGAAACGAGCTGGTTTTGTGCCAGTATATTTAAGGTTAGCATTATTTTTTATTAATATTATTATATCACACATTAAATAACAGTTTAATAAATGTTTTTTGTGTTGTTAGACAAACAACAAATGATATTACAGGTGAAAACTCGTGCATCATGTTATATAAAATAAATTCTGAACAAGATGTTACATGGCTACAAGCATACTGGAATGATTTTCGTAAACGATTTACAAATCTATTATCTTTTTCATTTAATACATATCCATCTTCGTTGGCTTTAAGTATATTAATTAACAAAACGGTTACGTCAGAAATTACAAGTTAGTGCATTTCTAATAATATATTTGTTTTGATGTTTATATTTTTTCTTATATAATTTTTTTTTTTTTAGCATTGACAAAAGATATATTGGATATTTATTTTACATCTTATGACCTAAAACGTTTAGCAATGTATAGTAATAATATGGCAGATTATCATTTAATAATGGACTTATTACCATCGTTAGCGCGTCTATATTTTTTAAATATGATGGGTGATACTAATTTATCAGCAGTTCAATCGGTATTTTTTATATTTATAATGTTCTTAATGTTCTTCATTGAAATAATTATGTTCAAATATAATATTTTTATAATATTTATTGTCCTTATTTTTATTTATAGGTAATTTTATTAGGATTAGGTTTGCAACATAAAACTGTTGATAAATTAGCAGAAGAATTAGATTTACCACCAACACAATTACTTGGATTATTCAATCGTACTATGCGTAAATTTGTACAGTGCCTTAACAAAATAACAGAAAATTTTATTGAAACAACCATGATGAAAATGGAAACTAATAATGGAAAAGTGCAGTTAAATCCCATTAATGGACAAAGTTTGCACGACGAGTTAGAATCTGCAGCTAAGGTTTGATCATCTTTTGTTATGATATTAAACATATAACGTTAAATAAAATATAATAAAATTTATTATGATATAAATATAATTTTAGGACTTAAAAGCAAAACAAAAAGCTGAATTGGAAAAATTGAAAAGAGAAAATTTAGAACAATATGCAATCAAAGGAACAGAAACTGATTGGAATGATGCACTTTCTGGAAAAAAAAGTAAGAATCTTATATCTATAAAAAGCGGAGAGAAGAGAGAAGAACAAGATGATAATGTTTTGGAAATTCCAAAGAAACAATTTAAGAAAAAAAGAAGACATTAGTCAATGTAAACATAATTTATAAAATTTAATAAATAAACAATTATATATGTTGTATTAATTTACCTTTATTCTATTTAAATAAAAAATCCATTTTGGTTAAAAAAGAGGTAGTTAAAAAATATTTATATTATGCATATAATTAGAAAATTTTAATCAAAAAAATTATTATCTACTATATATTTTACACATTGACAAATTAAATTTCTTTCGTGTTGAATAGATCTTGAAAGTAATTTTTGCAATAATTGCGATGTGTATGGTTGTTTTCTATTAATTGTTATTTTTTGTTCTTTATTTTTTGAATTTTGATTTAATGTACTAGACCGTTTAAATTTAGATATAGGATTTGTATCTATTAACTGTAAATTATTCTGGACAACTATTTCTTTCACTACATTACTTTCTTCTATTGCGTCATTATCCAATTTTGTTTTCTTAAATGGTATTTCTTCAGGTGCATCACCTATAAATAATATTATTTTATAGAAATTATACATGAAACATATACATTAAATATTCTATTATAAATAATATAAATATATTTACTTTCTTCGGAAGTACTTCCATAATCTGCTACTAAATTGGGTACATTACAAACAGCAATAGTAGATTTTGATAATGTATCTGTTTCTTCTTCATCAGAAATGCAATTAATATTTCTTTCACAATCATTTTCAATTTCACCTTTAAATTGATCTTCCATATGTAATTCTTCATTTTTTAAGCTTGCTACGAATATTATTCACATAGATGAATACGTTAATAGTATAAATATATAAATTATACAAATATATTAATTAAATGCTCACATGTTCCAGAAAATTTATATAAACCTCTATATTTCTCACTTTGTTCTATAAAATTATTAGATATCTTAATAATTTCTCTTTTTGTTGTCCTTTTACGATTATTAGAACGTATAAATTTTTTTCTTCTCTGTTTAGTAGTCTCTTGTTTTTTAATTATTTCTCCTCTTTGGATTTTTTCCATTTCTTCCGCTTTTCGCAATTCAATATTATTTTTTGTAGGATATTTTCTACAATGTAGTTAAGTATCATATAAATCATTTTTAATCATTACCACTTCTAAAAATCATAACTTACCTCTTTCGCTCCATTATCCATTTTTCAATCTCTTCGGGAGTTGATACATTTTTTATTTTATGGTACAAACCAGTACTGTGTTGCATAGTAATGTGCCTTTCAACTAGTAATGGATGAGCAGAGAAAGTACATCCATCAATACCGCAAAGTTTGTGTTCTCTTTTATGTTCAGAAAGAGCATCCTCGGATGAAAAATCTTTATCACACATTTCACAATAAAATGATTCATTATCCTCTGAACTGGTATAATTTTCGTCTCTTTGATCATATGGTTCTTCATCACTTGGATAAAGATGAGCCTAGAAATTACTTCATATTTTTTATACATTCAAATTCAATGCAAAAATACTTCTTGAGATTCTTAATTGTTGATGAAGATAGTAATATTTGAAATTTCATTACTTTCTTTTGATGTTTGTCTCATACACTAATTTCACAATTTTTTACATGAGTATTTATTTGAAATATTGTATATTTTTCAATAATTCTTTGCTTAAGATATGTTAAATTTATAATTTGAATAATTTGAATGATTTAAAGTTATATTATTCATATGTAAAACTAGAATAGATCCTTACAAAAATATTTTACAAATAATGTAATTCATTTCTCAATTAAAATTTCTATATTTTCAATATAAAGTTTATAAAAAAAGATATTAAAAATTATTAATGATACGTTTAATATTTATAAAATTATAGAAGTATTTTTTCACAATTATTTAAGCAAAGTCAATATTAAATAATAAACAAATATAAAAATTGTATTTACAAATATTACGTGTGTAATTATTGTATGCAATTATTGCTTACACATTATATTTCAAAATCTTTTCCAGGGTATTCAGAAATTCACTTATTAAGTTTATATAAGTATGTATTACAAATACACATCTCAGTTTGTATTTTAAATCAATGATTAATATGGGATAAATTATATAAAAAAATATTTTATGGTTACCATGAGTATGCTGCACATAGAAAATGATGTAATTTACAAAAGATTTACATATCATAGTCCTAAAATATTAATATAAACAATCTTTCATTAAAAGTTTTAAACTTACTTTAAACTATTTTGAAATAAAATTAACAAAATTATCTAACATTGTAAATCTGATAAATTTACTCACTATATGATGCTAATTAAATAGTTATTTTTATTTTATATGATGGTATAAAACCCGTCCCATTGATAAAAATTTTAGGAAGACAATACTTTTATAGAAGTTATTTAATGTATAAAGTCTAAAAAGGTCATTTTCATATTTCAGAACGATTATTAACGTATATAAGAATTTTTTTTCGTGGTTTATAGAGTAATTGGAGGACACCAGATTTAGAACTTATAGAAATACGATTTATTCTTACAATACGCATCTTAATTACAAATTTATTTTGTTCTGAATTTATATTTCGTGGAAGTCATGTATTATTGAAATTAATAAAATGTACCCAATACTACGACACATAATAACGAACAATTACAAAAATTGTCATATCTTGATACAGAGCCACAAGCTATGAAGAAAACACTTTTTGGTTTATTAACTAAATCTTTTCATATATCAAAGAATATTCTAATGATCTCATAAAATTTTCTATTAGGAATATTATAGCTCGCAGCACTGTATACTGGCCAAAGAGCAATTAAAGAGCTTCATGATGACACAATTAACAAAGGCCAGTTTTTTTCTATATCTTATGAAGAGAAGTTGTAGATATTTAATAGCTCTAACACAAAAGTACGTAAGAAATATACAAAATTTTACATTTTCAGACATATACTAATAAAGTAAAAGAAAAAAAAACAGTTTAGTTTTTGTATAAGTATTATTAGAAACAAGAAAATATTTGTTATGCAATATTAAACTCTACTTTCTCAAAATATTATATCATGATAGTTTAACATTACGCACTTATAACATAAATGCTAAGAATGAACTTATATTGCAAAGAAATAATATTTTACAAGTGACAAAAGAACGGATAATACAAATTTTGTAATTAAAAATGATACAAGTATTTAAACTGCAGTGTTATCAATGTACTGCATATTAAAATAAGAAGGAATCAAATCGTTCTGAAGTTTGAAAACAGAATACTTGTGTAATTTCAACTGTTCAATTGTTTATAGGAGGAGTAGCCTGAAGCTTAAGACTGTGCCTGTTCGCTGGAAGGCTGCATCTCCTCCGTTAGCTCCATTTGCTCTGATTGCTCAGTCGCATTCTCAGTTTTCTGAACACCCTCGGATTCGATCGTATTCTTATCACCTGTTTTTTGACCACCCTGTAATGAAAGCAATTTGTCAACTATGACAGGAATATAGTAAAATTAAATACATAGTGCCAATTAAACGTAGTGGTGCAAACAATATTTAGTCTATAGATAAATAACACAATAGTAATATTATTAAATAAATGTAATTTTTTTTTAAATCTTTCTTAGAACGATATTTTTATTATGTTTCATAATTTCAAATATATCATTAATTTAAATAATAAAATTAATATAAATGAAACAAATAAACATAAAAAGAAAACAAAATGTATCTACATATAATTATCATATTACAATTAAATATGGTCATAAGTTTGTAGGTGACTTAAATATCTTTAAAAAAATATTTACACTTATAATTTATAAATATAATTTTTCATTTTGCATGTACATATATAAATCATATAACAAATAAGTTGAAATCTCTAATTGAAATATTCTATCAAAATCTTTAAATTTTAAAAAGTGTTCTAAAATACTTACTGCAAATTGCTAAAATAAATGAAGTAGAATTTTATTTTACCTACGATATACACCAAATACAGTCTTTAATTATTATATTAATATCAATATAACAAAACATATAAACAAAAGATATTAATTATATTAGAAGCACGTACAATTACTTGTTACTTAATTCTACAGGGTGGTCTACCTTATTGATTTTTTCATTATAATTAAATAGCAAATAATAAACAGTAAAATGTTACATAAGAATAACAAAACATTGGTAAAAATATACAAAAAATATGGTAAAAATTAATGTATTATACTCATTTTGTACAATAATTAATAATTATTACAGATGTGCGAAAACATAAAAATTGCGAAGATTGCGAAATGTCACGCAGTCCTCAACTATCAATGCTATAATTGATATTTCACAAAATTTCTAAATTACATAAAAGTATATGTTCTTATATAAACGTATGAAACTGTAAATGGTGTTGCATTTTTAATCGTAGTATAATATTTATGAACATTATACAACTTATAGAAAAATAATATACAAAATATTAAATTATAAATATATAAAATATTATTACTTTTATCAAGATAACTTTAAATTTATTATAAATAGAAAATAAAATGTTCAGAATTGTAAATTCAATTATTATTATTGTTTGAACTATTGTTTATAAATACTTTTTATATATAAATCATACCTTTTACAATTACGTAACACACTTAAAAATAATAAAAAATATATGTAATAATTATTAATTAAAAAATATAGTTTAGTATAATAAACTCTTAATTATAAAAAAAATATTATTTCATGTCATATGTTCAATAATTAAATGGGAAAAAATACCTGTTCTGGATGTTTTGCAAGATAATCATTTTTAGCATCTCTGATCATCCTTGTTACTTTATTTCTTAAATCCTTAAATTCTTCCCACTCTTTTGCATCTTTATTCTTTTTTGCTTTAGCATACAGCTTATTTTTCTTTTGTATTTCACTTCGAATTTCATCAGTCATCCATGGCTTCTTTAGTTCTAATTCCTAAATAATTATAATGTCTTTTAATCAGAATAACTTCAAAATTTGTACTTTTAATTTTTTTTTCATATAACAAAATATTGCATGTATATGATAAAATAACTTATTTTTCATTATTGATAAACATAGTAAAGAAATGTTTACTGTTCCTTACTAGAAATTTATTATTAATAAAAAATCTTAATAATTGTATATATATAAAATTTTTTCCTTCATTTAATTTATAGCGATTAGTTTTATATTGATTTATAAATCCATTTTACTTAAATACCATATTTTGAAGATAAATAATTCCAAATATAAAAGAAAAATTCAAGCACAATTCTTAGTCAAAATAGACAATTCTTCTCAGACTCATACTATTGAAACTAAAATGCAAATAAATTATATTTAAATAAGAAAAATAAGTCAATCGATTAAATAAATTCATATCTTTATTCTCATGCAGTTATTGTTATCAATTTGACAAAGTAATAGGATTATTATGTACTCATACTTTCTACAAATGTTAAGAACATTCAAAATTTTATACTTACTTCAAGTTTACTGACTTTTTTCACATTATTCAGTGCTTTGCCTTTTGCATTGCCATTGCCAATAGAAAATCTTGGTCTCATATGAGATAATATCTGAGGAGGTAATGCTCTCCTATGCCAAGGCCTCATTAATGGTCCTCTAGGTCCTACACCTCTTAAGCCCATCGGCGGAACCATAGGAGCCATCCCTCTGACTCTTGGACCAAACAATGGCATGGGTCCACTAGGTCGACTTACTCCTGGTCGTGGTGGCGGTGGTAATCTTTGTCTTATTGGTCCAAAAACAGGATTCATCGGAGGTGGTGGCATTCTTGGTGGTAAACCAGGAGGTGGAAGTCTACCACCAAATCTAGGAGGCGGTGGCGGTATAATAGCGGGTGTACGTATAACTCTTGGCCCTAGCAGAGGTCCTCGATTTAATGGGCTCATTGTAATCTTCTTCAATTTGGATCTTTTTCAACTACTTTTACAATTTTATGTAGCTGATGATTAATATATTGTAACGTCGAATGCGAAACGTTATGTACAAGGTTAAGACCAGCTTCACACACTGTTTATACGCGAAATACGTTATTATATCGTGGCGACACCACGGACAGAAACCCTCTGGTGACGGCCGCGGAATGGCGCGGCACTCGAAATAAAGACGCAACGTTAAAAAGATGAATATAGGCAACCAAAAAGAAGGAACGCTGAACGGACAACGTGGAAGATATAAATATTTTATTGTACTGTTAAATCGTATGAACTGAACAAAATATATTTTCCATTAAAAAAATACGAATCTCTCCCTTATCTTTATCGCGAGTATAGCAACAATTAAGAAACTTCCCTGTCGATCAATTTCGATTTTATATAGTCGCACGTGCCAATGGCCATAAACAAATATGGACACTCCTACGCCTGCCACCAGAAGCGATTCTCGCTAACGATTGTTTTGCCACCAGTTACGTTAAATAATATACGATCTGATTTTTCCTATTCTAGTATCCAACCCTAGGGGCCTGCTAGGAAGCCTTGTTGTTGATGAGTCTACTAGCTGGCCCCGAAACGAAACACGTTCCTCTTTACTTTTCAACAGTTATCGTCTTTCCTTCCTTACCGACCAAACTCGTAAATATGTGTATAAACCTACAATTTTGTTGATATTTATGCACTTCTCAATACTACCAAATTCAACTTCGATTGTAAAACCAAACACAGTATTACTTATAAATATCATACGAATGTTATAAACTTCTACGCAAATAAACCTTTTATACTGCAAATAACGATCACTTTGCTCGTAGCAGCTACGAATAACAAACTTTAAGATGTTTAAATCGATTTGAAATTTAGTACCCCAAATATTGGAGGGAAGATATTAGAAAATTGATCTCAAACATTCTGATTCATAATTTGATATTAGGCATATAATAAAGCGTAATTTTTTTTTAATTTTTAAAAAAATTAGAATATTATTTAATACTTTCTAATCTGCATTTCTTAGATGAAAACTTATTTCATATTAATACTTGTTTTATAATTGATTTATAATTTGTATTATTGAGTCAGAGAAAATAACAAATATAATTTATTTTTTTCTATGATAATTTTTTTCATTTTTTTGTTCAAGTACAATTTTTCAGTTGATTGAAATACATTATAAAGAATTACATAAAAAAGTACATTTACTTGAAATAACTATATTATAAACCGTGAATAGTTTACATTTAAAAATAAACAAATTTTAAGAATGTAACAAATTCTTGTGTTTAAAAAATCACACTGTTGCAAATAATTTTTCTTGTATATCTGCCTGCATTTAAGGATAATTTTAAAGACAAATCACCAGTCATTTGTCCGATTGGTATATTTCCTATTTATAAGAGATATGCTCTTCTCATTGGTCTGTTTGAGCAACGCTTTTAACGTATCACCAGCTGTTGAAGTTACGTTTGTTTGAAATCAAACGGCAACTGAAGTTTGTTGGTTGCTTGGAGCTCCGAAATTTTGTCTGTCATACATGGATGGTAAATACACTTCGTTATAACAAGAAGAGGGCATAGTGTTTAAAAGTAATAATAACTTAGAAAAAAAAAAGAGGAATCGATTTATACACAAAGGATTAGGTGAAAAATTAAAACTAAATAATGGCAACGATTCGTGTACACGAGGATCAAGAAAATCGTTTTCATGATGTTCGTCGCGGTAAAGAAAATATTCCCGTGCCCCTTCAAAATCAAACATTACAACCAACGAAACGTGCAGTTTTAGGTGTCCTTCACAATAATTGTAATCGTAATATCAAACCAGTATGTATACATTTCTTTACAATCTTTACTCCCGCGTTTTTCTAAACTGATGAATTCAATACTTTTATTATACAAATTACATGATTTTAGAAAATATGATTTCCAACTCTTTCTTACGATCCTAAAAATAATAAAATCATTCATCAACAATGTTAATAGTAAAATGTATAATCACGTTTGTTTAATTTCGTATAGGAAATATACAAGGATGAAAAATATCCAAAAACAAAAGCAATTATACCGCCACAGTTTGAACCTTTTAAAATTTATGAAAACAAAAAGGAAGAAGTTATATTTAAAATCTATGAAGATAAGTTAGAGGAAGAAACTTCTGTCGCACTTAGAGAGACGAAAGACAAGAAAGAAATCAAAGAGAAAGAAGATGTGAAACCTGAAACAGAAAAGCCAAGGTTAGAAGTGAATCCTCTGACTGTCTCGAATTTACCAACATTTTATAATGCTATTGAAGATATTAATCAAAAGAAAGAGAATGAAGTAATTTTTTCACAAGGCAGCCCAATGTCTTTAGAAAATTCAATTTCTTATTTGTCTTCCTCAAAGAAAAGTCATCAGAAACGAAGAAAGTCTATAAAAGAATTGAGAATGAATTTTTTCGATGTAGATGAATATAGAGCTGATATATATAATTATTTACGTTCTGCGGAAGTATGTATTTATTTTAAAAAAATTTTTATTTACAAATAGTAGCATGTTTTAATGAAATTTTTATTTTAGAAACAACATAGACCAAAACCAGGGTATATGAAAAAACAACCAGATATAACATATTCAATGAGATCAATATTAGTGGATTGGCTTGTAGAAGTTGCTGAGGAATATCGGTTACAAACTGAAACGCTGTATTTAGCTGTTTCGTATATAGATCGCTTTTTATCATATATGAGTGTTGTAAGAGCAAAACTACAACTTGTGGGTACAGCAGCTATGTTTATTGCAGCGTAAGTTCATCCTATGTATTTATTTAATTAGTTATATCTAAAATTTCTAGTTTTAAAAAAATAATTTGTTGTATTAATAATTTAGGAAATACGAAGAGATTTATCCACCTGATGTAGGCGAATTTGTATATATCACAGATGATACATATACAAAAAAACAAGTATTACGTATGGAGCATTTAATATTGAGGGTTTTATCTTTCGATCTAACTGTCCCAACACCACTTACCTTTGTTATGGAATATTGTATTAATAATAATCTTTCTGAAAAGATTAAATTTTTAGCAATGGTAAGTGTGTGTGTGTGTGTGTGTGTGTGTGTATTTATTTATTTATTTATTTATTTATTTATTTATTTATTTATTTATTTATTTATTTATTTATTCACTATGTCATCACTATGTATTATGTGTTAATTTTTTTGTAAAATTTTATAGTATCTTTGTGAATTATCAATGCTTGAAGGAGATCCATATCTTCAATTTTTACCTAGTCATTTAGCCGCATCTGCAGTAGCACTTGCACGGCATACATTATTAGAAGAGATGTGGCCACATGAATTAGAATTATCAACAGGTTATAACTTAAAGGACCTTAAAGAATGTATTATGTGTTTGAATAAAACCTTCTGCAATGCATTAAATATTCCGCAACAAGCCATACAAGAAAAATATAAAAGCAGCAAGTAAGTTTAAATATTTACTATTCAAAGCAACTTTTTTTTCATTTTATCATTTGAATTAAGTATCTAATATATTCTTATTTAGATATGGGCATGTAGCATTATTATTACCACGACATATTGATAATGTAACACTGACTTCCGAAGATGAAGAAGAGAATGCTTAATATTTAACAGACATTGCGCAAAAATAGAAAAATCTAAAAAATTATACATATTTGGAAAGAACGAACCTCCCGTTATAAATCCCATGTTTTGAAAGAGAAGGAGGGGATTAGGGCAAGACTGAGCTATTCTTTCAGAATTAAAATGAACGAGTTACTTCTATTAGCACGTGTGGCTACTATGTTTAGCCTAGGCAAACATATTGACTTCAATTTTCATATTCCATCTCCACCTATACTTTTATAGGTTGTAGGTAAATTTTAATAACTATTTTTAGAGCTCCGTCATTACATTAACGAATGAAGCTCTAAATTTTGTTATTTAGGAATTTGTATTTTTATATACATTTTTTTAGACGATTGTTAACAGAACACTTGCTCTACACACATGATATCTAAATTTTGTTGCCAGTGATCTGTCATAAAATAATAGGAAGTGTAAGAATAATAACTGTATTTATTATCGACATTGTACTAAAAATATACATCACTACGGATGGAAACGTTTCTACGTATTAAAATGATTATAACATTTGTCTATTTTTACGTTTCTTATATAGCTATTTATTTGCGATCTTTCATGGTTCAACTCAAAAACATAGTTTTTTTTTGATCATTTTTCTTTATCTGTCTTTTTAAAATTGTACATATATTTTATAAATCATTTGCATATCTAAACAAATTTTCGTTTCAAAATCATATATATCGTACAAATGTTCATATGCATGTTTTTTATCAAATATTTGAAAAAAATTCATAGTATTTTATGCATGATCTCAGCGAGCCATCAGTGTTGTGGGTAAAGTAAGCGGCTACGGACACGAAGGTCCAAGTTAAAATCCTGGGCAGTTTTCCTATTTCTTCACGAAATTCCTAGAAAGTGGATTCCTTCGTTTGATGGTGGGAGAGAGGCGCGGCGCAAAAGAAAATATCAGTCAGAGAACTTATGATCAAAATGCAGATAATGGCAAAAGAAGTTGAGGTGTTGTATTCCACAGACAAAAATATGTTTCCCCAATGGGACAAATACTGAATATTATGAGGATGTCAAAGAAAATAAGAGATGCATGTATGCAAAGAGATAATTTATGCATGAGCAACAAGACTACTAAAATAAAAATATTCAAGTGTTTGAATATATAGGTATCTATAATATATTTATTTTAAGAAGAGGTATAACATAATTTTGTTTTTGTTGTATTTTGATTATATTATTGAATGGTATTTACAAAGATAAATTTCTTTCAATAACTGTCACCTCACTTCTTCATCGTCTTCGTGTGACCGTTGATCGGTTTGCTATTAATCGCCCTTACATTCCGATTGAGAGTTCCACTGTATAATGAATTTCGTGAAAAATAGGAATAGCTGCAGCCAGGATTCAATACTGAGCCTTCGCACCCGGTTACTCTACCCATGCTTCCTTTCAATAATTGTACTATTTTTAAAAAAACAATTCAAATTATTATGATAAACTAGATACTTTGAAAGTAAATTGATTAACATATTGGTTAAATAACAATGTTTGATTTAAAATATTTAGACAATTTTAAACAAGAAATTTTGAAATAGGAATTTCAATAGAATATATTGTTTCTGTTATATGCTATAATAAGAATTAGTCTATTATTATTAATAAAATAATAAACAATGTTATTAAGTATATATATTATGATGTGCGTTTTCTTAATACATAAAAATATTAAAATATTTTTAAACATTTTGTTTTTGTATTACATGTTGGTAATACTGATTCCTCTTGCTTAACCATTATATTTAATTGTGCGCATGTGTGCGTGGTTTCCTAAACTGGTATCGACGTTGACAATTTGTAGTTGATATTTAACAGAAATCTAACAAAACGATAGTTGTGGGTGTTTCACAAGATAACGGTTACATATTCTATAATATCAAGGTATAATATTTAATTTAATATTGTTTATTATTATCAAATAAACGTTTTTATTTTTTTTACATATTACACTCAATATTTTTGATTTTTTGTATAATCCAATCATATCTGAAATGAATAAGTGTTTAGGTTAATTTTATTCTTTTTGGTACTTATTTTGATTTTTATACTTTTTGATAGATAAATAAAATCATTTATAGTATTTTAATTTAACCTATAAAACAGATAATATATATCATGTTGATTTGAAAAGTTAAATTGTTATGTTAAAATAAAATGCAAATTTGGAAAATATTAATATAATATGTAATGATACTGTAATGTGTATTATGCTTTTTTTAAAATAGTCAATAATTACATGACAATTTTTTATAAAATAAAAGTCTGTATTTGGAGATTCTTTATGATTAAAAATATTAATTTAATATAAAATTTCTTTGATATTCTTATTAGACAAAATGGATATGGCATTTGGCGACAACTTTGTCAATGAACAAGAAGTAGATCCAGTAGCAGAATTCGTAGCAAGGGAACAGGATCAATTGGCAGGACTTGAGAATGAAATTCCACCAGTTGCTATGTCTGCTCCTGCAATGGCATCAGATGGTAATTAAATTAAATACATAAGTAGAAAAAGTATTCTAATTATATTCAATGTTATTCTTATGTTAAAATTAATTGAGAAGTTTATAATTAAAATATAATTAAAAATTTTTCTAAATAATATATTAAGAAATTTTGGAAATTTAAGTTGGTCCAGGGGGTGATGCTGAAGGTAGTTTTGAAATAATAGATGCAATTGGACAACCTTCGGAAATGCAAGCACTTCCAGTAATAGGTAAACGATATTTTAATTTTTTTTTTTTTATTAAATCATTTATAACTTATTATGAAAGATGTTAGATTTAAAAAAATATTTTCAGAAACTGCACCTAAAACTCCACCTGTAAAAGAAGAACCCGAGAAAATACGAAAATGGAGAGAAGAACAAAAAGCTAGACTAGAAGAAAAAGGTAAATATGTTTTTATATAATCATTGAATATCGTTTATATATAATTCAATAATATTCTAATTCATAGGTAACTATAAAATAAATTCATTTTGCAGTTTTGGTGTGTAATTATTATTGTATGTAATTTACTTAGATGCAGAAGAAGAAAAGAAAAAAGAAGAGTGGAGAGAAGCTGCCAGAAAAGAATTAGAAGAATGGTATAAACATCATGCAGAAGCTATTAGTAAAACAAAAACTACAAATAGGTAATATTTAAAATTTCTCTTTCTTTCTGTCTTTTTTAATCTGTTTTATATAAACATAACTTTTAATCGCATATTGTAGATGCAATTAAAAGTCTTCTATATAAAATTATAAATATTTTATTTAAAATATGTACTACATACAATTATATTATTTTCATTCTGCTTCTTAGGGAATCAGCCAAGTAAGTTATACTATATTATTTTGCATGTATAATTGCATTGTATTGCTGTATAATATAGCTTGCTTATTCAATTTGTAAAGTAATTTGCAGAATAGATATCAGAAATAGATATTTCATATATGTTAGCCGCTTTTATACGATTCATAGCTATAAATGATTTGTGCTTGATGCAATTATACTTGAAATCTCGGTGTTTCTAATCGTACTGTATGTAAGCCATTAACTACATAAAAATACATATAATATATTTTATTTTTATATTGTTATATTTTAATATAAATATCATAACAATTAAATTTTATTCAGTTTCATTATCAACTATTAAACGTATAAATACTATTGAAATTATTAATTTCTATATTATATATAAACGCATTATAAGTTATTTTGGTACTATAATATTTGTCTTATTTTCTAACTTATTTACTTAAGAACGGATATAAAAATATAAATGTTTTCTCTTTAGTTACAATGTTTCATTCTACTGATGAAAGTAAACAGTGAAATATTAGTTTTCATTATGTAGATTGTAATTTTTGTTCAACACATCTTACTTTATTAAAAATAATAACAAAAAGTATATTTCTTTTTGAAAAGAAATTATAAAAAAAAATGTTGGATATTGCATTGCTGCATACATTATATGTTAGAAACGGAAACAGGGTACATACACTGCAATGTCATTAGTGCATTTAATGTTCGGGTATTGTCGCATTTAAGATTTTATATGTTGTAGCCTATGTAACATAATGATTTTATCTCTAGGAACGCAGAGAAACAATTTGTAGCAGAAGCTGATGAAGTGGAGCCAGGAACTGAATGGGAACGCATTGCAAAACTTTGCGATTTTAATCCCAAGTCTTCTCGCACTTCAAAAGATGTTTCTCGAATGCGTTCAATTATTTTGCAATTGAAGCAAACTCCACCAGCTCCAGTCAGTCTTTGATTAAATTAATAACTTATTATGGAAAATATAGATATATGCATATATACATACATATATATATATATACATACACACACATACATATATATGTATAAATATATTATGAAACAAAAGAAAAATGTATGGAGATTACAATATTTATAAAACCGAAAAGATCATATTTGATCTATTAAACAAAAATGTAATATCATTGTGAATAAAGATAATTAATAGCAAGTATACGAATAAATATTAAATTTAAAAAATGAAATATGTAATGCAATTATTGATGTTGTTACATATAAAAATATATATAACTTTACCCTTATATATACGAATTTAAATATAAGTGGTAATTTAAAGAACAATATATAAAGTTTTCATATAATTAGTTTAATTATATATAAAATTTTATGAAAATATATTGTTTTTAGTATAATTAATAAGTTTTAAAATATTTTAATGTTATTTAACAAATTATTATTATTGTGCGCAATATAAAAATTTTTATAGCTTTAGTTTTATACATTGTCCAATATTTTGATATTTCACATATTTAAAAACTCATAATCAATTTTTTTCTAATTGTCTTCATACTATTTTTTCTGAAAATAACAGATATTAATAATTAATAATTACGTAATTACAACACTAACAAACTAATTTGTTGTTGTAGAAAATATATCAGTTATATTAAGTATAAAATAGAAAAACAAAAATTAATACCTATGTAAATCACGTTTCATAGCAAGTTGCATGTCATGTTGCCAACGATAGATGTTTGGATATGTAATGGAATTAAGTGATGTTGACACTGCATTATAAACAGCATGATCTAATTTTGTTGGTACTGGCCTATAAAGTAATGAATAAAACAATCATAATGTATTTATATAAAAATAATTATTTTAAAAAAAATTTATTTTTATGTAACTTCACCCTTCCAGAAATGTCCCAAAACCTTCCTCTGCACTTTGCATTTCATCATCAGAACTATCTACCATTAATTTTGGTGATGATGGCGGTGTGAAAAATTCTAATTCGTCTAATAAAAAATAAAACATTATTTTATTTATAGATACTTTATATTACATATCTTAATATAAATTTCGATCATAAAGCATTTGAGACTTACCTACATTATTTTGTTCTTCATTATTCGATGTAAGTAATGACCATGATTGTAATTTATTACATAAATAATCTATTTCATCAATTTGCGGTTTTTTTTCTGAATTTCCGTTTGAATTAATTATATTATCATTTGATGTCTAAAAAAATTATGCAAAAAGTATGATTTTGAATACATATTAAAAATTTGATTAATATTTTTTATACCTTATTATAATGAAATAATTGATCCTGGAATTTACGTTCTAAATATTTTTCAAGTTTCGTTAAACCCTCAGTAGTACGAAAATCTGCAAAATCGTTTAAAAATAGCCAATATTCCTTCCACGAAACCTGATATTCTTCTGCTAGATCTCTAAAAATTAAAGCTTCACGTTGTACTTTTTTTTCTTTTTTCTTAATCTATATTCAATATCTATATTTTTCTTAATCTATATCATGATATATTTTATGTTAAACTTTATTACAAACTATACCTTCCAACTCGTTCAAGTCCCTTTTCTGCATCTTGTAATCTTAAAGTTAAATTATTGGTGGAATTATATATAGCATCAGATTCGTCATCAGATTTTTTAATAGGAGTCATGCGAAGACGTGGTGGCGTTTTCCATTTCTTTCTAAATTCTAATGCTCGAGATTTTGTCATTGGTCCAGCAAATGCACGTACTTCTAAACGTGGACTGATTGGATCTGTATTTAAGCTCTACAAAAATATTTTCTATATAAATACAATGTAAATATATACATACAATGTAAATTGAAATATTATAACATACCAAAGGATTAGTAGGAGAGAAAGGCTCCCCAATCATAGGTTGTAATGTATTATCATCTGATCTTAATACAGGTACATAATACTGATCTTCTAGTAATAAACGTATTTCTTTTTTCAATGCTTCATCTTCTTGATGCGTTCTACTACAAATTATCTGCAATATCGACAAAAAAATAAAATAATATTTTCTGGATTATCAGTTACAAAAATATAAAGAATATATAAAAATAAAAAAATAAAGAATATATTTATTTAACAAAATATACGATAATATTTTTTGTAGTATAGTTTTAAACATTTTATTACGTACATCTATTGGTAGTTGTTTATATTTATTTGGCAATGTTTTTATACAACATGGATAAGAAACAAGAACTCGAACTACATTTTTTAAACCAAATTTAACTGCAAAATGTAACGGAGTCTCATTCAATCCCTTATCAGGTGTATTTAAATATAAATCTAACATAATCTGTGCACGATCCACATAACTCTTGCACTCATCACCATAAAGTAATTTTATAAAGTCTGTGTTTCCAACAGTGTTTAATATTAACTCACACATATCTGGTCTATCTGCTCTAACTGCAATATGTAATGCATTATAACGGCATCCTTCCTATAATGAGGACAATACAAAACAATGAAGACAATACAATACAATATGATAACATGAATATGATTATAAACTGTTGTCTTACTTGCAAAATTGCAGGTGTATCTCCGCTACCAATCAAATATCGTGGATTACCCCATACTGTAGTTTTTACAGCATATAAATCTCCATCTTTAATTAATTTTCTAAAACATACAAGCTCTTGAGAGCGTGGAGCTTTAAAATTATTTGATTTTTCTTCTATTACAGGTACGGTTGAACATATTGAGGTACTATTCACATAATTTGCTTTCTCAAAGCCAGTCTTAGCATATTCTTCAGCCTCTGATCGTTTTTTAAATGATTTTAAACGACCAGTTTTAAATTCTTTAATTACCTTCAAAGCTTCAGCTTTATCTTGATAAACTCGAATATTTTCTACAATAATTAAATATAAATTATTTGCTTTATTCAGATTACAAGATTGCGAGATTGCGAGATTGAGAAAGACAAAAAAATAATTTTTATTTTTATATATTTACCTTTAGTATTGTTTTCTATTGAAGAGTCAACATTTTCCTCAGGTATGTACACTGCATGAAAAACTATTTCACTCAATACATTAGAATTTCCATAAGTTACATGTAATGTTTGTGATGTTCGTTCGTTTTCATCCATTGTATTCGACGTAGTTTTTTTCTTATTTTATCTTAAGTCATATAGTCACTTATTGGTTATGTGTCACATACGAAAGTGTCAAAAAACATCCAGAAAAACTACGTAAAACTTAATATCTATAATTCCGTACGATATATCTTTTGTCCTTTTTCTTTCTTTTTTTTTTCTTTTTTTTTTTTTTGATCAAAAAATTATATATATTTTTTGTAATATGCAATTTGTTAAAAAATATGTATCTTAACAGTAGTTAAAATTTATATGGTTTTAAGCATCAAATCTATCGACTATTTACAAATTTACAAATATAAAGCGACGAGCATGAAAATATTAAACATTTTTTACGGAACAAAAATTTTCGAGAAACAAAACAGGAAACATGTATGGTACGCCAAGTAAATTCAAGGTTAAATTTCATTTCCAAGGTAATAATTAGTCATAATTTAAGAAGCGTTTACCATGGATATTTACCACGTACATTTTATCATAGACATTCTTTTTATAAAACGGAGATAATTCATAATATATAGTATAATTTTCTTTAAAGCAAAACTGAAAGAAATTAAAAACGGCGTTCATAATCAATTGTCGTTTACAAAACCAACCAATCCTAGACAGATGCCAAGTTGTTGACCAATTAGTTCAAATCAAGTAAACTGATGAAATTTTCTTGTATTTATTAATGTAATATAAAGTGAAATTTTATATTTAATGTTTTAATTTATGACATTTATTAAAAAAACTTTTGTCATTTATTTTAAAATAAAATTAACTTTGCATAAGTATCTCAATATCATCAATTTAACACGTAAATTAATTAATAACGATTGTAAAAGATAAAAATCTTTTTCTTTTTCTTTTAATTATCAAAAACAGCAATCAGCAGGCATTCCATCATGAATTGACAATTTCATGGGTTATTTATTAATTATCAATAAAAAATATATTTCTCAATACTTTAGGTTTTATTTAATAGAATAAAGATTCTATTTTCTTTTTACCAATCAAATTCCATTTTCACGTGAAGATTAAAATTTGCTTAACGTAATTTTCAGACTGTGAATTAAACCTAATGTAAAAAAAGAAGACTTGAGAAATAGAAATATTTTGTGCTTATTGTTAAAAAATTTTATTTTACTTACGCTAGATAATCATAATATCGTTATTTATCGAAACAACACGAATGCATTCGAAAGCAATCATATTGTTAACAAGACACGTGCACTCGTGAAACTATATATGTATCACATATTGAGAGTTTGAGAACGCTACGTGGGCGGAGCTATCACTACATCATCGGAATCAACCAATTGGCAAGTATCAACAAATTGTACGTCATCGAGTGTGTATTATCTTCCTGGTTGTTTGTAACATGTATTTTTTCTCAATCGTATTTAAGTTTAAGATTAGGCCTGAGAGTTTCGGAAGGCTGTTGTTACTGCTGCGAAAGACAACCAATAGTTGATACGTAGACGTCGTGCAAGGTACGTCGTTCTGATCGCTTTTCTCTATCGAGCGATGTTGATAGCAGCGAAGGAAGGAAATCAGTATTTTTTTATCTGTCGCACAATTATTCTTAATAATCGATCTGAACAAAGTAACAACGAACGACACAACAGATACAAGAGAATCCCGAAATGAATTTATCGTTTGCTGGCTGCGGTTTTCTTGGCATTTACCACGTTGGTGTAGCCGTGTGCTTCAAGAAATACGCTCCACATTTGCTTTTGGATAAGATTAGTGGTGCATCGTTTGGTGCTATCGCTGCTTGTTGTCTTCTTTGTGATTTACCCCTCGGTGAGTGAACTCCTTTGTTTATCTATCTACTAGATACACGATATCTTAAATAATTAGTTTCTTTTTTTGTGGTTCAATTTACGATTTTCGGGTTATGCACGTTCTTACGTTTCGTATCCATTGCGCTCATATAGCGCAATGTTAAGCAAATTATTCCTGTGTCTCCAAGAATAACAAATCAGTCATTAAATTTCAAATATCTTGTTCTTTTAACATCAATTATGACGACATTGCGATTTAAATATACTTAAAACCACGTTTTGCGTGTTGTCAGTCTAAGAAAAGAAATATAACTACTTTAAAATCTATCTTCAACGATTTTATATTTACTGGACAAGTTCAAACAATAATTTGTCTCAAGTATTAATTTATTAGATAGTGTATTTAAATTGCTCTCGTTTTGGTTATGTAAATGAGTAACACAGAGCACGATACAAAATAATTATGATAATAATGTTTCAAAGCTTAAACAAGCTATGAATATTTCACTGTATACAGTTAAATATATTTTATTTTATTACAACTTGTTACTACTGTATTACATCTACTGTTATTCATAAAATTTCAAAATTATTGATAGAAGATCTATAAACTTGAAGCTGTGAATAAATCTCATAATTAGGTCAAGCTTAGAATATGCAAATTGGAAGTAGTAGCAAGAACACTTATCAGATGTTTTTCTTTATGTCTGACAATAAATATATAACATAATGCAAACAATTACAACAGATATATATTAGCACGAGTTACTACGCACTACTGAAAATCTTTTACTGTGATAAAAGCTTATCGCCTTATATGAGAGAGGAATATCCTTGGTTTTTAATAATAATTTATCTGTACACTTGTTAATTTCTTTCTTATCAGTGTTAATTAATAATAATAACCGTGAGACAAATAAACTTCCTTAAAAAATATTCTTTAAAAAAAACTTTCTTAAAAGATATTTCACAATAGTTACGTATTTTTGAGATTAATAAATTTGCACATGTACAATTTTTTTCAAAAAAAATTTTTTTTTGAAAATTCTGCTTAGAAAGTTATATAAATTTTATTAAAAAATATTCTATGATGATTTTTAGTATTAATTATAAAATAAATTGTACATTGTACTCTCTACATATAAACTTGTTGAACTATGTTCATATTCTATCATATATATGATACAATACTATGGTCAACTAGAAATCCGATGCTTTTGTAATATGAAACTCATAACTTACATTTATAATTGGTTAAATATTTATAATTAATATAATTATTAAAACATTTTAAATAAGAATAAAAAATATCATGTAAATAAAATTTGTTAAATATTATATATTTATTTATATATTTATTTATATTATATATTTATAATATTATTTATTTAAATACATTTTATTTCCTTTAATGTACACCTACCTTTATTTATCAAAATATATTTATCGTTTCATATTTTTTTCATTACTTCCGTATCGCTGTATATAAAATTACATACATATATACATGCAGTGATAATATAATTAAATCTTACACATGTTAATCAGTTTTGATACGAATAAATCCGTGTTAAATTAAACGAAAACGGATATCATTCTTATTGTCTCGAAAGATAATTTAAATAAGCATGTTGCATGTAGCATTTATTTACGATTTTGAAATATTTTCAATAAATGAAATGAAAAATTTATTCATTCATCATATTTTGAATCTTTTTAGTATAAATAAATTTGCATTTGCAATTAAATATTAAGTATTACTTTAATTGTAATGTATGATTTTTAATTATGTGATTAATGTTGAATCACGTATTTTTAAAAAGTAAATGTTACGTAATTCTATCGTTTTGAAAATATTAATTAAGCAAGTTATAATTTTTGTGCATATACGTGATTTGAAGTCTGATAATGTATTCCTGATACGTGCGTAGCAACATTCAATAATTATTTACGTAATCTGTGATGTAAATATTTTCACAATGTTGTTTTAGTAAAAAAAAAAAAAAAATGCATTTAAGATCGTTTCCAGATTAATGCAACAAATTACTATATAACACACATAACGTGCGTCAACGCGTTTGTGATAAGTGATAAGCAATGCTGTTACGAAATATTTACAACAATATATTTTGAAAATGAAACATGTTCAGTGGCCAATGTATAATACATTATAAGACATACATAATCTTATAAGACATACAGAAAAAGATGAAATATTAATTCTTATATCTCCGAGAATAAATTAAGAAGTCATTGTAATACTGTACGTGCCCAATGATATATCTAACATTAATTAATTTCTATTTTTATTATCACGAAAAAAATAATTTAAGTCTAATTAATATCAGCAAATATGGATGAGTAATCTGATATGAGGATTAAATGCAACTGATAATCTAACTGCTACGAAATTTAAAAATACTGACATATTTGATTTTTTTTTATCCTGAGATAATCACATGTATTGATAAATGTTTTTTATAAAAACGTCAGATATTTTGAAACATAAAAGAATTTCTTTTTTTTTTTTAATATAATTGAAAAATTTATCATAATTACTGTCTACTGAAAATATCTATTTTTAAAGTAAAATGATTTAGGTATATTAGTCAGAAAATGAATACAGATTTTCTTCTATGGTAACATCAATGCTGTATGTTCAGCAAACAAAGGAATGTTTGTTTTTGTAGAAAGACAATGCCGGCTCATGCGATAAAAGATAAAGCTATATATATGTATATATATATATATATATATATATATATATATATAAATTACCAATTTAAAAAATTTTTCGTATTGAAATCTTTTACATTATGATCTCTTTTATAATCTTCCTTTCGCATCACAACGTTAAAGATTTTTGCTGGTTCGTAATAAGGATGCTCAAAATTTTATATCATGGATCTCTAGCTTACATAAAAAATTTGCTTTTCTTCGTAGAGAAACATTAAAGGTCCTATCCAGCGTTCCCATTTACAATATTCCCAGAAGATAGATTTCATAACTATAGTAAACATTAGATTTCAAGTTGTATATGTTTTTCCGGATTGTTAAGTATTCTTATCGTGTTTTCTTGGACAGTTCAAAACATGTTGAATAAGTTCTATAGCTTCTGTGTATATATATAATCAAAATTAAATGGAACTTTTTCAGTTAATTATTTTCTTTTTTTTTTCTTGGGATATGCTAATATATTTTCATTGTCATTTTAATTAAATTAATCTGTTGTATAATAGTACTTTCTATCTACTTATAATAGAAAACTTCATTTTTAATTTTTATTCTGATTTCCATATTTCGTACGAAGATAAAAATCATTTTTCTTCGTGTTTACGTGGACTTTAAATTTAATATCATGAATAATTTCGAATGATAATTTTTATATTATATTTTCTTATAATTATAATTTATAAAATATACATACATGTACATAATGAGTTTATAAAATAGAGAAAATTTGAATTTGTTGAATTACATTTTTATACATTTTCTTATCATTATCTTAGTCTAATGATATATTTCTAAACGAATCATATCTGCGACCTTGTAACATATACATGTATCTCTAATGAAAAAAATATAGTAAGGTAATTGAAGTAAAGAACTTGAGTAGTGTAAGTATAATGTAAAATGATATCTTTCATAATAACGATATCTTTCACAAAGTCAATCAAATCAAATCATAATGTGTACATAAATAATAAATATATAATATAAATATATTATAATGTTTTTATTATAAATATATAGCTATATGTAGTTCAGTTAAATCATTTTCAGCTAATGTATTCATATTCAGTAAATATACAAAAATTTTAATTCTACATTCTCATAGTACATATTAGTTAGTTCATGATATTAATTCATTCATTTAATTCATAATTAATATTATTTATTTATTTATATTGATTTACTTATTTATATTTCTATTGAAGATATTTCTATATACTTGTGATTCTATAACATTTTTTTCACAGAGATATAACATAGAAATACATATCATAATTAATTTAAGATATTGATACAATCAAAGTATAAAATTCAAGATAAAATAAGTACATCTGCGATATTTGCTTCTTATTTATATAAATAGAAAGATATCCTAAATTTTGGACTAAATACAGTAGGAATTATTTAAGGTTTTTCAGGAAAAATAAAAACTGTATATATAAAAAGTAGAAAGAATATCTTACAGGTTTTTATTTTTTCTATTTTATAATGGAAAAAGACTATATATTTAATTATATCACAGATTAGAATAAAATTTTTGTTCTAAGAAAATTTATGAAATTTAATTTTAATATAATTTAGTTTATATTATCTTTAGTTGGAGCATACTCTTAATTATTGTGTGATAATTATAAGTATTATATCTTTTTGTAGGGGAGTTCACAAGCAATATATTACGTGTGGCACGGAAAGCACGGCAACGAACACTTGGTCCATTTAGTCCATCATTTAATGTACAAGAATTATTATTAGAAAGTTTACAAAAGGTATATATTATTAACAACAATTGAAAATGGTTATACATATTCAAGTTTTGCGAAGATAACATAATATTTATATTTATATTTTTCAAAGTTGTTAAACTGAGTAAATACCATATTTGTTTCAGCATGTTCCTAATGACGCTCATATTCGTGTAAACGGTAAACTACACATTTCCTTAACAAGAGTATATGATGGACAAAACATAATTGTTTCACAATTTTCTTCTAGAGAAGACTTGTTACAGGTAAAACAATAATCATTTATACCTTGTCTTTCATATTTTGTATACATTTCAAGTTTATATAATTTAAATTTACATAAATTTAAATTTGTAATACTTTTTGTAATTCTTTTCTTTTATAGGCATTATTGGCTAGTGCATTTGTCCCAGTTTTCTCTGGTATTTTACCACCAAGATATCATGGTATTAGGTATATAGATGGTGGTTTTAGTGATAATTTGCCGACTCTTGATGAAAATACTATTACTGTTAGTCCTTTTTGTGGAGAAAGTGATATTTGTCCTAGAGATGTTTCTTCTCAACTTTTCCATGTAAATTACTTATGATTATTTGAATAATTTAAGAAACATTTAAATTAAATAAATATAATTTACCTAATAGTAGATTATTAAATTGCACATGAAATATAATGAACGAATATTTATAATTTATAGGTCAATCTTTCCAATACAAGTATTGAACTCTCAAGACAAAATATATACAGGTTTGCAAGAATACTTTTTCCACCAAATCCAGAGGTACGAAATATTTATTACATAGATAGCATTTGTATGGATAAAATTTAGACATTAATATTACTTTTAACATTATTCAAAATTATGTTTACAGATGCTCTCAAACATCTGCAAACAAGGTTTTGATGATGCATTAAGATTTCTTCACCGCAATAACTTACTCAATTGTACTCGATGTTTAGCTGTACAGTCCACATTTGTGGTCTCGGAAACTCTTGACGATAACATGGATTATGATCCTGAATGCTTAGAATGTAAAATGCATAGACAGGTATAGTAATTTCAGTAAGTTATATAAATTATAATAAAAACTTTTTGTACATAAATATACATATATTTTTTATAGGAAGCACTTGTTTCTAATTTACCTGAGACAGTTATGACTATATTTCAAGATGCAATTGATTCTGCTAATAAAGGCATCATTAATTGGTTATTTAAACATCGAAGTGTAAAACTTTTATCATTACTTAGTCTACCATGTATATTGCCAGCAGATGTAATGTATGCAACTTTTACAAAGTAAGTATTTTATTATGTGTTTGTTTTTTTCCTTTTAATGATATTTTTATATTTAAAATAATTGTTATATGTATCGTATTTTTTAATGTTTATATAAATTTGATAGAATAATAACATAAATAGAATAAGAAACTAATATGCATGAAATATTGCTTGTTTAAAATTGCATGTTAGTAAAATAATAATGTTATTGTATTTCTGATGTAAAAGAATTAGTAAGTATATTCATACCTTTATAGTAACTATTTAGTAACTAATGTTAGTTAATGATTTTTATGCTTGGTGTATATGTACTATATTAGTTTAAAATTATATTTGAATTAACATTTCACTCATGGCTCACTCATATTTTAATTATTTGATTGTTTAATTTTTGCATTTATTTGATATTGTGATTATGTATATCATATTTAACATTATGCATGTGGTCATAGTCTGATTGGTAACAAGATAGAAAGTTACACCTTGGAGTACAATATAATTGGCAATATTCTTCATACATCTCCACAAATGATTTCTTGTGGTAGACATAATATAACATCTTCCCGGTAAGCTTAGCAATTTTTAAGTTTTGCTATAAAATAAGCTTTGCATTTCTTAAGTACTGCTATATACAACGACTTAAACATACAATTATAGAAAATGAAATAAAAAGATATTTTAATTGAATATAATTCAAATAATCTATTATAAATAGGATTTTATAAAATTTTATTTTAAACAGTTATATATTTATAATGCATTATATTGTAGGTTTCAGATTAAATGCTCGTTTATTTTCTATTTGTATGATTTTTCCTTTTATTGTATACCTTCTCAGTTAATTAATTGTCAATAAATTAGTATTTTATTTTATTTTCAGGTTTATTTTAAATGTACCTAAATTACGAAGAAATCTATTAGAATTAAGAACATTTTTCTTAGACCAGTTACGCATGTTGTTGCCTAAAATCAATATTTATTATCAACAAATGCCACAGACTATTAAATGTGAATTGGATATTACAGAATATGGTTCCAGTAAATAGAATTTTTTTAAATACATTTTATTAATTATAAAAAATAATTATAAAAAATAGTAAAAATAATTAATAAAAATTAATATTTTACATTTTTTTTAGACATATACGATATGGAAGAGGCAGCTAAGACTGATAACTTATATAAAAATAAGAAAAATCTAAATCTAACTTTACAATATAATAAATTGTAAGTTTATAAATTTTAGTAATGTTTTTAAATTCTTTAATTAATAAATATTATTTTTTGGCTTAATGTATATTTTCCAGACAACCATGGAAAGAGCATAGTAATACATCAAATTGTGTTATAAATATGTCTAATCTTTCAACTGTTGATGATACTTTTGAAAATATTCTTCAGGTAAAATATATATATTAATAATTAATTTTCAAGTTTATTAATAAATTTCAAAATTAAAAATATTAAATGCACTTATTCTTGAAGCACAATTCGATTTAAATTTTCTTTTCAAATATATAGGTAACTTCTGATCAAGAAGCTGTAATGGCATATTATTACATGGATGATAATAACAAAGTACAAGTAACAGAAATATTTGACGTTACAGACTCTGAATCACATGCAATGTTATCTATGGATGAAATTGAAAATAATACAAAGTTACAATTTGATGAATGGGATGAACCCACATGGTTATCTCAACATACTCTCAATGATGGTAATTTATTTTAGCTACTAAATACTGTATATGTGTCTAAAATAATTATATGTATATTTTTTGTTAATAATATAATATATTTTTTATTTATAAATTTTTGTTATATTATAATATTTTATTTCATAATATTTGTTTTTTAGCCGTAACAGAATCTCTATATACTGATGCAAATCAAAGTATAGAAAATTTATCAGAAATGTCATTAGAAGACGATATTTTGGGAGTTCTAAATATATCTTCTGATCCAGAAAGTGAATGGGAAATAAGTAGAAATATACAAACAAGAGTTTCTACTCCATCAAATTTTCAGTCGGAAGTGAATTAACAACGATTGAAGATTTAAAGTAAAATAAATTTTCTATAATAATTAGAATGAATATTATGTACATATGATATAAACTATTTATAATTAATTATATTATCAAGTATACATATTTTTGTAGTCAGTAATATTGGTGATGTAGAAAGAAATGATACTAACTGTGCTCAATATTGATAATTTTTTATGTTTGAAAAATAAGTTGTTTAAGGAAATGAAGATTGTAAACAAGGACACTTTTATAAAACGATAATGGTCTGTGTTATGCACTGATGAATAAAAGATACAGTACAAGTATAAGAATGTGATATATATGTAAAAGAAGTATCTTCAACAGAGCATACACAGTATTTTATTATTAATACATCATGATAAGCAACATTTAAATTGTTATTAAATACTTGCAAGACAAGTATGAATAGATCTCCAAAAAAGAGACTGATATTAATAGAAATGCACATAAAAAATATTTATCCAGATTTTATGTTGAGCTATTATTAGATTATTAGATGGTTGTATATGTTAAACATGATGCTTTTAAGTACGAGAGCTAAGTAAGATATCTTGCCTATTTTTTTCTCATTTTCTAATTATATTTTTCTACATAGATATTTATCCAAATAGAGTGTTACCAAATTATTTGCAATAAATAAATAAATTGTCAAATAATGAAATTAATTATTTAAATTAGAGTATATAATATAGAGATATAATTTTTTATTGCATACAGCTGGAACTGAATGCCAATATACAAAATTTTTATACTGTTTATTATTAACGTAATTATTGATGAAAATAATTAATTGTTTTCGATTAATCGAAAATATCGAACCAAATGTTATTATGTAATAAGCGATTTTTAACGATTATTATAAAAAGCACAATTTATATATTGAATTATATATGAATTTATATCATAATTCAAAAAAAGAATTGTTGCTGTTTATATATATAATACGATTGATACGTTAGTTTAGAATCGATATAAGAATATTTTAGATAATTACTTCATGTAAATGTTATATATTTAAAAGATAATATAATACCAAAAGTACGAACATATATTATTTAATCTATTAAAATTGTATATAGAAAATATTTTTTAGTGTTAAAGACTGTACATAAGTATGTAATTTTAATTAAGAATTAATTATTAATTTGGATTTGTAATATCTTAATTTATTGTTTCACTTGAATATTTTCCTACGAAAATAATGGTTCATTTATTGGTGTAATTATTAAGAATATAAATAACATTTTACGTTTACTTTAAAATGTGAGAAATTATTATAGAAGCTGTTTCAGTATTTGTAATTACAAAAATTACTGAAAATAGCTACTTGAAGAATTTATATATTAAATTATGGCGTATTAATCTGTATATAATTAATAAAATAAAAATATTAGGACAAAAATTGTGTAATTTACCAACTTAACATCATTAATAATATGGATTTGAAAAATTTAGACAGAATTTACGAGAACGTATTGGATTTCTGAGTAATATTGAATTTTTTGGGTTTCTAATAATTTTAATATGTATATATTTTAAGTGATAGCATATAATGATTCAAAAAGAACGTCTAAATAAAAAAATATTTTTATTTGAAATAAATAGTAATAATATAAAGAAGGGTCGAGGTCAATAAAAAATGGAATATTTATTATATTTTTTAATATAAAACAAATCATATATGTATAAGTTATATGTACAATAATTGAAACCGCCCTCAAAGTAATATTTTGAGGCAGATTTTTTTTTTTTTTTTTTTTTTTTTTTTTTTTTTTTTGTAGAAATAATTTATTGCACATGCGCACAAGGATGTACTATGCTGATTTTTATAAAATATGTCTTTGTTGGTAAACATAGTTCGTTCATGAATAAAAATTGTATAATTTACAATTATAATTGCATGCATAATTAAAATTTATAAATGTCACATTAACTTAATATACAAACACCTCATTACATTTCTTATAGGCAGGCTCCAATTATTTAAATGTGATGAAATATTAATTATTTGAACATGTTCAGGCTGGATCTTCCCCAGGAGCAGCTGTAGAGTTCCTTTGAGGTTCAATTTGAGTTCTGTTTTGTGAATTACCTGTTGCAACCGCTACTTTATGTTGTGTAGCTAAACACTGTAACTGTTGCAGTTGTACAGGTTTGACAAGAGTCCTCTGTAACTATAGAATAAACAACCCTTGAATTGTACTTATAGTTTGAAATAAATTTGAAAATTTATATTTTAATATATAATTTTCTTTATTTAATTAAAGATACATACTTGTTGTTGTGATAATGTTGCCACGCCAAGACTTTGAGTTTGCTGACTGCACTGTCCTGTTGAAGCTCTAGCATGTAAGGATTTTGTCAATAATGTTTGTTTGTTTGCAGGTACTACTTGGGAAGAAGGTGTTGTTTGGGATGCCATAAGCACTGGTTTCGTTGCTGCTATAAAACATGACACTATCTTTATTTATTAAAGAAAATATGAATAAATTAATCAGCTTACAAAGGAAAGAATAAATTTATATAAAAACATTTATGCATAAACATAAAAATTGTATAAATATAGTTATATATAATATCCTATAATTGTACAATACAAAATTCTGTTCTTACTATAATAATAATAATAATCTATTCTAATCTATAATAATAATATATTATAACATGGTAACTATGGTAACTTACCCATTATAGGAGTTAACACCTGTTTATTGCCAGATAGTATTAACTGACTGGCTGTTACTGTTTTAGCCACAGTCACTAATTGATTTGATAAAACAGTTGATTTAACTTGATTTGGTTGTACTTGACGAGTTATGTGATTAAGTCGTGGCCTTTGAGATCCAACAAGTTGAATTGCTTGTCCACCCTAAGAAATAATGTTTATCTCATTTTGTGATTTAAAACTCAAGTTTTAATAAATTGTTATGTATAAATCACAAACATAATTTAATTTCAAATGTAATTTATAAATACCTGTGCGAGGGTAACAGAATTACTACTACGTATGTTTTGTTGCGATAATCCTTTGACTGCAGAAGGTATTATTTGGGCTACAACATTTATAGAATAATAAAATAAGACTAACTTATTTTGTATATCACAATTATACAATTTATATCGATATCAAACATTTACTTATCTTTTTAAGTCAACCATTAATATATTAAATAAAGTAATTTTATATAAAAATAACATATAAATCAATGTATCAAAAAGAAATAATTCTTACCAATTGGTAATGACAAATGAGTATTAGCAGGATTAGCTATTACTACCGTTGGTGTGCTTCCAGCAATAGCTGTTGTAACAACTGTAGTAGCTACCATCTAAAAACATAAATCAATATTTTAGAATAACTTTTATTCTTCTTATGTTAAATCAATCGAAATGTGCAGATGCGTGAAATAGAAAAAAAAAACTAACACTAGAAACCGTGGTGCAAGTATTAGTTGCAGATGATATAGGTAGAGAAACAATGACCCCTGTAGGTGTAACAGAACCCGTCGTCGCTGACACATTTAGCGACATCGTAATGGGTTGTGATAGTCCGGGAAATGATACCTGTCATATAATGAATAGTACAGTAGTATTTCATCCTCTACGCCATATGTAGAAATAAGCAGCTCTCCACAACCTGAACATTTTGGAGACCATTGATAGAATTTGACAGACTAGTAAGGTTTACACCCTGTAGGTTCACATTGGTAGATGGTGAAGTACTCATTGGCGTCGTAGATTGATTATTCTGATTGGAAGAAGCAGTTAATCGCTCAAGCAGAGAAGAGCCAGAGTTAATTCCCGGTATTGGATTATCTGCAGATGGTGTTCCTATTAACATTAAAAATATTATTTTAATAATACCGATACATAATTCCAACTTATTCATACTTAAAAAATTATATTTTATATAATTTTCTTAAATATTTACCTGCTAATAAAGCTGAAAGTCCTGACATCGATAATCCAAGAGTTGAAGTAGGATCTTGCACGCGAGCTAATTTCACAGCTGTTGCTTTGACAGGTTGTTGTTTACAATTTAATTGTCCTGTTAAAGTTGAACTTAAACTCACTCTTACCTAAAAATATATTTCTTAGACTTTCGAAATATATTAATCTCAAAAATGTATAAGTACAAGTTTAATTGACTTACTTGACCAGTTGTATTAGGGACATTAATAACATTTCCATGACTAAGAACTCTAGATGGGATGGAAGCATTCAAAGAGATCCTTCGTGGTTGGACTTTCTGTTGCGTCAAATTGGCAGGGCTACTATTTAACAAACTAAGGATCGCAGCATTATTTGACTTATTTGTAGTCTGTGCATTACTATTCATAGCAGCAGCTGCTGCATTTGCTGCAAGAATGTTCAATATATTTTGAATGTTTAATTATTTTTTTCTTACACTTTTTTTATTTTGCATTGAAGTACATATTAACAACAAACCTGCAGCTTGCTGTTGAAATTGTTGAGCAGAATTCATAAGAGACGTTACAAGAGCCGTTATTGCAGGATTGGTAGAATGTTTTTTAAACGGCATTTCATTTTGATTCTGATTAACGGTTTCTGTAACACAATTTTGTGTTCCAGCTTGCAACTGAGCTTGCTATGAATAAAATAATATATAGAATTAATATATCAAAATATAATGTTACACACAATTTATATAAATTCATGTAATTCGTACCAAAACTGGAACATTTGTAGATGTAGTATTGTTAATGTTACTGTTTGACTTTTGCTGAAAAACTAAAATTCCAGACCCATTACAAGAACTGCCATCAGTAACTGACATAGTAGAGTTATCAATTTGTACGGATGTGGAAGCATTTGATCCACCATTGGTCAAAGACTGCCCTGGACTCATTGACGTAGTCTCATTTTGGGCAATAACTTGTGGAATATTTGTTGCATCTACGCATGTCAAGTTGTTTTGTGCAGAAGTGGTAGCTTCTGTCATAGTTTTCATTGAAGCTACTTGTCCAGCTAAAGTATTTAACTGACCTTGAGCTCTTGATAAGATCTAAAATAGTAATGAATGTTAGAATAGTCCAGTTAGATTAGTTTATTTCAGAATAATCTTACTGAAGTTTGGTATGATTATGAGATTTATTTATTTAAATCTTTAGTGAGAAATATTTAAATTACCTGCTGCGCAACATGTTGAGATTGAGCTTGCTGTAAGTGCTGAGCAACTAATTGTGCTGCTTTTGCTTGCTGCGCCTAAAACAAATTTATGAAGTATTTATTTGAGAACATATATAATAAGAAAAAAAATATTAATATATACAAAACATTAAGTTGAACAAATAGTTTTACTTTTTGAATGTGTACCTGTTGATGAGCTCGCTGCATACCGGGTGTACATGTTACACGAGGAACTTGCCCTGGTACAACATGTTTTATTCTAACATTCTTTCTACCTTCTTCCGTAAATATTTCTGTAAATTGCTGAATGTAATGATTTGCCAGAACTCTTGTACCTAATGTGAACCTATAAAAAGATTCCAAATGATTTATTTATTTAATTAATTTTCACGATTTCAACGAACTACAAAATATAATTTGATAGAACGAAAATGAATTAAATATAAAGAAGAATTTACCGGCACGCTGATCCGTTTTTCTCTCCTTCACGATGATTCTTATCCATATAAAGCTCTCCCAGGTACTCAGAATTAGAAGGTCTTTGTAGAATTGAAAGCTTTATGTGATCTATTTCACCTTGACTTCCTCCCGTTTCTAATATATATTCTTCTATAACGTGTGGCAAACAGTCTTTTGTTTCTCGCGGGCGTTCATATGCTTTTGCAAATCTATCATAGTATAATTTTGTATATTAATTTGTATATTAACGATAAACAATATTAAAATGAATTTTTTATTGAAATATATACCTTAAAACATCGATAGGTGTACTTGGTGGAAGTAAAGGAGGGTTTGTAAGAGAAGGCGGTGGACAGGCAGTGGTTGTAACTATTCTCCTTTTTGTTCTTAATTTCTGCATTAAATCTTGTATTGTTAGTCCCTCCGGTTGTGCTAATTGTTCCAATTTTCTTTTGCGATTAACTGTAACCTATTAAAAAAAAAAAAAAATGCAAAATTAAGTCATCTGATAAAACATATAAGCACAAATAAATAAAAATCGAAATTACCTGTGAAAACTTTTTGGCTTGTCTCATAAGTTGATGATCAGTAAGCAGAGATTTAGACTGCTTCAATCGTGTTGTAGCTAAGCTAGGAATAGGATTTGGATCAAGACAAAGAGGTCCTTGAGTAGCTGCAACTAAATGCGATTCTAACATTAATCGTTCTTCATGACTCCAATCACCATCACTAGTCAAGGTTGATACATCTGAAAGTACACTCTAAAAAATATGAAAACATTATGCCAATTAATTTTATTCCTTTCTTTAACGTTTCATCTAAAAATATTTTTTTATTACTTATATTAATATTTTTCAAACTTCATTTTTACTTAAAAATTATTTTCAATTTTCTTTTTTAATATTTTTACTACCAAAAATTAAAAAATTTAAATTTATATGAACTGTTATTAAAAAATAGCTTGCATTTTTAGTTTGAAAAATAATAAATGTATTGTAAAATAATAGTAATATATTATATTACTATTTTATTTCTCACTTGTGTTGTGGGCTTAAGAAGCACATGATGAACTTCAGCTTTAGTGTGAGGAAATGCTTTTCGATAATCTCGAACTTCAGCTATTATACAGCCATCATAAAATAAATGAGAATGATTGGTTTCTAGTTGTTCAGCCAACATTGCAGGCAATTGACCATTATCTATACATGAAAGCAATTCACCCTGTTCGTAACCCATCAATTGTGTTTCAGCTAATATTGAATTTTTATCATACTGATTCCCCTTATCACTGTTAAATTAAAATTATTTAATTAATTTAATATTATTAATTTAGTTTTCTAATATATATTATTATACATTTAATTGTAAAATGTAATGTACTTACCTATTTCTTACAGCTAGTGAGTATCCTTTATTACCAGCATAGAGATTAACAATTAATGTATGTAAACTTTCTCTTTGCACCAATCTTCCCAAAAGATCACATTCATTTTCTAAATTATTCTATATGAACAAAAGTATTATCAATACATAGTAACTCAATTTATTAATTTATAAAATTAATTTATCATATTAATTTATATAAGTTTCTGTAAAATATACATACCAACACAGAGTCAGGAGTTGCATGAGGAACTTTAGTAAGTTCTTCAAAATATAATCTAGTCAATTTTGACTGAATGCTATGTTTAGAATGACTCTGTTCTTTTTTTTGAATAGATGATTTATCACATGTTAAACTTACAGAATTTTGTCCTTGAACATTTTTCCAACATTTGGAAACTTGATTTATCATATCCTGTATAAAACAATATAAATATAGAAATTTACTCTTGAAATAGTTACAAAATTATAATAAATTAATAATCAAATAATACCTGAGCCTGCTGACAAGCATCTTCTAAACTACAGGCTGTACCAATCATTTTAATTTTTGATTGCTAAAACCATTTAATGTCATATCTGATATATGAATGAATTTTCATGATCTGAAATAATTTCATAAAATATTAATATCATGACTAATGGGCATAACATAATTTTTATAATCTAATTTCAATTTAAAAAATGTATATTACATTAATTTACGTAATACTTATGTTAATAAGTTTAATTTAAAATAATGCTACAATATTATTTTTGAGAGTGTTACACTTTATAAAATAAATCTAGTATAAAATATAAACTATTGATATTAATGATCAAAGTAAATTTTTTTAATATTTATCTGAATATTTTATTTTCTATGTAACACATTATTCAACTATATGTAACTGAATTATTAACACTTTAAAAATTTGTGTATATTAATGAAAAAAAAAACATTCATATTATATTTACAAGAAAAACATTATATACCAAAGTCGAAATTATAAACCAAAACATTATATGAAGCTGTATTCATAATATTATATAAATATATATATTTATATATATAATGAAAAATAAAAAATTATAATATTAAAAGTGGTTTCAATTAAGCAGAATAATTTGATGAAAAGTGATAATATAATTTATTATAAAAAAATAAGAAAATATTAATGCGAAATATTTTGCAAATGTACTTTTACATACATTTGTTTATTGACGAGACTATTATGTTTTTTATCTCATCTTTTGAATATTATAACAAATACTTCAAACATAGTGGTAAATTAATCAAAAAAATAAAAAATTAAAATTAATAAATAAAATTTACCGAAACTAAGGGTTATGTACAAGTTACAAATAAATGTGTGAGAGTTTTAATCACAGCGTGAATCCACCGAATGTCAAAACAAGCACGTTTACAAGAGAGGTTATGTAAATGTTTATGTATTAACAGAAATTACATTTATATCTTTTCAGTAAAACATAAACAATAGGTTATTTACCTCTAATAGTTCCAAAAAATGATCTAATAGTAAACATTGGACACGGGATGTGACTTAAATTAATTTTCTTATCATAACCTCACATCAATTGTTAAACAATAGACAGGTTTACAGACAATGAAAATACTTGTCAACGAGTCCTAATAATCAACAAAAATCAGTTAGTGTCAAATAAATAATATTTACAAGTTAGAAACGTCATTTTAGAGGACACAATGTAACCTATTATACAAACACCACACAATCATAGACTGGAAAATTGACCACATTTCTCTCTAGTAGGTTATTCAATTTATAGTTCACAGGCTCAACTAGCATTCGAATAACTAAAGACGGACTCAGTATTTCACGTTCAACACTGATCCCCCTTTAAGAAAAAGACAGATCTATCGAGAAAATTATTAGTGTAAAAGAGAAACAGCATCAAGAAGTCTAACCAACTTTTCGGCAAATTTACTTATGAAAATGAATACGTAAATAATTGCATCATATTAATTGATGTAAATTTTATAAGAGTAGAAGCTTTTTATTCGACATATACTAGCTTTGAATTATATTTTTGATGACAAACCTGTGTTCATTTATTTATAGTATTTTTTATTTATAATACAACTGTACTACATTCAGATTCCGTTATCAATATACCAATGGGATTCCATTCTTTAAATAAATTGTTCATGTTCAAGATTATGATAATCCAAGCCTAAGTTCAAGACATAGACATTTTGTATCGAAGATCGATATTTGTAAGTATACAAGACAATGTAATTTTGCAAATATATAATAACGCTATGTTAATATAAAAACATCATAGTGTTGCATGAGAAATGTATGGAATTCAAGTCAATTTAAGAAAGCAAACTTTGCTTCTAAATTTTCACAACTGTTTGTACTCTTAGGTAAGTGATATTTTAACACTGTCATCTAGAAAGAAAAATTGGAAAATTATTCAATACTCTCTTACTCACTTCTTGTTTCTGTAATATCATAAATTGCATTTAAAAGACATAGAAGATTGGATTCTTTGGTCTATCTACTATTCTCCGACTTTTGCAAAGTATTTCGTGAACATATAATACTTATATTCCAAATGTTTTAAATACTATATTATTTATAATTTTATTTAAACACAATATAATAAATTCATACATTCGTGCATTCCTTCCTCCATACACACACACACACACACATATACATTATGTACATATTTTAAATTATTAATTAATTATTTATATAAATGTTTTTTATTATTAAAATATTTATTAAAAAAAAATAATTTATGGTTATTTAATTATAAGGTTTATGTGTTAATGTGATTTTTTGTGAGTTTGAAATATTAATTATTAATTATAATGTATAATTTCGTTTTCATAATGGTTTGTAGTTTATAATAATAATTATTATATACTTATCAATATAAGTTATTTTTAAAAGTACTACATAATCATTTTGTATTTATAATATAATTTTATTACATACCGTATGTCATATCACAAGTGTTTTGAATAACCCGCCATTTAAACTATAGTTAGTTCATTTCACTCAAGAGGGTACATGATCTTTAATCGACATTATAAAGCTCTTATCTATATGATCTTGCTAGTGATTTGTTTAGCCTTAACAAAGATTCAGAAAATGTATCGTTCATGACTATCAATAAATGAAAGAAACATTACGAACTGATTTTTCTTCAAGTTAGAGAACGTTCGCGCTGCAAAGTGTTCTAATGGACGTACTGTGATAAAACCGTCTTCGTTAAGTGATCATAAATCGTAATAATTATTCTAAGTGTTAATTTATCGGTTTTGTTGTTTCGATTTATTAATGACATTTGAATTTTAATATACAATCAAGAATAATGGGTGTTGGCCTCAAACCATTAGAGTTTACGGATTGCTTAACCGATAGCCCTTATTTTCGAGAAAATCTTCATTATCATGAGCGTGAATTGGACAAGACCAGCCAACAAATTAAACGGCTCATCAAGGTGGTCAAAGATCTTTTAGAAGCTGCCAAGAGTAAGTCTATTTGTTCCAAGATTGATAAGGTTTTCTATGCTCATGTAACAGCTGCTCTTATCTTACTCTGTTTTACTTTCGTATTTTCCAATGACACATTTTACTTATAAAATTACAATATTGATCAATCTTATAATCAACTATATTAATTATCACTAAACTCTTTTTCAAGATTTAATTTATTTTTATTAATTAATTCATTACGTATATTATATCTTCATGTTTTACTATTGTGCAACTTGTACTAAATACTTATTTTTATGTCATAGCATATTATATTATGGAATCTATTAACCATTTTAGATTTATCCAAAGCGCAAAGAGCATTTTCCAAAATATTGCAGAATTTTAGTTTTGAATGTATTGGAGAAACTCAAACTGAAGACGAAACTCACATATCACAAAGCCTTAAGGAATTTGGTAAACTTATTGCATCAATAGAGGATGAGAGGGATCGCATGGTATGCAATGTTTTTAGTATATAAGTATGTTTTATACTCATTAGATAAATTTATATTCTTGGATCAAAATAATTAAAATATTTATTATAGTTTTATTAATTCATTATAATTCAATTTTATAATGTTTGATATAAGAAATGAATAACTGCAATATGATTGGTATAAGTTTACCATAAAAGTTACAATATAATTTCTTTTTAAATTAACTAAAATATTTTAAATAATAAACTTTTTTTGTTTTCTCTACAAAATATATATAAAAAGATATAATAAGTGTCATTATAAAAAACCTTTGTTTTTATAGAAGGAGCACATCCTGGTTATTTAATGGTATATCTTTTGAGTCATATTTTCAATCAAAATGTTTTCTATATTTTGCATATTAAATTATATTTATTTTTTCAAGTGTTTCTTAAAAGCAAACAATTTAGTGTATCATAATGTACATATTCTTTGTCATGTTTCTGAATGCACATATAAATAGTTCTTATTTTTTTAATTACAAGAGAGCTTTCAGCATTTATAATAATATCCTCTTCAAGGAGCAAGTGAACACTTCATATAGTATATTGCATGTAACTGTTACACATATATAACATATCTTTATAAAATATTTTAAGCATTTAATGCATATAAAAACAAAGACTAAGTATTCTTAGTATTATTAACATATCAATAACATTTTTTAACAAGTTATGTGTTTAATAATCTTTAATAATTAAGTAAGTTGCATATTTAAATATTTGTTATGAAAAATAAGTCTTCTTTCCAAATAGTGAAATAACAGAATGCTGTTATGCTTTTATTATAGCTTGTATGTATGTGTGAATAGAGGACACATACATACATTTGCAATCATTTCAAAACAGGAATGTCTTAGTAATTTTTTTTATAGTTCAATAATTTTGTATCTAATTTTCTATTTTAGTATTGACATAGTACAAGATTTTATGATGTTTAGAATAAATAATTAGGATTGGATCATTACATCTCATCTATATTTTGAATATAAAGGCACAATATTGTTCACTTCAGTATTTAGTGCTAAAGTAGTTATGATAAGCTTATTCAAGTAATGTGTATTAGTAAATCACATTTTCTTTTAATACTATAAATAAATATTTCTTGATACATAAATGTGTGACTAATAAAATAATTAAATTGTGTTTTTATATTTAATTCATATTACATAAATTTTTGTATTATTTAGTGATTTTTACATACACGCATTAATAGAACCATTATTGAAAAAAAATTGTAGTAATATAAATCAGTTTTCTAATATATTTCATTTATGTATCAAAAAAGCAACTATAAAAATTTATAAGAAATTAAAAATGCGTTTTGAATGAAATGTTAATAAGGATTAGAGATATTAGAATCAATAGATCATTTAATATTCTTAAACATTATTTAATAATCATAAATTTTAAATATAGTATGATCTTATTACATGAAAATGTTGTTGTTATTACTATTATTATTTTAATAAAACACATAAAAAATGTTTATTATTTCAATTCAAAATAGATTTCTACATTACTTATTATTTATATAATTTTATTACATATTTTTTATAATATTGTGTTTTTGTAATAAACATTGACTCACAATATAATTATCATTTTTTATTGTTTGTTATGCATATATGCACATATAATCCTTAAAAGTTGTATAATTTTATTTTCATATATATTTATTTTAATACAAGATAACATCATTGCTTATTGTGATTCAATGAATTTAAATTTATACTTTTACAAAAATTTTACTTTATTCAGTAATTTTTGTTTTTAGCTTGATCGTGCTCCTGATCAAATTATACTTCCTTTGGAAAACTTTAGAAAAGAACATATAGGAGGTGTCAAGGTAATATAGAAATTTTAATTTGTTTTAAGAAATAATATATAACTGAAATATATTAATAGGAAGGAAGGAAAAAATTTGAGAAACAGACTATAAAATTCTGTCAAAGTCAAGAACGCTACTTGAATTTATCTACGAAAAAACAAGACAATGTTCTTCAAGAAGTATGAATATTTACATATTTTGAAAGTAAATCATTTATAGTGTCTGATCTATTAAGATATACTATTTTTAGGCTGATGCAACATTGGAAATGGCCGAGAGACATTTTTGTCAAGCTAGTTTAGAATATGTGTTCTTACTTCAAGAAGTACAAGAACGTAAAAAATTTGAATTTGTGGAAACTGTAAGTTTTTTCTTTTTATAAGTTTTTCGTTAAGTTATTGAACTATAAATTAGAGATAATTAAACATTTTGTTATAAATTTTTTTTTTCAGTTACTAGGTTTTATGTTTGGTTGGTTAACTTTCTATCATCAAGGACATGAAGTTGCAGAAGATTTTAAACCTTATATGACCGAATTACAGCTAAAAATACAGAAGGTTGGTTTTCTTTTTACTTCGTATTTCATTGCTTAAAAATATATGAAAAAGCATTAGAAGCACGATTCTAAAACTGATTACTTACATTAGCACTATTCAAACAACAGAGTTGCTTTGTGCATTGTAACATTGATTTATATAAATCTATAAAGTACATTGTATATTGTTGTTTCACATTCGATTTCTTATATATTTTTATAATTTATTTATAATAAATAATAATTCAATAATTTTTATAAATAAAAAAAATTAAAAAAATTGTGTCATTTTATTCTAATATACATTACTCTGTTCAGTTTATCATTATAGAATGTGATACAACATATTCCAAATATTTTAAGAAGATTATTTGGGATATATATTATTGGGTATTTTTAAATGTCTTGTGCACTTTGAAGTATTTTAATATTAGTAATTCTTTTATAATATGATTTAGTTGTTAATGTTCAACTACTTGTAGATATACTTAAATGTAACTTCTTACTAAATTTTTGTGTGGTGCAAATATTATTAGGATAACAGCATGGCAAATAGCTTACTAATTTTCAATTTTATGTGTGTGTGTGTGTTTTACAAGACTAGAGAAAATTTCCTTGCTACCCGGGATAAAACAGAATCACTTATGAATAAAATGAAGGATATGAAAAAGGTATGTGACATATTTTACTTATTTTAATTATTTATTTTTATTATATTTTTATTTACAATTTATAAGAAGAAATGATGTATATCAAAACAATATAAAATTATTAATTCTAGAAATGATTGACTGTAAGTTTCATTCACATATTGTATTATTAAAAAAAATCATTTATTGCGTAATACTAATAACAACTAATAATAAAATTATGATAATGAAAATATTAGTAATATTTTCATTTTGTAGTCTGCTGTAGAAAGTGGGGTCAATAAACTTTACACACGTGAAGGTTATTTATTTCTAATGGAAAAAAGTAAGTATATTGATTTTTATATATTTAATAAATGTAACAATCTTTATTAATATTTGAACGTATTAATATAATCATAAATTTTTATAGAAGCATTTGGCACAACATGGACAAAACAGTATTGCACATATCAAAAAGACAAAAAGGAATTTACAATGATACCTTATAATCAACTTACAGGAAAATTTGTAAGTTAATTTTCAATTAATTGTTATGAATGTTACTATAAATTTACTATCAAGAAAAAAGAATCAATAGCATTGTTTTAACTTAATAGAGTAGCAAAGAGGTTTTCACCCTGGCATCTTGTGTACGTCGTATGTCAGATACAATTGAAAAAAGATTTTGTTTTGATATTACCACTGTTGATAAGTGAGTTCAATTCATAATAATTTGTAATGCAAATATTTGTATATTAGTTTTATAATTTTTTAATATTTTTTAGAGGTAACATAGTGTACACATTTCAAGCACTTTCTGAAGAAGATAGAAAATTATGGCTTGATGCCATGGATGGTAAAGAACCAGTAAGTGATTATTATTTAATTTCTAATTATATTTTAAATTACGAATAATCGTTGTGCACAAACGATCATATATCGATATATCAATTGAACACAATTGGTATATGATTTCAGAATTATCCTATAGTAGGTGCATCAACTAAATCTGAAGAAACTGTTTTGGATGAAACAGGTTTTATATTCGTATCAAAATGCATTACAACACTTGAAGATAGAGGTGAAGATATATACGATTTAATTATTTTATTTTAAAAATTCATCAAGAAATAATTTTAATACATTATATTACTCTACAGGCCTTGAAGAACAGGGTCTATATAGAGTTGTTGGTGTTGCTTCCAAAGTAAATAAACTTTTAGCAATGGGGTTAGATAGGAGGAAATTAGAAAAACTTAATCTTGATGATCGCTTTGAATGGGAAAGTAAAACTATTACTAGTGCACTCAAAACATATTTGAGGACACTGTCTGAACCACTAATGACTTTCCGATATTATAATAGTTTCATTTCAGCTGCGAGTGCGTATAGGTATTCTCTATAATATTATTTTATTTCAATCTTCAAATTAAGAATACTATCATTTTTATATTAAATTTTTATAAGTTAAAATAAATTTTTTTCATATTATATTTTTCATTTTTATTATTCTTTTTAACAGAACAAGAAATCAAAGAAGCACGTATTAATGATGTTCATAATCTTGTTTATCGGCTTCCGAAAGCAAACTTCAATATGCTAGTTCTTCTTATTAAACATTTGTACAGGTATAGTATATAATCACAGATTTGATTCTATCTAATCAAAATGAAACAAATTGTGCAGTTAAGTAAAATTTATTCAATTGTATGATATTTGCAGTGTGGCGAAAAAAAGTGATAAAAATTTAATGACTATTGGTAATTTAGCTGTATGTTTTGGTCCATCTTTGTTGCGACCAGAAGAAGAAACAGTAGCTTCTATAATGGATATTAAATTTTATAATATCGTAGTTGAAATTTTAATTGAAAATTGTGAGAGAATAATTGCTGGTCCACCACAAGATACTGTACGCTCAGTACAAAATACTGCTGCCTCTAGATCGCAACGCGTTAATGTAGAAGATGGATCAACATCTTCTGGTAATGGTACTCCTTTTCTAAGGTATCCAGTACATAGTAATGTATCTTCACCACATGGACATGTAAGTTGTATATTAATTGATCTTAAATGTGGATTTATATGGATTATACAATATATTGTCTGAAATTAAATTAATTTGCACAGCTTGGTATGAGATCATATTATGATAGCTCACTAGCAGTTGTTGCTAAAGCATCTTCTATAGACGAACGAAAAAATGGGGACTATGAAGAAACAGATCATGCGAGTCACAGAATGCCAACATATTTAGATAGTCGAAGTGGACGTGTTAAATTAACTAATACAAATCTTATGTATCATTCCGCAGATAAAGGTTATTTTAATCCTTTTTAAACGTTTATCTGCGTGATTTATAATTTAATAATCGTAAATAATTGTATAAATTCAGTATTAACCAGTGGCAATACAAGTAGCTCGAGTGAATCAATTGCTTCGGATCCACATTCATTTTCATCTGATTTACCAGTAAAACAAAAACGTGGTTCCATAATGTCTGTACATTATCCATCAAGTTATGCTCAACGAAGTAATGCATCAGTATCTGTGTAAGATTTTTCTTACTAAACTGCTAAACATTTAAATTCGTTACCTAAATGTATTTTTAGTATGCACATAATTTTATTTTTAGGGTTAATACATCACCTAGTAGTGGACGTTCAAGCCCTGGACAAGTACCTGGTATTTGGTAAATATGAAATTCTTATTAAACATCTTTATCATAATGTTCTGTATGTACTTCTATTAGATATCAATATTGTATTGTTTAAAAATACATTTTTTCTTATAGGAGAGTCCGCACTTTATATGCATGTGTGGCTGAAAGCGATGGAGAATTGTCATTTGAACCAAATCAAATTATTACAAATGGTATACAAAATTTAGTAATAATTGCACATAAAAAGACTGCCTTATGAGTATATTGTTATAATTTTCAATTACAGTAAAGGCCTCTTTGGAACCAGGATGGTTGGAAGGTACATTAAATGGTAAAACAGGATTGGTCCCAAAGAATTATGTTGAACAATTGCCTTGAATTTGGAAAAACCAAAGAGTGCCTATATTGTTTTTACATTCCATAATTCGTAGGGTATGTTTAGTACTATTGCCTACTAAAGCATATGTTCGCGAAAACAGGAATGCTATACAATGACACTTGTGAAATACAATGTTTTCTATTTAAATTCCTTTGGGTACAATTTACATAGTCAATTACACACGCGTGCGCACGCGTACACATTTACATCACACATACAAACATCTTTTATTTATTAGGAGCCTTTTTGCTCAAAGACGTCTATAGTGTATATAATCACTTGTAGAAAAATTTATATATATCTACATATATAGTGCTAATATATTATATGATATTTAAATATATTTGTACTAAAAGATATTAATCCAATATACAGCTTTTAGGAGATCTCATAGGCAATAACATTGTTTATAGTGCGGTAATCTCCACGCATAAGTGCACACACGTGTACACACATATGATATCAAAATGTGATAAAATAAATAAATACCAAATATAATCAGAATTTTTAATAAAATTTTAATAATATAAAGACTACATCAATTTATAATTAAATATCTCAAAAAAATGAATATATTTATAATTTACAATAACAATTTTATTAATGTTGTAATATTAATATTATAATGAATTTTAAAAATTGAATAATTTAAATTATAAATTAATATGATAATAAAAGATTGTCAAATATAACAATGTAAGCAATGTATTTAAAATATCATTTTATGATAAACAAAATTATACATTATTGCAAATTAAAATTTCATTTTGAAATATTTTAAAATATTTTATAAGATATTTGTTATTAACAAAATTTTCTAAATTCTTTTTATTTTTAATATTTAAGAAATTTTTATTCTTTTACTCTATATGAAATTTAATTTAAAAGAATTAACTATTAAATTAATTAATATACTATTAAATTAATTTATTATCTATATATCTACAAGTGAATATCATGTGATTTTAAAAAGTTATTATATAAAAACAGTTGATGCATTTTATAAAATTGTTTTATAAAAAAGAGATACTTTGTATATTTTAGTTTAATTATTGTCCTATGATAATATAATAACGAGAATATTAATGTGCATAGATGATACAATTTATTAATAATTATATTCTTAGTAAGAAAATATATTTTTGTTAGAAATGATATTGTTTGATTTTTTAATTTGAAAAGTTATGAAATAGTTTAAAAAGGAAGTTCAAATTTTGAACTATATACTTGCAAGATCTGTACAAACTTAATTTTTACATAAATTATTATTTAAATTTGCTAAATAAATTTCCATTTCTGAACATCCTGCTTTCAAAGCATTCTTTTCTACACTATTCCATATAGAACTCATAAACAAAGTATAACACAGTATTGCTGTTAATAAGATACGTCCTATATTAACCCCAATAGTTACATCGAGAGATGAAAGAAAACAATCCAATCCCATAGACCACACAAGTGGTATAATTAATATACAGCTTAACAACAAATACCAAAATCGCTGTCGACGAATATTTTTCAATGATGTTTCACATATATTTATAGCTTCCTTTATTAAATCTTTAACATCTGTATTTATAGTTTCAGATTCACCTGTAATAAAAAAAATGTAAGTATTTTTATTCATTTTTATATCATTTTTCATGTGATTATATTTATTAACTCACCAGGGCTAAATTTAAAAGTTGCCATCACAGCTTCGTGATCAGAGTAACTAAAGTCTTTGTATGGTACTCGTTTTGGGAAAGGATGTTGGAAATTTGTTATCTCTATCTACAAATGTAATATTATTAACATAATTATTTTGTATTGGTAAACTAATGATAATAAATTAACACACCTTAACATTCTTTGAACCTTGATATAAAATATGATCTATACGTTTCCCCTCAGAAAAATTTCTTGCAAGTTTTGAATTAGTATAACTATTATTGGCACACTCAATGGTCCCTAAATTATTTGAACTACTTGAGCAAGCATCTGCTAAACCAGCAACACCACAAATTATTTTATAAGCTAAGTCTTTAGGTTCTGTATTAAGATCACCTCCCAATATTACAGAGTCAACACCACCAGAAGTCATTTTAATAAATTGGGCAGTATCAAAAGCTTGTAGAATCCTATGTGCTATGTATTCATCACTGTGACTATTGTATTCTGCATGTAACTGAAATATTTAATACTTATTGTTATATCCAAAACAGATCTCAATTATAAATCTTAATAATCAAATTTACGTGTGTAATATAAACATTAATGTTCATATTGTGAATTTGAAGTCTACAGAGGCCAACACCTTTTCCACCAAACCAATCTCCATGATGTATTTTATGTACATATCCATTTAAAGACCATTTATGAAACATCACATCCTTAACAGGAAATTTAGATAAAATACAAATTCCTGACCCAAGGACACCACTACACAATGCATTTAATAAAATTAACATTATTAATAGTAGAAACAAGTTTACTATTATACTAATATATTTTAACTTAAACTTATATTCTCATAATACTTTATTCTCACAATTAATAATTAAAATGATAATGAATGAGATATTCACCTGTAGAAATAATGCGAATAAGGTAACTGTTCCTGTGTCTTAACTTTTATCATTTTGAAATCTTCAACTGACCATACTTCTTGCAGACAAATGATATCATAATTTTCAGTAGCAAATTTTTCTGCAATTGCTATCATACGAGCATTCCTATTTTGTGAAACATATGGTATCCCCCTAAAATATATATTATATATACATTTGTTAATTACAATTATATATCCTAAATATATGAAAATGTTTATAAAAAAATATAATTGTTATAAAAATAATTTTAAACTAGATTCAATTAAACAAAAGTAATCTCATATTTATATCACTTACCAACAATTTAAAGTTAAAATATTTATCAACACCTCGTCTGCCATCTTATAAACTATTCGTTTAAACAGATTAATATGTATTTTTTTTAACAATCAGATATGATATGTTATTGAACTAAAATTTCAAAAATACCATGGGAATGTTTTAAACAAATTCAAATTTTTTATTGTTTTCTTTATCACAGATTCAAATAGTGCCTTCATGGTTACACATTTTGCTCTTTGTTTCTAGCGTTTGTGATTGAGTACTGAGTACATTACACTCTAACTCTACCACGTTTTATATATTTCTAAGCAATGATTCTCAACTTTCTTTCATAAACATCAAATTTTTAATTTATTTAAAAGTGTTTCTTTATAATTCGCATAAATAAATATAATATATCATATATACAGTTATTACCAAATATTTAATGTAGTGGAATGTGCATTAATTACATTTTATGAAAGTTTTTACAATATACGTATCACACGCCAAAGAAATTGATACAATAAGAATCACTGTAATCATATTTTATCTTTGTGGTTAAAAATATAATTTTTAAATGATTTGTCTTTTACATTAATTTAAATCTTTTAACTAATCGTAAGTACAATTAACAAAAGTAACTATGAATTAGAATTGATAAAGAAATGAGAGAATTTTAACATTGGTAAATTATAATATTAATGAATTATAAAACAAAGTTTTTGGAGTATATATATATATATATATATATTTTTTTTTTTTTTCGAAAAGTATTATTCTCATGGAAATTAATAGTTATATTAAGTACTAAATACGTGTTAAGTAGAACCAACCAATTTTTCTTAACACAGATTTTCATTTTAAGAACGTCAATTATTATATATAAGTACAGTATTGTTGACAAGATAATCATCTTATGTTTTCTAGGGTGAGGGTGGAGTATTAAACGTACATAATTGTCTTTATGGTACAATTAGAAATTATTATACTAAAATGTATTGAATAAATTATAAAAGAATCAAGAATTATTTTGCTTTGTTATAAAAAAAAGTTCGAAATTTTAATACACTTGTCTCTAGAACCTTAACCTCTATAGAGGTAAGTATTATAAATATGATGATTATTTTGATTAATATCTACGTGAAATTTTAATTTTCTTAATTATTAATTTATCTACATAGACCTTCGTTTAAAATTCATTTTATAAATATTTTTTAAATAATCAATTAATTTTATGTTTTATGTTTTTAATAAGATTTAATTTTTATTAATACTTAATACTTTTATTTAGGTTTATTCTTAAGTTCTAATGGCTACTGACAAAGTAACTTTGGGCGATGCCTTATCAAATGTTGATGTACTTGATGAATTTACGTTACCTGATGAACAGCCTTGCATTGAGGCACAACCATGTTCTGTAGTATATCAAGCCAATTTTGATACTAATTTTGAAGATAGAAATGGCTTTGTTACTGGAATTGCCAAATACATTGAAGAAGCTACTGTTCATGCAAGTTTGGTAATTATCAAATTGTATTTATAAATTGTATGTTATGATATCTAATTATATATATATGATGTGAGATAATATTATTTTTCATGCTCATGGAATTGCTGCATGTTTAATCTATTACCTTTAATTTAAAGAATGAATTACTGGAAGAAGGTTTAAAGCATGCTGTAATGCTATATACTTGGAGATGTTGTTCCCGTGCAATACCTCAACCAAAATCTAATGAACAGCCTAACAGAGTAGAAATTTATGAAAAAACAGTAGAGGTATTGGCACCAGAAGTAAATAAGTTATTAAATTTTATGTATTTTCAGGTATGTATTTAATAACTTGATTTTATGATGTATACTGATAAAATTTAATTCATTACATAATAAATAAATGGTTTTTAGAGAAAAGCAATTGAAAGATTCTCTGGGGAAGTAAAACGTTTGTGTCATCATGAAAAAAGGAAAGATTTTGTTTCTGAAGCATATTTACTTACTTTAGGAAAATTTATCAACATGTTTGCAGTTTTGGACGAACTTAAAAATATGAAATCCAGTGTAAAAAATGACTATTCTACATACAGAAGGTAACTATTGTTTTTTGAATTTGTTATATCATAAAACTTTTAGAAAATAATCATATTATTATTTCAGAGCTGCTCAGTTTCTTAAAGTAATGTCTGATTCTCAAACATTACAAGAATCTCAAAATTTATCAATGTTTTTAGCTACACAAAATAAAATTCGTGATACAGTAAAAGAAAATTTAGAAAAAATTCCAGGATATGAAGAATTACTTGCAGATGTTGTTAATATATGTGTTCATATGTTTGAGACTAAAATGTATTTGACTCCAAATGAAAAACATATGCTAGTAAAAGTGATGGGATTTGGTTTATTTTTAATGGATAGTGAACTTTGTAATATCAATAAGTTAGATCAGAAAAAGAAATTAAAATTGGACAGAATTGATAGAATATTTAAGAACTTGGAAGTAGTACCATTGTTTGGTGATATGCAAATTGCACCTTTTAATTATATTAAACGTTCTAAACATTTTGATGCATCAAAATGGCCATTATCCTCTTCATCAAATAATATAAGTCCACAAGCAGATCTTATGGTGCATCTTCCACAAATTAGAGAAGACCATGTTAAATATATTAGTGAATTAGCAAGGTGAAAATTAAAATGTCTGTAAAATTAAGAAAAAATACTATTTTTAAATTTATAAAAATATATTTTTTTTTTATAATATAGATACAGTAATGAAGTAACTACAACATATAAAGAATGTGGCAGTGATGCAGAAAATCGAGAAACTGCAGAATTAGCTTTACGTGGATTACAATTACTTTCTCAATGGACAAGTGTTGTAACAGAACTTTATAGCTGGAAGCTTTTACATCCTACCGATCATCATATGAATAAAGAATGTCCACAAGAAGCTGAAGAATATGAGAGGGTGATATTTATTTTCTATTATATTATTTATTTTCTACTAGTTACACAATGTACAACACATCCTCTTTTTATCAGGCAACGCGTTATAATTATACAGATGAAGAGAAATTTGCGTTGATAGAAGTAATTGCAATGATCAAAGGATTACAAGTATTAATGGCACGTATGGAAACAGTTTTTATTGACGCAATACGTAGAAACATATATGCTGAATTACAAGATTTTGTTCAACTTGCATTGCGAGAACCATTACGTAAAGCAATTAAAAATAAAAAAGATCTTATTAGAAGGTTCGTATGTTTTTTTTTTATGTAACTGTAATATAGCTTTCTTTTTTATATAAATATAGTTTTGTATAATTATCTAATAATATATAAATTGTTTATTATACTCTTTAGTATCATTGTGTCTGTAAGAGAAACTTGTGCAGATTGGCATTTTGGAGTAGAGCCATTAGGGGATCCTGCACTAAAAGGAAAAAAGGATCCTGATAATGGGTTTGGTATTAAAGTACCGCGTCGAAATGTTGGTAAGATTAAAAAATGAATATAATTAAGTATTAAATAAATATAAATAAGTTTTTTTTGTATAGCACATTGTTATAGTTTGTCAAAAAATTTCTTAGGACCTTCTTCAACACAGCTCTATATGGTTCGTACTATGTTAGAGTCATTAATTGCGGATAAAAGTGGTGGAAAACGTACTCTGAGGAAAGATATTGATGGCCAGTATCTTGTGCAAATTGATCAATTTCATAAAACTAGTTTTTATTGGAGTTACCTCTTAAATTTTAGTGGTTAGTATAATTAAATTAGGCATGTTTACGTTTTGTATTAAGGATATATTAATTATATTATTTTATTTTAGAATCATTGCAAGATTGTTGTGATTTATCTCAATTATGGTACAGAGAATTTTACCTAGAAATGACTATGGGTCGGAAGATACAGGTAATTAAAAACATTTTCAGAATATATTTCTGTTCCAAACTTCAAAAATATAAATAATTTATTAAAAAATGATAGCTTATATTATTTCTTCACTTTCAATAAACAGTGATGAATATTTTGTATTAATATATACAAAGAAAAATATCAAATAGTGTTTTGTGTGCTTGATTTCATGACTAGAAATGCCAAGTTCGTCACCAGCATAATGAAGAATGCAGCGATTTGATCACCATGGAGAAACGTATTCAGGTATTCTGTTAAACCTGAGTGATTGTAGTAATTGTTATTTATTGCAATGATCACCATTAATATGGTTTATTGATTTCATTATTATTGCATTATTTTTTATATCATAGAATGTTTATATTGTTATTATAGAATGTTATATATTATAACATTACGCAATTTTATTATTAGTAGTTATAAGTTTATAAATTTATTATTTATACAAATAGCATGCATTTAGTAATGAAATCAATGTATGCCTGTTAAAGGATAGTGCAATTCTACAGTAAAAGTTAAAGGGTAGTGCAATTCTCACTAAAAGTATATAATATATATATTATATAAATATATTAAATATATATTATTTGATATATTAAAATCTATAATTAATAATATGCAAATTATTTTATATTCTAAATCCTGTTTCAGTTTCCTATTGAAATGTCTATGCCATGGATTTTGACTGATCACATATTACGAAGCAAGGAGCCATCAATGATGGAGTAAGTAAAAAAAAAATATATATATATATATCCAAGATTTAAAAAATATTTTATAATACAATATTTTGTTTCAGATATGTTTTATATCCGCTTGATTTATACAATGATAGTGCATTATATGCTTTGACAATATTTCGAAAACAGTTCCTTTATGATGAAGTAGAAGCTGAAGTAAATTTATGTTTTGATCAATTTGTTTATAAACTTAGTGAACAAATTTTTGCTCACTATAAACAACTTGCTGCAAGTATTTTGTTAGATAAAAGATTTCGAGTGGAATGTGTTGCGTTAGGAGCGTATTTACTTCCATATCCTCGTGCTAACAGATACGAAACTTTATTAAAACAAAGGCATGTTCAGTTACTTGGAAGAAGTATTGATTTAAACAAATTGATTACACAACGTATTAACGCAGATATGCAAAAGTCTTTAGATTTAGCAATTAGTAAATTTGAATCTGGCGATATTACGGGAGTCGTGGTAAGTTGAATTATTAGATTTAATGTGTTATACTTATAATATTTAATTCATATTCAATATGTAACTTAACATTTCGTGTATTAAAGGAATTGGAAGGACTTTTACAAGTGAATCGTCTTACTCATAAACTTTTAAGTAAATGGCTTGCATTAGATGAATATGATGCTATGTTTCGCGAAGCAAATCATAATGTTTTAGCTCCATATGGAAGAATTACTCTTCATGTATTTTGGGAACTGAATTATGATTTTTTGCCGAATTACTGTTATAATGCAGCAACGAATAGGTATAACTTTAATAATTTCTATATTTCTCTAATTAAAAATAATGATAGATGCATATAAAATTTATAGTTATTTATATTGAAATTATATATTTATAGTTATTTATAATGAAATATATTTACAATAGGTTTGTAAAATGTCGTGGGCTTCAATTTGTACAAGCAGTACACAGAGATAAACCCCCACAAATGTCGCATCATTATCTTTGGGGAAGTAAACAATTAAATTTAGCATATAGTACACAGTATGGGCAGTATTCAGGATTTGTTGGACCACAACATTTTCGTACAATGTGTAAATTGCTTGGATATCAAGGCATTGCAGTGGTAATGGAAGAACTTTTAAAAATTGTGAAATCTCTAATTCAAGGAAGTTTACATCAATTTACTAAGACACTAATGGAAGCGATGCCAAAAGTTTGTAAACTTCCAAGATATGATTATGGATCTCCAGGAGTTTTGGGATATTATCATGCTCAATTAAATGATATTGTACAATATCCAGATGCTAAAACTGAACTTTTTCATAATTTTCGCGAATTTGGTAATACAATTCTATTTTGTCTTTTAATGGAACAAGCTTTATCACAAGAAGAGGTTTGTGATTTGTTACATGCAGCGCCATTTCAAAATATATTACCTAGACCATATTGTAAAGGTAATATTTTCAAATTATATATATAAAAACATTATTTTAAAATATTATAATAATTTTTTTTAAGAATATTATAATACCTTCAATTTTAGAGGGTGAGAAACCAGAAACTAAGCAGAAACGACTTGAAGCCAAATATGCAGCTTTACAAATCGTTCCCAATGTAGATAATTTAGGTACAGCTAAAGTAAGTAATAAAATGAATTAATTAAACGTACAAACAATTAAAATACATAAAATACTTAATTGTATTGTAAAATTACAATTATTTTAATCGTATAGCAAGCAATGATTGCCAGAGAAGGAGATTTATTAACACGAGAACGGCTCTGTTGTGGTTTATCTATATTTGAGGTAGTGCTCAGTAGATTACGTAGTTTTTTAGATGATCCTATTTGGGTTGGTCCTCCTCCTGTAAATGGAGTAATGAATGTTGACGAATGTACAGAATTTCATAGATTATGGAGTGCATTACAGTTTGTATACTGCATTCCTGTTGGAGAAACAGAATTTACTGTTGAGTAAGTAATATGTATATAATTTTACTATTAGTTATAATACAAAGTTTCCCATTAAATATTATTTTCGTTACAGAGAGTTATTTGGTGAAGGTTTACATTGGGCTGGATGTGCTATGATTGTATTACTTGGTCAACAAAGAAGATTCGAAGCTCTTGATTTTTGCTATCACATTTTGAGAGTACAACGTGTTGATGGTAAAGATGAAAACGTTAAAGGGATCGTAAGTATTTATATATAAATTGTAGTATAGTTTTTTTTTACACATATATACTTAATCGTTATTTATATTAAATAGCATTTGAAAAGAATGGTGGATAGGATTAGAAGATTCCAGGTGCTAAATTCACAAATTTTTGCTGTATTAAATAAATATTTGAAGAGCGGAGATAGTGATGCAACAAGCGTCGAGCATGTTCGATGCTTTCCACCTCCAATTCATCCCTCACTTGCTCATGCACAACAGCAACATTATCATACACCGGAATATTTGCGTCAAATGAATCATCAGTGAAGTAATGTAGGTATTATAAACAAGAATATTTATAATTCAGTATAATGAAGGCTGAATCTCATTTTTTAAATAACTTATAATAAAATTTTGGAGCATTTATCTAAAAATTTTTAATTAATATATTATGTTCTGATTGAAATTATTTAATCTTTTTTTGTTTTTCTAAAGAAAAATATAAGTTCTGATATATAATTTATAATAATAGATATTTTTGCTAATATTTAATATGTTTAATCATTAAGAATATTCATATTTCATCTTATTTTTTATGTAAAATAAAATTTTTATTAGTAATTTTTGAAATGTATACAAAAGTATTTAATATCTGCAAGATATTTAATTTATATTCAATTTTAGATTTTTGAATCAAGAATTATTTAGTGTCAGTATTATTTATCATAATGTGACAAAAAATGTGCATTTTTGCATTATAATACATTTTATATATTTATATTAAACAAATTTCTTTTTTAAAAGTAAATGTAAATTATAACAAGTGTCTGAAATATTTGTAATTAACATTGAATATGTTATGAATATTTCTCATTTCTTTTTATAAACATATTATTTAACAGAAGATTTAATTAAAGATAAAACTCCATTTGCAAATAATATTTTTAAATAAGAAAGAGGATTAAAGGATCAAATTAAGAAATAATTTTTGTATACTGTTATTATAGTATCTAATTATGATAGACAGTAACAAAATATTTATTATTTATAATTAATTTATAAAAATATTTTTATGTTGTAATGAACATATAAGAATAAGTGAGTATTAAGATTTATTTTCGTATATTTGTTTTGTAACATTAAAAATATCAAAAATGTTTTGATAAAGTTTTTAAAGTAATGTAGGTATACATTTGCAATATATTTTTATGTTGCACAAAATTTATGTAATCTTTATTATCTTTTAAATTTTGTTAAATGTAATAAAATAATAGATATAGCTGAAAATCTTCATATGTAATTCATTAAAATAATATATGCTTGATTATTCTTATCTTTAAAAAGTATATGTATAATTGTGTTCAATTTTTTATTATACATATATGATATGTATGTATATGTTATCTACCAATAAGCATATTTGTATGAAAATATATTATCTCAGCATTATAGATGGAGCATAATTTCATTATTTGTAAATTTATAATACATTTATAATAATTTATTATCTTCTTTATTGAAGATCCGAAAAAAAGCTAGATACATTATCAATTTTACTACTTGGAAGATTACGTTTTAATTGCTTCTGCTTCCCACCTTTCACACGCTCATTAACATCTAAAGTTTCAAAATACTGTACATTCCAAAACTTGATATCGTTATCATGTGAAGAAGATGCAATTAAAGTACCATCGCTGTTAACATCAAGTGCTTCAATAGAAAGATTATGTTGTCCTACTATTCCAAGATGATTATGAGGAAACAAACTGCTAGCCCTATAAATTAATGTAACAAATACATATATCATTTTAATTAATACACGAAAAAAATTATACAATAAATTTTAAACTATACCTAAGTATTCCATCTTCTCCACCTGTTATCACAACATTTTCAGTAATTGGAATCATGCAGTTTATAGCTTTTTTAGTTAAATTCGGAAATTCATCTGAATGTAGACCAAATTCTCCCCAATTATATACATACAGTTTTCCTTTACTTGTACCCACCAAAAGTTTTGTTTCAGATTTAAATAAACCAAGACATATCAGTTCCTCTTCATATTCTTCTGACTAATAAAAATTATAATTAGATAATATAATCTATTAAATTTATTTGCACTTACTTGAACATGCAGTTTCTTTCCTGGAATATTAAATGTTGTAAGACATCCATCTCCACTTGCACAAACTAAATATTTTGCTTCTTTGTTTGTTACTATAGCACTCACATAATCTTCCATCTTTTTTAATGTAAATATAGGTAGTTCTTTTGGATCTCGAAGATCCCATACTTAAATACAAGTATTATACTTAAATACAATGGATTCAATAAAATGGAAAAAAAGAAAAAAATGATACAAATATAACATACCTTTCACTATACCATTATCATCTCCAGTTGCAAACATATGTTCTCCAATTACTGTCATTGTATATACTGGTTCCCTAAAATAGATTAAATATTACTTAATGATACCTATACTTCTTATTTATTTTAAATACAATAATTATATACATACTCATGTGCATCTTCATAAAGTCTTATTAACTTTTCAGTTTGTACATCAGTGAGCATTATACATAAATCTTTAGCAGTTGAAAATAAAGTTGTACCACTGTCATTAAATTCTATGTCACGACATGCTTTCAGATGCAATTCTAAAGTTGACATCAACTCTGTTGATGTATTGTTGTATTTGTATCTATCAAAGAAATATATTTATGAAGCTATTCAAAATTATTTTACAGCATGTCAATTATATAATGTAATATTTACAAATGTATATCTCCAACAATATTAGCTACAGCGATCATATTTGAATTAGGATGAAAACATATATCTACCACATGATCTTCTGTTGTAATAGCGGGAGGATGATTTGTATTTATATTTTTTGATCTAATTATTGCTTTTACAACTTCATCTTCGTCCTCATTTGTATTTAATAAAGTTGGTTCTATGCTACAACCTTTAAAAATAAATATAAATATTATTTCTTCATAGCATTCCATTAATAATATCATTAGATTCTTGTTAATCGAGTTAATTAAGTTACAATTATTTAGATATTAAATTATATAAAATTTACTTGTATGAGCATTATTCGAATCAGGAAATTCTTCATCATCACTACTGCTCAAACTGCTGTCATCTGATGATGTTTGTATACTATCATCACTCTCATCACTTTCTTCATTCTTTTCATTGTCAAGAATAAAATTACCTAAATATTACATATATTTCATTAAAAATAAAGAAAAATATCCAATTAATATGAACACGTTAAACAATAGTTATTAATTCTTGTTAAATGATTTAAACATGTACAAATAACATTAGAGAATAACAGTATGAAATAAATATTTACTTATATTAACATAATATAAAAAAAAACGAACTTTTTTTTATTTAAGGAAAAGTACCTAAATGTCCTTTATCTGAACGCATGTTGCAAAAATGCAAAATACAATTCCTAACCCTTTTTACACAATATCTGTATATAAAATTTTTGAATAATAGATATACGTATTTACTATTTATTGAAATCTATGAAACCTAAAGATTAATATTCCCTATAAGTTGTACCATGTAAAATATATAAATACATATTCCAGCTTTTAAATGTGGGGGAAAAAATCTTATGTAATATAATTTATTATATTATTAAAATTTTCATTAATTTAACCAATAATATTAAAAAGATATTTGATTTAATTATCATTAAAATTACTGAACTGTCTAGAAATATCGAAATCTCTGTTTCAGAGGGCGTCACCGTGTAGGAAAGCCCGCCATCGAGTTCCTTACCTAACTACAGCAACTGTAATCAGAATAGATGTAGCATGGTGAATCATGGCGCTACGTGATTTGAGAAAGATATATTTTTCATAATATAAAAACGATTCTTTTTCGTAGCCAGTTTCATATTTACTTTAATTTTAATATGGAAACCCGAACGAACGAGCTACTAACAACAGGCCCTATAGCGACGATTAAAGAAGAGCCACTTGATCAAACTGGCGCGAAGCAAGATGTGCAACAATCTCAAGTGCAGGGCGTTTGCATTGAGGAAGAGTGTGAACAACGTATCGAATGCACAACCGAGGGCCAAGAAAATGAGACACGAGCATTTTTATCAAAATGTGTATTCTGTGGAAAGACATTTGCTTTCGGCGATGATCCAAAACTTTTAGAATGTTTACATGCAGCATGCTCGACATGTGTTAATAGTAAACTCAACGATCACAACACGTCGGTCGATGTGGATGTTTTGTGTAAGGCTTTACTATATGTCTGTATTTGTAACTTTATTAAACCTCTGAGATTTTTCTTTTCAGTAAGTGACAAACCTCCTAGTTTAATGATATTGGATTAGATCTTCAATTAGATTCAATTAGATCTTCTCTATGAAACGATTTACTAAACAGTGTTAACTTTCTTATGGATGGAAAAGATAAAATGATAAAAACTATACAAAGATTTTTCAATGCATTTAATCAATCCGGAATTTAATTTCATTTAAAAATTGAAATTAATTTTCAAAAAATTAGTAACATCAGTTTAGATCATAATATTGTTCAATTTTTGTTTATCTTTCTGTATAATAATATTCGTAAATGTTAAAACAACTTATTGAACAACAGAAATCACAATACATGTTTTCATGATTATTTAAATTATGTTTTAAAAATATATTCATGATACATAGTAATTTTATATTAATATAATTCATACAATATTTTATATATAGATATATCATATAATACTTACATCATATCTTTATATTGTTACAGTGGAAAGTAATGTGATTGCTTGTCAAATATGTAATGTCACTACACAAGCAGAGAATTTAATTGAAAACCGATTCTTATCGAAATTTATAGAAGAAGATAATAGTCCAGGTACTGATGATGAGTCTAAAGAAACAGAAGAAGAGAAAAAATGTACCAGCTGTCATGATAATGCCAATGCTACAAGTTGGTGTGTAGAATGTGAAGAATTTATATGTCAAAACTGTGTTATGGTAATGAAAGCAATACTTAGTATATATACGTAGTATGTTTATTAAATATATTTTTTTTAGAAATAAAATAACAATTATTTTAAATTTTTCTTTCCTAAAGGCACATCAGAGATTAAAAATAACAAAAGATCATACAATTAAACCAAAGGATGAAGTTGCCAATGATAGGGATAATGTTAAAAGGAATAACAAAAAAATACCTGGCTATTTATTTTGTACAATTCATTCACACGAACAATTATCTTTATTTTGTCAAACATGTGATAAACTTACTTGTAGAGATTGTCAGTTAAGTGAACACAGAGATCACAAGTACAAATTTATTCATGAAATTGCTGCTGAAACCCGTGCTTCTGTGTCAACTTTACTTAAAGAAGTGAGGTAACTCTTCTATTTTTATATTTTTCTTTAAATATATTTTCTATGAAAATTAAACTTACTTTTTTTAAATTATTTGTACTGTTTATATTTTAAGTTAATCTATTTCGCAGTTATAAACGAGTTTTATTAAAAAGCGCAATGAAAGTCATAGAAGATAGACAGGTTCTTATTTTAGAAAAAAAGAAAAATTTAGTGCAAGACATAACACAAATGGTGGTGCAGTAAGTATTATGAAGTTTATATTCCAAGTTTAAATTTGGAATGTAATTTTTATGTAAAGATTACATAATATCTTTTTACACAGATTAACAAATGCAATTAATACAAGAGGAAAACAATTGGTTATGCGCTTAAATGAAGTTTGTGATCAAAAGCAAAATACATTAAATGAGAAAAAAGTTGCTTTAGATCAGTTATCAAAGCTTACTGATCACTGTATTCAATTTGTAACTCATGCCTTAAAAAAGGGGTCAGATATGGAATTACTTTATAGCAAAAAGTATGTATTTAAAATATTATATATAAATATAATATAAATGTAAATGTTCTATCATTTTCTCATAGATCTGTTACAAGTCATTTACAAAGAATAAAAAGTAGACGGGCTGATATTCCAAATCCAGAAATACCAGTTAGAATACATCTATCCTTGGAGAAAGTACCAGATTTGATAAAAGGTTAAATTAATAATAATAGGTGCTTAATTATATGTTATTAAATAGGTAGTTTATGGTATTGCTGTTAGTTAAAGCTATTTCATATTTTTAATTAGTAACTTAATATTAGTAACTAAATATTCGATTCGTACAGTATTAAATGTTTGATCTCCTTTTTTTTTTAAATTTTAGTGGTTTCGTCTATTGGAGCAATAGTAGTGGATGGTAGAGTATATCCTTCAATATCTCCATTGGGTGGAGTAAATACACCATCTATGTCATATAATGAAACACAGACAGATCAGAAGCAAACAACCAGTTTGTCAAATGTACATATGGATGGTTCTTCCATAACTGCACAATTACCTGTTGCAACACAACAATCTAATAGTATACAACAAAATTCCTATCAACAAGTGCCTCTTCATGTAACGTCACAGCAACAGCAACAAACACAGTCGCAAAATTATATGCAACATTATCCTATGAATAACATGCCACCTCGGTCATCACCACAAGCACATCAACCGCGTGTACCATATCCAGTTAATTTTAACAACAGATTGCAACAACCAATAATGATGCAACAACGTCCTTTGGGAAGTTGCCATCAACAAGTAACGTCGTCTACGCATCCTCATCAACAAGTTCACATAGATCAACTTGGTCAAAACACTAGTTTACGTGGACTTCTTGCACATAATCCGCCACCTTTCCGATCTTCTACGAATCATGTGTCGTATCGATTACCACCTTATAGATATCCTTCGAACAATCCTCAACGACCAGTACCACCACCTGCATATCAACCAACAAATACATCCATGGTATCTGGTATGAGACTTCAACAATGCAATCCAACTTCTCCATCCACGCCACATATAAATTATCCTATGCAGCAACCACCTACAGCTCGTTGGCACATTCCCCAAAATGTCAATCCTTGTCTTCCTTTTTATACTTCCCGTCATCAATCGAATACACCTGCCATGTCAGTTCCTACTAATGATACTTACAAGATAACATTAAAAAATCAACAATCAAATGTAAATCAAAAATATAATACACAAACGACTACTGCTTCTGATACTCCACCACAATTGCAAAGTTCAGTGTCTGTTGGTCATACAGTTAGTTCGTCAGTACCTAAAACGCCTAGTCCTGTGCCTCCTGGAAAATCAGATGAAACTGAAAAAAGTTTAGACAAATTTTGTCAAAAATCTTTGAATGATTTAATGCTTACTATCGCAAAATTAGATAGTAATGGAATTGTAGTAATACCAGAAGCTCAACGAAATCAATTAGATTCTGCCCAAGTAGATAGTTCAACTGATGAAGGGTTGAATCCAATGACTGAGAATTCATCAGGTAAATAATAAAAATAATTGTTAACTGTTATTCAAAATACCGTGCATCATATCACATATATCTTACGTACAAACTATAATAAATGTATTTATATAATTTATGTTCAATAGATAATTCAAAAAATACTGCAGCATCGATGACAAAGGATGACCCCAATGAAGACTGGTGTGCAGTATGCATGGATGGAGGAGATGCAGTATTATGTTGTGATAAATGCCCAAAAGTCTTCCACTTATATTGTCATATTCCTAGTTTAAAATCGTTTCCTGAGTAAGTATATAAATAATATAATATAATGTTTATTGTTTAATTGCTAATATCCAATTTTTTGCACACTAGTGAAAGTGAAACTTGGCAATGTATGTTATGTACAAATGTACTAGATTGCTCAGATGATCCACCAAGTGAAAAAAGACCAAGCGGAATGAGTGCAAAAGAATTACGAATTGCACAAAGAATTGTATTAGAACTTTATTGTCAATACGAGCAAAGCTTACCTTTCCGTGAAGTAGTATCTAGTGAGGTAAATTTATTTTATAAAAATTTTTAAAATATATAGGAAATATCAGGAATATAAAAATCATTATTTTATTTACTACTAATAGATAGTTGACTATCATCGTATCATAAAAAAACCAATTGCACTAGATGTAATTAGAGATAAATTGAAAGCTGAGCATCCAGATAATTACACAGATTTGAGACAAGTAATGGCAGACATCAGATTGATGTTCAAAAATGCTTTTACTTATAATCCTGTAAGTTTTGTTAAAGAATTAGAAGATATAAAATTTTTATAAAAATAAGCATGTCATTTTTATAAAATCATATGTTTTTATTTTATTTAGGTTGAATCGCAAGTGTACCAAGAAGCACGAAATTTAGAAGAGTTTTTTGAAAAATTATTATTAAAATGGGCACCAAATTACGCGTACGACGATCCTTTTCTTTCGGCTGACAAGGATGAAGACGAAGAAGTGTTCCCTCCTAATAGAAAATACCGTCGTATACTTACAGACTAATTTTTACTTTTCGTAATTGAAACACGTAAACAAATATATTATTTTTAAATTACATAGGAAAATTATATTTCAATATAGTGAACATTTCTTAGTTATATTTAATATTGCTTTTTGCGTTTAATTAATTGATAAAGTACATTGATAAATATTGACACGTACTAACAAAATAATTGAATAGACATTTGTAATTGTAGTATAGACTTCTTCACATTTTACGTTTGGTGAAGAGAATTTCACTTTATGCTTAATATTATGAGCTTCTTGCATGAATTTATAAATTAAAAATGAGAATATTTTATTTCATAAATTTAGTTCATAAAATATTTATCATTTAATTATTTCATTAATTGAATTATTAAAAAATAATTATATTAATTTTACACTAAAATATTTCAGTAAATATATAAGTATTTTTTTATAAAGTATTACGACTTTATATATATATATATGTATATATATATATCTTTATACATATATGTATATATATATATCTTTATACATATATATATATATATATATATATATCTATATATACACACATATATATAGATTGTGATCTGTATGTTGAGAAGTATTGCAGAATTGAATTGAAAATACAAAAAATGGAAAAAAGAGATTTATATAAACATATGACCAATTTTTGCATTTTCAACTCACTTTTGCAATATACTATATAGTACAGCATATTCTGTATATTTGTATCATCATTCTAACAAAATTCTAGAAAATAGATGTTGAATTGCTTGTTGATAAAAGGTTAGAGTCGACTATGTTATAGTAAACTTACTGACTGAAAATTTTATAAACCAATATCATTTTTAAAACATTTTGTTTTAAAAAAGCTGTTTAAATGTTAATATTCTGACGTATTTAACTAAATACATGTTTGTTACACGACAGTATACAAATATCGAATTGTATTAACAGTTTCAACATTTCAATCTTTTTTATGCTTATGTCTTATTTTATTATAATTTTATTTAAATTATCTTATATCAAAGTATTTTAATTATTACATTTACTTGGCAGTATCAAAATGTAGATGTAAATTTAACTGTGTTAAATTTCACACAGTATTGTATTACACCAAGTTCATGTATGACATACAAAATAATCTTGCATAAAATATACAAAGTGGAACTTTTTTTAATTTCATCATTGTTTCCATGATTGTAATTTTTAATAAAAATTATGCTCACGAAAGATTTGATATTAAATTATTTTACTATAATAAAAAGATTAATAATTTTAAAATATATTGCATCATAATTTAAAAAATATATTACGTATATCAGAATATAATTTTATTATAAAAAATGAAATTAATTCGTAATGGTTTCATAAATATAATAAATTTATGTAATATTGCACTATACTCTTATATAAATTTTAACAATAATAAAAATATTAAAAAATTAATAGCGGTAAACATTATTGTCACGTACAAATTTTTAAGTATATATTTAAATATTTATTCGTTATTTAAAGTAATCTTTTTCATCGAAAGATTGTAGTCGTAATTGTTTTTATATTTATTACAGGTATATCTTTAATTATTAACAATAATTTATTGTTTTTAAATAGTGTCAAATTCTATTCAATAATTTATTATTTTAAAGAGTTTTTTCTTCTTTTTTCTCCTCTTTCCTATCTCTATCTTACGCACTTTACTTATTTAAAATGTATATATAAAATTGATATATGTACATATTATACATTTATTTAAAAATATTTTAAATATTTTAAATAGTGAGAAATATTTGAGCATTTGTAATAAAGAATCATTGGTGCTTTCTATATATGAGGGGAATATTTTTGCGAATAACCAATCAGATGCTGGTAACCAGTGTAGGTAACTGTCTTTTTACGTTACAATATAAATTGTATTTACATATATACATTACTTTTGAACTGTCAGCCGGTTTGTAAGCAAATACTTTATTCAAAAACTTATTAATGAATGTAACAAATTTAATTTATAATGTACTTTATATTACTTTTATAACTCTTTTTTATTTCAAGGTATATGAAAATATAAGTATTTTAATTTTAGCTGATTAATTGAGCCTTCTTTGCGATATATATATATATATATATATACGTACATGTGTACGTGAGTGTAATTTTTCTTTTATTATAATTGAAAATTTTTTAATAATTGTCGCTATCTTACTTTATTATAACTTTAAACAAAAAACAAAACATTTTTTTTAAAGATGAATTTAAAAATATTAAATAAATTAGAAAGAATTAATAATGTTGTGTAAGACTTATATTTTTAAAAGGATAAAAATAATCTTATACTTTTAAAAATGTCATAAAATAATTTATATTTCTGTATTTGTATGTGTTCATGTATATAAATTATTGAAATATTTATATTTAAATGATATTTACGTGTTAAAATTCCATGCTCATTCAAAACATGGACTTAGAAGCATCTGTAGTTGAGCGTTTACAAAAATTAAGACAGTGGCAATTAGAGCAACAAGAACGATTATTAAAGCAACAACAGATGCAAAGGCAAATGTTAACTCAGAAACAAGATTGTATGTATAAAGCACTTGAATTATCAATACAAGAACTTGATCTTAACGAAGATATATTAAATACAAATAATTCAAATGAATTTGTTGAAAATACTGAGATTAATAATGAAAATTTAATTACGTTGCATGGCAAGTCACAAATGAAAGAAAATTATGTACAAATAGTAAATAAAACTGATTCATCATGTCTTAATGAAAATATAGATAATAGTTTTAGAAATGTAATTTCACAACAAAAATCACCAACACAGAGGTTTATTGAAGATACAATTAATATTGAAAGTCAGATAAAAAAACAGTCAAAAGATAAGACAATGTGTAATATAAAAAATGAAATAAAAGTGGAAAAACAATTAGAACAATTCATTATAGATGGAATAGCACCATTACCATCTGTTAAAACTAATGTTAATCGTATTTCTATTGATGATATACCAATTTCCTCCCCAAAAAAAGATTTTCATACATTGCTTGAAGAAAGATTAAAAGACAGTGAAAATGAACATCTTCAAAAGTTTAATACTAATTTAGGGAATAAAATTAAAAAAAAACCATTTTTAAAAAAAGGGGAAGGTTTAGCTCGATTTAAATTGAATCAACAATCACAACTTTCCATACAAAAAACAAAGTTGCATACTATGTCATTTACTAACAATACAAAATCTGGATCTAAATGTTCTACAAATGAAAATAAATGTAATAGAACTTCAAAGAATGCACAGTTGCCAAGAAAGACATATCATACAAATGAAGCCCAAAAACATTTATGTTTAAAGAATGTTTCATTACCAAAGAAGAAAGTTTGTACTAAATCTGAATCCAATACTTCAACTACATATTTAAAAGATTATATCAATAAAATGAAAAATACAGTTGAATTAAATACTTCAGATTTTCATTCTGGAACCCAAAAAGAATTAGAAGAAGTACGAATATTTGAATTGTTAGAAGAAAAAGCAGAGAATTCTAGCTTTTGTTCTACATCTAGTGCAGTTACTGCATTCTTACAACAATCAACACCATTTAAAGTAAGAAATGCTGGATATAAAACAGAAAATAGTTTGTATAATGCAAAACAAGTTACTCCAAAAAGTAACATACCTAAAGAACAATTGGCTGTAAAGTCTAATCAAGTATGTAAAAGTATGAAGTTCAATAAGGATACTGAATTTCGTGATTTTTTACCTTCTATAAATCAGAAGAGAGAATTTTTACAAGATGCTAGCGAGGACAATAAAATGAAATCAAATAGAAATAGATATATTTTATTAAGAGATCAAATTCAATCTATGCATAATGAACAGAATTGTTTTAATAAAATTAATGTTCCTATCATTGAAAATGACAAGAAAGAAGATGTTAGTCGTCATGTTAGATTTTCTGAATTTAATGAATACAAAACAATTGGATTAACAGATACATCAAGTATATCAACTGAATCATTAATAATAAAAAATTTTTCAGATGAAAAGATTTGGAGTGATTCTTCTGTAGAAACATCTATTTCAGAAACATTACCAGTATCTTTTGAAGCATCACAATCTTCTGTAATGGAAAATAAAATGCACAAGACACAAATCTGTGAAGATATAATAGAGAACAATGATTTTACTTCTAACACAGATATGTGTCAATATGTTTGCCCTAAAGATGAATCATCAGATAGTGAGGACCAAACTTTTAATGATGAAACAAGTAATTTGCATAAATGTGATCAAAATAATTTAACACCACAAAAGATCGATGATTTTTACAATATTGAAACATTAAAAAAGCATACAGAACTTTGTGACGACAAAAAAATAGATGAATATGTAAATAATTATGATAATGTGGTTGAAGATCAAGAAAATATAAAAGACTTACAAGAAACAGATGAAACCATTTTTAAATCAGAGCTTCTAAAAAATCGTTTATTGGAACTTGAACAAGAGATCAATATATTTCGCAAAGAAAATACAGCTTTATCTATGCAGCGTAAAAAATTACGCGAAGATTATCAAAACTTTCGTAAAGAATACGCAGAAAAAGAAAAAAAATTTGAAGAAAATAAAAAACAAATAGAAGAACGTTTACAAGAAGAAAGAAAAAAGCTAGCACGTGAAAAATTTGCATTAGAAAATAGAATACGAGATTCACAAGAAAAAGCTCAACAAAGTAAATTAGAAAGGCAAGAAATTCAGAATCTGAAGCAAGAAATAGAAAAATTGGTGGAAGAAATGCATATAAAGGAAAGTAGATGGAATGCAGCACAATCGAGACAAAGGTGTCAAATGAGAATATTAAGAATAGAAAATTCAAAATTGAAACAAGAAATAGAAGAACTACAAAACTTAAAGAAAAATGTTAGAAATAAAGGCAGAACTGAAACTTCTATAAATACAAGAGCAATTCATCAAATTAATAAACGAATTAAAATGCAGTTTAAAGACTCTCAGAAAGTTAATGATGCTTCATTAGATGATGATCAAAAACTGATAGAACCAATACTTAACGATCAGAATATAGATAAAGAAAAAGAACGTAATTGTAATGATGGTAAAAATATTATGAATGATAAACCACAAAAAAGTCAAATAACTATATCAGATATTGTTAAAAAACGAAATCTATATGAAAATTTAATCAAAGAAGCAACGTTAGATTTAACAGAAATTCCAGAAAAATTTGATGCTCTTGAAAATTTAAGTGAATCTAAGTCAGATCCAAACAATATATTGAAAAAAGATGGTCAAACAAATACTATAAAAAGTAAATGTGAGAGATTACATAAAGAATATGAAGTATCTTTTAATCATAATGATGACAATATTCAATTACATATGCAAAATGATTACAAATGTTTTGTTGAAGATAATAAAAAAGATTTAACATCATCAACAGATAAACTACTTAATCTAGACATAGATGAGAAATCTTCATCTTACAGAAATAATACTAATACTGATAAACAAAGTATGATACAGATTGAACACACAGATGGCTCTATTGAATATCGATTTACAAATGGAAATATTAAGAAGGTGTTTCCTGATCAAGGTGTAACTAAATTAATGTATTATAATGGAGATGTTCGTGAAACTAATAGAGATGGAAGAATAAAGTATTTTTATGCATCAACACATACATGGCATACAACAATGCCGGATGGTTTAGAGATTTTAGAATTTGCTGAGTAAGTTTATTTTTATCACTTCATTTAATTATTCGATTGTGAATTTTAATGTATAAAATTTTATTATTCAGTGAGTTTTATTATTATTATTTTTATTATTTGTTTTATTATTTAGTGGTCAAGTAGAAAGAAGATTACTTAATGGTACAATAGAGGTATCATTTCCAGATGGTTCAGTGCGAATCTTAGAATTAGATGGTACCGAAAAATGGACATTACCAGATGGAACATTAATTCAAATTCTTACTAATGGTGAAAAAATTCTTACTTTACCAAATGGACAATGTGAAATACATACTAGTACTCATAAGGTAATAAGCAACAATATTTAATATTTAACATTTAACTTTAATTTTAATATTTTACAAGATATATGTATATATAAAATTTCTTACTTTTATATATGATTTAGAGACGTGAATATCCTGATGGAACCATTAAACTAATTTATCTCGATGGTACACAAGAAACACGATATTCAAATGGAAGAATACGTTTTAAGGATAAAGATGGTAATCTTATAAGGGATTCTTATCAATAAAAACTATATCACACTTAGTAAAGTTGAAAATAGCATGAAATAATGAAGTTTTATTTAATATATATTTTTAGTAATAACAAGTAGTTAAGTAATTAAAATTGTAATTAGATGTAATATTTAAAATATGTTGTATGTAAATTAAAATAAAAATGAATTTTTTACTGTTTTACATAAAATATAATGTTACTTCTAAATCGTAAGTATTTGATTGATAACCTTAACAGAACAAATCAGATTATATGATCTGTAGCAATGCTTTTGAAGTTAATTAGCAAAATCAATCTGAATTATTCCACAGTCGGTTATTCATGTACTAAACGTTATACAAGTTGATTTTAATAGAAAATATCAGTCAACGTGTAAACACTATCTAGATTCTAGATGTATACATTTAAGGTTTATATGAAATCCCACCTTTATGAAAATAGCGTAACGAATGTGCGAGATGCTTTTATGGATAACCTATTGTGTGCTTGGTTTCGAGCAATGTTGATTTAAAAAATTTGATTGTTAATTTATTATAACGATGTCTAGACGTTCAAGTTTTCAGAAATGGATTGTAGGATTTGGTGCATTAGGTAGTGCGATGGTCTTTTATCCACATGAAAATGATAATAATAATCAATTGACACAAACGGATAAATCCAGGATATTTTCTACATCTTGGAATTACAACTGGGATAGGTTGTATTTGTAGTTATTGTTATTATTATTATCAATAAAAATATTACTATTTTCATAATATAATTCTATCTAATAGAATAGCATATAATTCTATTTTATTTCTCTTTTATTATGCATCGTAAATAAATAAATAAAGAAACTTAAATATTTCTTGAATAAATAGTTGATGCTAAGATTAAAAACTTTTTTATTCATTTCTTCTTAAATAAATCATAATTCATTATTTCATTTGAGATTTTGACACTATTTTATTTAGATTATTAGATTTTTATCTATTTTATTTTTATTTAGAATTATTAAATTTTATCGCTATTTCATTAATAAATATTTGTCGTTCTTTATATGATGTTATATATCCTCTTTTTTTTAAACATTTACTTCTAATTCATTACTTTAATTTTATTGTTCGACTTACCTAATTTTATTTTTAGGAGAGATCCAAAAAGTTTAGTAAAACCAATGAAAATAGATGATGAATTTAATCGGAATACATATAACAAAAAATTGATAAATAAAACAGCAAAAGCTATACGTCATATAATTCTAATTCGTCATGGGCAATATAATACAGAAGCTAAAACAGATGCAGATGGAACACTTACAACTTTTGGTCAGTATCTTCTATATATGTATATAGTAAAATGTACTATTGTGACCATAAATTGTTAAAATGTTATAAAGGTAGACAACAAGCTGAAGCAACAGGAAAACGATTGCAAGAATTAGGTTTCTCATATACTTCACTTATACATTCAACAATGACAAGGGCACAAGAAACTGCTAAAATTATAGAATCGTTTCTTAAAAACATAACAGTAAAGAGTGATTCACTTCTTAATGAGGGTTCACCAATTCAACCTGAGCCTCCATCATCTAATTGGAAAGCTGAAATAAATGTAAGAATATTATTGTATATATGAATTTAAGTTTTTATTTATATATTTTCTTTGATTTTCTTTGAAATTTGAAATTATATTAGCTAAAATAATATTGAATAATATTAATGTATTTCAGTATTATATAGATGGACCTAGGATAGAAGCTGCCTTTAGAAAATATTTTCATCGTGCAGATTTCAGTCAAGAAAAGGATTCTTATACAATTCTTGTTTGCCATGCAAATGTTATTAGATATTTTGTATGCAGGTAAACTACTCGCTGACTCGTATTAAATGTTTTTTTATTAATAACGTTTATGTTTTTCATTAATAATGTTTTCTTTAATAGTGTAATATTTATTTCAGAGCATTGCAATTTCCACCTGAAAGTTGGTTACGATTAAGTTTGAATCATGCCAGTATTACATGGATTACTATTTATCCTGATGGTATTGTGAAATTATTGGCATTTGGTGATTCAGGACATTTGAATCCAAAATTTTTCTCATAATTGAATTAAATATAACATATCATTTTATTTAATAAAATATATTCGTGTCATCTATATTTTATATCATTCTATATAAATTTTACAAATATGTATTTTTTAAATACTAATTTTATCAATGAAAGTTTATAATTCATTAATAAAATAATTGAACTATTAAAAATCAAAGACAATGTATTTAAAGACAGATAAAAAATCATACATACATTTATATTAAGTCTTATTATTAGACTTTATCTAAACAAGATTTATATCTCTTATGTTCTCCTTGAAACAAAGTTATTTGCAAATAAATAAATGTATTTATTGTGATTTATTTTGTATATGTATATGCATTTTTTGTAAATGTATACCTTTTTTATATACACATTTACTTACGATATATCATTGTTAGATTAAATCAATTTTAGATTTCCGATTCATTTTGTTAGATTTTTAAAAATATTTTGAAAAAAACATCTATTCTAAGATTATAAATATCTAGTTTATTGTATATGTACATGCATATATGTTTGTGGAGTAAGGATAATTAAATTATGTTTTAATCATTAAATTTATAATAAAATATGATTTTAACTTAATATAAATTTCAATAACTTTTTAGTAGAATTGAATTTCTTTTTAACAGAAAAAGGTAATAATTGATTTCAATACCAAGGAAATTATTTTAAATTTACCGGTAAATAGTATATAGAATACTAGTATATTATATTTGATTCGATTTTATCAGTTTGATCTTATCATTAACATTGGAACATTTAGTTTAAACATATTTAACATTTTTTTTTTCTTGGTAAAACATATTTACTTTTTGTTTTTAACTACTATAAAAAGAGACGAATATGTAGCTAGCGAATACGCAAAATACGTTCTACATATGAGCAGTATTGGTTTAAATCTTTAAAAAAATTTAGTTGCGGTAATTTATTATAACAATGCCTGTACGTTTAAATTTAAAAAAATGGATCGTCGGATTTGGTGCAATAGGTGGTGCAATGATTTTTTATCCAAATGACAACGATTATACTCAATCGTCAGAAAAACAACATTCTTGGATAATACCTCCTTCGTCTTGGAGCAAATGGGACCATAATTGGGATAGGTTATTTTTTTCTAATGTTATAGTTATTTATAAAAATATTGATTTTACGATTTAATAATTATATATAATTAAAATCCTTTTTCATTACATTGTCTTGTGTTAAATTAAATAAATATAACAAATAAAATTTTTATATTAAATATATTGTACATGTACATATAGTTACAAGAAATATAATTTCAATATTTATAAATTTTGTCTTTATTTACTTAATATTAATAACTATTTCGTGGTACAAAACATCTTAATCTGCTGTGTTTATTATTTAAAAATTCACTTTATAATTTGTTGTATTTATTTGTAGACGACATCCAGAATGGTTAGCAAATATAGCTAAATTGGATAATGAAACTGATAAAGAATCACGTAAAAAAAGATCAACTAAGAAACAATCATGTGTGAAACATCATATAATTTTAATCCGTCATGGGCAATATAATACAAATGGCAAAACAGACTCGGATCGAACACTTACAACTCTTGGTTGGTATCTTTCATATATTATTTATATTTTATCATATAATATTTTATATTTTATAATATTTTATATTTTATAAACATACTAAATTTTTCATTTATTGTGCAAAAATACATGTTATAAAGGTAAACAACAGGCAGAAGCAACAGGAAAAAGATTGCAGGAATTAGGATTGCCATACTCCTTGATTGTACAGTCAACAATAGTTAGAGCTAAAGAAACTGCTAAAATTATAGAAAAATATCTTAAAGATATAACAGTTAAAGAAGATTCTGTTCTTAGTGAAGGTATGCCAATTGCACCTGATCCACCAATTAATATCTGGAATTCTGAAGTAGTTGTAAGTATGCTGTATTATTACGAAAATTTTTACTTTTTTATCCATTATATTATAATATTATATTATATCTTAGGTTTATGAAGATGGACCTAGAATAGAAGCTGCCTTTAGAAAATATTTTCATCGTCCTGAACCAAGTCAAGAAAAAGATTCATATATTATTCTTGTTTGCCATGCAAACGTTATTAGATATTTTGTTTGCCGGTGATTAGTCATATAAAAATGATATTCGCAATATTATCATGTTTGCTGTCAGGCTCAAAAATATTGCATGATCGTACATTTAGAGCAAAAAAATCACAAGCATAGTAAACATATTAATATACAGAATTAATATATTTGCATTCTATGTTTTAGAGCATTGCAGTTTCCACCTGAAGGTTGGTTACGGTTAAATTTAAATCATGGAAGTATTACATGGATATCTATTCGTTCTAATGGGAGAGTAACACTAAGGAATTTAGGTGATAGCGGACATATGAAACCACAACTTATCTCATATTATTAAAACTGAATGCACAACTTAATTCTTTATTCAATAAATTTTATTTCAATAAAATTTAAATTATGTAATTTACAATAAGTAAAAGAAAAATATTTTTATTTATTCGTAGTTATTAATATTATAATTTCATCATAAAAAATTTCAAGGAGCATTTATTAAATATCAAAAATTATATATGAAATTTGAAATACTTTGAAAATTATGAATTATGTAATGCTATATTGTAATTATAATGAGTCATGATTTATTTCTGCACATAGAAATTTATATTCTATAATATTGATGAGACAGACGTTTTTCTGGAATATACTGTATTATTAATGCAATTTCTATACAATTTTATATCACAAATAATATATTAAAAAAAATTTTTTATATTCTATATTGTAAATGTATTTTTGTACAATTGCCGAAATTGTTTAATACTTGAGCACACACACATACACAATTTTCTCTTTTATACAATAATACAAATACCTTCTAATTACATTATATTATGCAAGTGATAACCTCATGGATTTCCTAGCATAATATCTTTGTAATGCTGCTTCAAATAGAGGCCCAACTGTTCTTTTTTCCCAAATTTTAGATCTCTCCCTCTTCTCTGCTTCTATTTTTTCTTTTACATTAATACTTGTTTTTTCAGTTTCATCATTTTTACCATTTTCTATTTTTTCAATATTTTTTGAATTTTCTATTTTGCTTTCAGCAAGACTTTTTTCATGTTTAGTATCTTCAGTTTGTTGCTTTTGTCTTTTAGCATTAGGTTCTACTTTTTCAGATTCGCTTTCAACATCTTCATGTTTTTCAGATACAACAGTTTTTGTTTCGTTTTTCCTTTTTTGATGAATTTCATTATCTGTATCACTATCTTCTTCTATTTTTCTTTGCCTATATTGTCTATTTTTTTTTATCTCTTTACTTTTAATCTGTTCTTTGTTTGTGACATCTATTTCTTTATTTACATTTTCTGAATTATTATCTAAATCAGTTTTATAATCGTCTGTATTATTTTTAGTTTCAGATTTTTCTGAAGACTGAACAGTCTGCTCATACAAATGTCTATAAAATCCTGAAATATCTTGTTGTTTTCTGACATCTGCTATAGCTTCTAATCTATCAATTTTATTTTCCTCTTCTTCCATTTTCTTGAATTCTTCTAATTTTGCTCTATATGCAGAAGTAACAAAACTTTCTTTGTCTGCATACATTGTTCCTTCTGCTTCACGTTCTTTTTGAACCATTCTTTCTATTCTGTATTCCTCCTCCTTCTTTCTTCGTTCAGCAGCTTTTAAAAGATTTTGAATATACCTTGGCTTCTTTTTCTCATCTTTTGCAGTTTTAGACTGATCTTTTGTTCTTTCCATGTCATCGTATACTTCATCATATTGAAATATTGTTGGGTCTTCCTTCAAAGCCTTTTGCATATTTAATCTTACTTGCTTCTTTAATTTATTTTTTTCTCCCTCTGCTTGAAGAGCTTTTTTAACCCAATCTGTACCATCTTCTTCATCCGAATCATTATTGTCACCAAATACATTATTTACTTTTGGAGCAATACGTTGTTGCTTTTTAGGTAAAATCAAACCATATCTGAAATTTTTTGTAATCATTAGTAGTTTTCTTATCTTGCTACTTTCTTTAGCTTGCTACTAATATTTTAGATAACTTACTGTTTTTCTTCTTTGTTGTTAGACATTGCTCGATGTATTATTTATTAGAGTCTTATCAAATTTGCATCTCACAAGCAACCAAATAAATTTCTCAAATGCAAGATCATAACCTATCTTCGACAATTATTTTTAAAAATAAGTTCCAATAAAAGAGGGAAAGCTATACCTAACAAAAGATAAGAAAACAATATTGATTGAACAATAAATTTAATGTGTATTTGTAAAAAACTTTAAAATATTATTTGTAAAAAATTTTAAAATATTTGGAATAAATGAACATGCACTTGATTTCACCTTTCATTCGGTATTAGTTTTCGAATCTACTTCGTATTATTTCTAAATGTCATTTAATTATAAATTTCATAAGTTGTAAATTTTTAAAATTTCAAAGTTATAAATCTTTTATTGTCAACCCAACAAGCAATGAATTACCAATCACAAATTATTTCAACTATGCATATCTACATGTATGTATTTCAGAAAAAAAAGAGAAAGCGGGAAATTATCATTATCAAAAGTATTATTTATAACATGGTATGTAGATATGTAAAACTGAAATACTTGTACTAAACAAATATCTTTATAATTTGAGTTTGTGTAATTTTTATAAGAAATTGTTCCAAAATATATATATGTAATATACAAAATAATGTATTAATAAATGTTTTTATTCGTAATGGAAAAATGCCTTTGTTTAATGAGAATGTGGTATAAAGAGATATATATATATATATACACGTGTATATATATTAATAAGAACGATGAATGTAGATATTATATATATATATATATATATACACATACATACACATACATACACATGCATACATCGCTTTTTCCTACCCTACTCTGCCTACACTCGCTCTTGCGGATTTGCAGACGTCATCAGTCTTCAATATCTAAGTTATATTGACATTTTATACTGATTGTGTGAATTGTCTCATTGAAATAAAAAAATTTGTAATATTTTTACGTTAATAAACATTCAAATATGGTACACGTAGGTACAATCTGTAACACAGTGCCGTTTTTTTTCTTACTCATTGGAGTTATTAATGGTTTTGTTATAAATTCTGAGAACAAACTAGATGAAGATTTTATCATTCCACATTACACACATTATGAAGAGCTTCAACAGTTGTTTAATTTACTGGTTCTGAAATACCCAAATTTGGCCAAAGTGATTTCTATAGGAAAATCTGTGGAAGGTAGAGATCTGTTGGTTCTTGAAATTTCTGAAAATGTTAAAGAACGGAAACTATGTGAGCCAATGGTGAAATATGTTGCTAATATGCATGGTGATGAAGCTGTTGGTAGAGAGTTATTAGTTTATCTTGCTCAATATCTTTTGAATAATTATGGGAAAGATGAAAGAGTTACAAAATTAGTGAATAACACTGATATCTATCTTATGCCATCAATGAATCCTGATGGTTTTGAAAAATCAGTGGTAACATTCTTATTTTTTATTTTATTTTTTTCTACATCTATATTTTCCATTTTCTATAAATCCATATACATTGGTTTAATGTACTTTTGAACTTTTAGGAAGGGAACTGTAATTCCAAGAGAGATTTTTCAGGCCGTGAAAATGCGAATCATGTTGATTTAAATAGAAATTTTCCAGATCAATTTTACAAAAGAACTAATTATCTTCAAAAAGGAGGCAGTATATTGGATGGACGGCAAAATGAAACAGTAGCTATGATGACTTGGATTGCTACAGAGCCATTTGTATTGTCGGGAAATCTTCATGGAGGGGCTGTTGTAGCAAGTTATCCCTATGATTCTGGGTAATATAATGTAATAAATATATTCATATAATATAATATAATAAATAACTATAATATATTTATGAAAATTTTATTATATATGTAGTAATAAATGTAAAATCATATAATGTTTCATCAGTCATACACTGATTTTTAGCAGTGCACTTCCTTGTTGCGTTGAAAGTAAAAGTCCAGACGATGAGTTATTCAAATATTTAGCACACACGTATGCAGACAATCATCCACAAATGCGTACAGGTAATGCATGCAGTCATGATGTTTTTCAAGGAGGTGTTATCAATGGTGCATATTGGTAAGCACATTTTGATTTCTTGTTTTCGAAAAGTATCACTTGTAAAAGAAAGTTGCTAAATTTTATTTCTTTTTTACTAATTTTATTTCTTTAGGTATGAAGTTATTGGAGGAATGCAAGACTTTAATTACGCTCGTTCTAATGCATTTGAAATAACATTTGAGCTTAGTTGTTGTAAATATCCAACTGCTTCAAATATGCCAAAATATTGGAGATTAAATAAGGAATCCCTTATAAAATATCTTGAGCAAGCCCATATTGGAGTAAAAGGTTCCTAAATATTTATTAATATAATTATTTATGTGGTATATATTAATTTGTATTTTATAATTTCAGGTCTTGTAAGAGATACAAATGGTGAACCAATAGAAGCAGCTACTATCATTGTGCATGGAATTAACCATAATGTATCCACTACACATCGTGGAGAATATTGGCGTTTGTTACTACCCGGAACTTATAATATTCATGCAGAAGCATGGGGGTGAGTATAGATCTAGATAATGTAGTAGTGAAACTATTTTATTTAACAAAATCTGATTATGTAATTTTACATAAGATATTACATATTTACATATGTAATTCTTTATGATTTTAGATATCGTCCAAGTGAACAAATAAATGTCACAGTAATATCAGGTGAACCGTCTATTGTCAATTTCACTTTAACACAGGACACTTATGATGATCAAGGTAATCAAGAAGTACCTTTTGTTCATATGCTTCCACTTCCTGATCAATATCTTGCACTGTATAAATTAGTACCATCCTATGATGATATGAATTACTAGTTACATTGTTATATATATATTAAAATATTATTCTTGTTTTTTTTTTTTATTTTTTCGTGAAATTGAAACTGAAAACGAAATTATTATTTTTTATGTTTACATATAAATTTATCATTTTTTTTTAGTGAACTAGTGATTAGAATTGTTTTATCATGATAATTTTCATTTTACAGCACTGCTATGATTATACTATTATATCACAAGAGTATTTGATACTGTTATTTCCATACATGTTATTATTGTTTATCTTCTTGTTAATACAAACAAGTATAAAAAAGATACACACAAGGTATGGAGAAAAAGATCAAATTTTCTGATTCGCAGAAAAATCATAATTTACATTAAAAACTTATTTGTGGAATATGGTAATTGGAGCATAAAGATACACAAACATAATTTTTTAAATCGGTTTTATTATTTTTATATTTTTATATTTATATTATTTCTTATTTGTTTTTTACATTTATTTGTTCTATATTGAATATGGGAAAAAATAAATGCAAAAGCATTAGAGCTTTATAGAGAAATGTTATATCAGTTATATATAGAAAAAAAAAATAATAAGCTTATAATTTTAAATAATTGGTCTAAATGTTTTGTAAATATAAAATCATATGTATTGTAAGAATCAAACATTACTGCATACCAAAAACATATCTTCCTATAACACTCATATTTTTTAGCTGAATAATTTTTATGTTATTGAACAAATGGTTAATAGAGATTTATTTTTTATTTGAATGCTCTCTTTTATATTAAACAGTTACAAGTTATAACAATTACAAGCTCTCTTTTATATTAATGAATAGTTGCAAAAACAAATAACGCGATAAAGTTTTTAAAAGTAATTATAAACATTTCATTTTAGTATTTTTTTTAAATTTCATATGTTCATATGTTAAATATTTATTTAAAGATACATGTTACGAAAATTAATGAAAATTAAATTTTATAAAGTCGAAAAGTTATAAATTAGAAATAAAAAGTTTATTTTATTTAGTTAAATTTAAAAAATATAATAATCTTATTTTTATGAAATGAACAAAATATATAAAAAAATATATGAATTATGAAAAATATATCTAAACATTTTTAGTATGCAATATAAATGTCTATTATGTAATTTTGTTAATATTAACAAAAATATGTAAAACAATGAGTGATGTTTATAATTATATTTGTAATTTGATGTATAGTATAATATAATCAAATTAAATGTATAATATTTAAAAAATTAAAAAAAATAAAGTATTATATTTGTTTCAAATAGTGAGTTAGTTTTCTTAAATATTTTCCAGCCTTCTCCTATATTTTTCATCCATCAAGTAGTAGTGTAACATTTTAAATATTATTATAATATATTATTTTCTACTTTGTTTATTATGTTCTCTATACCTTGTGTTGTTTATAATAGTTGTTAATAATATTTTTGAAATTTTAAACTTCATGTTTTTAATGATTTATTTTTATTTTTCAATTTATATAAAAAATTTACCAAAGAAAATACACTCGCAGATATTTTTTGTTAAACTAGTAATTTTTATTTAAGACTTTATTTTTATAATCTTAATAAATTTTGGTAATTTTATTAATTAAAAAAAGTAATTAAAATTGGTAATTTTTATTGTAACATTATGTTAATTTATAGGAAAATTAAAATCAAATGAAGTCAAGGAATTTATCAGACCTATTGACAAGTATGGTTTTTTTCATAATACGGAATTCAAACACCATAATTACATAGCAATGGAAAATTACTTGAAGGAATTAAATTTAAATTATCCAAATATTACAAGACTTTATAGTATAGGAGAGTCTGTCAAAGGACGACAGTTATATGTTATGGAAGTAACAGAAAATCCTGGGAAGCATAGTCAAAATAAACCTGAATTAAAATATATAGGAAACATGCATGGAAATGAAGTTGTTGGTAGAGAAATTTTATTGTTGTTGTTAAAGTATCTTTGTGAAAATTTTGAAACTAATGAAAGAGTTACAAAAATATTAAAGAATGTGAGATTGCATGTAATGCCAAGTATGAATCCAGATGGTTACGAAATTTCTAAAGAAGGAACTATATATGGAGTTCGAGGAAGAGTAAATGCTAAAGGTGTTGATCTCAACAGAAATTTTCCTGATCAATATGAAACGAATGATGTATGAATTTTAATTTTAATTTTGTTTCATTTTTAATATATTTAGTACATTTTGTATGTTTATTTATTAGTTAATTTACCAATTTCATTAATTTTAATTATTAGTTATATTTTTATATTTTGCAGTATAATAAAGAGCAAGAACCTGAAACAAAAGCAGTAATGAATTGGATTGCAAGTATTCCATTTGTACTTTCTGCTAATTTTCATGGAGGAGCATTAGTAGCAAATTATCCATATGATAATGAACCAAAATCCGAATATAATATTGAAAATCTAAGTCCGGATGATAAAGTTTTTAAAGCTTTAGCATTAGCATATTCAAATGCTCATCCTTATATGCATCTTGGAGAACCATGTCCTTCATTTTCAAATGGACGAAATACAGTACAAAGTATGCTAGAGAAAAGTTTCCCAAATGGTATAACTAATGGGGCTGCTTGGTATTCTGTTAGTGGAGGCATGCAAGATTATAATTACATTCATAGTAATGATTTTGAAATTACAATAGAAATGGGATGTACAAAATTTCCAAATGCAACTCAATTACCAGAATATTGGTTAGAAAATAGAGAATCTCTTCTACGTCTAATTGAAATGGTATTCGTATATATTAGTATGTGTAACATGTTGTGAAAATAATTATTTCGTTTATTACAATTAAACATATTTATTTATAGTCTCGTAAAGGAATACATGGAGTAATACGTTCCTCAATTGGAAATCCTATACCTAATGCTAAAATATCTGTAGAAGGAATTAAGCATGATATCTATGCAGCTAATAATGGAGATTATTGGCGTCTTTTAGTTCCAGGCAAATACAATGTTACAGTTAGTGCGGTAGGATATGAATCTCAAATGCAAACTGTAACAATAATAGATGGTGTTAATATTGGAGAAGGAGAAGTAACACTGGATTTCACGTTAATGCGCGATGATCCTGAACATTGGTACTATATAATACATAATTTTATGATTTTTTTAAAGAATAGAAAATACTTTAATACAATTCTTATAAGCATTACAATTTCCAGAATAATGATACTTGTATATTATTGAATGTTAAAAAAGGATTGTATATGATAAGGAGTCGTAAAACTTTCATTTTATGAAGAAATTTAAAAGCTTCATGAAAGTAAATATTTTAATATGTTATAAAATATATAATAACTTTTATTTTATTATTTTATTTTATTTTATTTTATTTTTATAGAAACAGAACAGATTAGTAGAATGCTATAATAATTTAGTGTTTTTCCTTATCATTAAGTATTTAATAAATAAATTTTTTAATATACGTATTTGTTTTTTTATACTTCATACGAAAATATAAATTTTTGTTCCTTAAAATTTGACATACACATATTTGTACTTTATGTATTAATTTTTTTATTTTAGGTCATCTGCTTATGATTTTCGATTAATAGCAAATTTACAGAATATTTATTTAAAAAATGCTGAGTTAAGTGCTAGATTTAGTCAATTAGAAAATCATCAACCAAATATTGCAGAATTTCAAGCTGGGGAATCATTAATTAGTATGGTTATTCATTCCTTAAAAGTTACATATGATGTGAGTATATTATTTAAATAACATATATATATATAATGTATATTATGTTAAATTTTATTTTTTTGGATTATGAAAAATGTTTGAACAATTTGTTATTATATAGATGGGTGCACCTGAAGAAAATAAATATCGTATTGGTTTAATTGGAGGTTTATTTGCATCTCAACCAATGGGTAGAGAAATACTGTTACGATTAGCAACTCATATACTCATGGGAAATCAAATTGGAGATCCTCCTATACAGAGAATATTGAATAATTCTGTATTACATTTTGTGCCAGGCATAGATCCAGGTTTTGATAATATAATAAATGTTCAAGAATGTAATCCCATTGTAGATGATGAAATAGGCAAAAGACTATTATCACACAATAACAATGTAACTTCAAATAAATTGGATATGATTACCAATGCATTTAAAACAATGTTATCTAGTGAAGAATATGACGCGATAATAATATTAGAAAGTGGAGCACTTGAAATCGGGTAATGAAAATTTAATTTACTGCACAAATATATTAAAAGACAAAATCTAATTTAAAATAATATCTTATATTTTTATTTTATAGTTATACAGATGATAGTTTGAATGTGTATAAAACTCTAGCTAAAAATTATGAACATTTAATACAGAAGCGAACTTGCAATTTTTTCAACAATGATGTTAAAAAAGTACAGAAATATATACAAAATGAATATAAAATACCAGTAGTAAGTAATATAATGTTCATTAATGTAGTAAATAATTTTTTGTAATGTATTAAATAATTTATATAATTTGTTTATTATAATTTATTAATCTATATTTTATATATTTTTAGATAAGTATCAATATGGCTTGTTGTAAGTATCCACCTCCAGAATCTATTCCAACTATTTGGCGTGAAAATTTATTGCCCTTAAAACAACTTATTCAAAGCCTTACAACTGGTGTTCGAGCAATAGTAACAGATGTTGACTATGTTCCTTTAAGAGAAGCTGTAGTTACAATTGGAACCAATAGCTACCATGTCTCCAAAAACATGGCTTATTTCAAAATTATTCTTCTTCCTGGTGAATATTCATTAACATTTTTCTGTGAAGGTTATATAGAACAATCTATAAAGGTTCATGTAAGTGATCAAAGCATAACTGATCTTCACATTAAATTGACGAAACGTCATATAGAAAAAGCAAAATATCAAAACTACGACAATGATCAAGAAACATTAAATATTATAAATCAAGTTTTGATTGATTTGAATAATAAATACTCACAATTATCAACTTTACATACGATTAGTAAATCACAAACGGGTACTCGAATAATGTGTTTAGAAATTGGAACTGAAAATAATTACAAACGCATTGGCCGACCATCTATAGCTTTCGTAGCTGGTATTGCAAGTGGTGCACCTGTGACATCTAAAATTTTACTTCATTTTGCAACATATTTATTAGACCATTATCAAAAAGATACTAAAATTACAAATTATCTGGACAAATTTACAATATATATAGCACCAGATTTATCTCAAAATTCTAATGATAGTCAAACTTGCTCTTCATTTATTGTGGATAATTTGCAATTTCCCATTAATGATAGATTAAGTACTAAAGCAAGCACAATAATTAAATGGTTTGAAAATATTAACGCCGTATTAGCAATAAATTTGAATATTGGTTCACAACATATTGAAATTCCATTTGCGGGAAAACATGGAAAAATATTTAAACAAATGTATAATACCGATGATGATGATGTATTACAAGATTTAGCGTTGTTATATACAAAATATAATATTCATATGATTTCTAAAAATCCACAGTGTAATTACGATTTGAATGTATCTAATGGCATAATTCATGCTGGAATGGGCATAAGTGGTAAAAGAGAGCATTCTTTGATGGATTATCTTTATTTAAATACAAGTACTTTAATGTTGGATGTATATGTTACTTGTTGTAACACAGATGATTCAAGAAATATATGGGAAGATAATAAAGCTAGTTTATTAATAATGATAGAAAGGCTTAATGAAGGAATAAAAGGACATGTTCTTAATGAAAACAATGAACCGATTGAAAATGCTATTTTATCATACAATAAATCAATACATCATGTTAAAACTGGAACAAATGGGGCTTACTGGCTTTTATTTCAACCTGGTACTCACATTATAAGTGCTAGCGCATCCGGATATATTCAACAGACTAAGATGTTTATCTCACCAGATGTACATAGCGTTTCACGCTTAGTATTTAAATTAAAATATAACGACAACATTTTAGGAATGCCTAGAATTGTTTTCGTAATTCTCACAAGTAAGATGATCAATATTTTTCTAAAATGTACTTATAACGACATAAATCATAATATATTATTATAATAAATCATATTTTTACAGGTATTATATGTTTGACAATTCTTGCTTGTTCTATTTTTATTTGTACCAATTGTAAATCTTCTAAAAATTCACAAAAAAGTAATTGGAATAAATATACATTTAGTCTACTAAAAGGCGGTACAAGCTTTTTTGATGATGATGAAAAAGAAATTGAAATATTTAGAAGACCATTAAACGGTAAATATCTGAAATCTAAAATCTGAAAATAAAAAAAATTATACATATAAAAATATTTTAAATTTTTATATAAATTTTAGAAAATGTTCTATTACTTTTGAAAGTACTATTTATTAAAAATTTACAATCATTGAAAATTACATGACGCTACAGTCGCGTTGTTATAGTGTTGTAATTTTGAAATATTTATTAACATACTGATTGTATTATATTTTTTATAATTAATTTACATGTTTTTAGAATATATTCAAACTAATGAAGTTACAAAACCATATTTTGATGATGATAATATGTCAAGTTCGGAGGATGCCAGTGACTTAGAATTTATTAGACCAAGTACAGAATGGAAAGAAGAGACATCTAAAGAGCATGGATAATTCAGTATTCACTAATAAATAAAATATTTTGTTATTATACTTAAATTATGAAAATTAGACAAAAAATTATTACTAGAAAAGAAAGGATAACAATGTACTTAACAATAGAGTGTACTTTTGTTTACTTAATCAAATAATATTTAGTAATGATATTTATTACTCGGTAAACATGGTTACTACAAAATATTATTTTCTAAAATTTTTTTATCAATCTAGAGCATGATAAAAAAATCATTCAATATAAAAAAAACAATTGTACTTAAAGTAATATAAGGATAAAACAGAATTATATATGTGTAGCTAATATACTGTGTTCTATATTTTTATATGTGACACAAGATTAATATTTTGTATGTTATATATTTATATATGATTTTAAATTTAGTATAATAAATTGATGTAAATTTTTAAATATATAAAATATATCTTTTATGCATATTATCACATTTGTAAAATCATATTAAATTTATAAATATAAGGAACATTTTATGTACCTCCTACTGAGCTTTTAAAATATAGACAATTTTTTTATGAAAAAATATTAATTATAATATAATAAATTAATTATATGTTTATATTATTATAAATAATTTTGAATAAAAAAATATTATTTACTTAAGTGATTAAAGTGATCTTTTAAATTACTTAAGTATATTAATTTGTATAATAAGTATAAATTTAATTTAATAATAGGTCTATATATATATGTTGTATGTGTAATATTATTAATATAATAAATTTACGATTCTATAATTAGGAGATCTAATATATAATATCATTAAGTAATATTTATATAAATTTTATTTACAATAAAATTTTGATAAAGAATATATAAAGAAAGATATTAAATCTACATTTATACGATATTGAATTTACATTTTGTCCCACATTGCAAATTTGGTTAGGATGATGCAAGTTTTGAATGTTCATTATATGGTTTTTTTATTTTTGTATATAATTCTTAAAAGTAGGTAAGTGTTAGTTTTTTTGAGAGACAATTGATATTTATTAATTACAAATTTGAAATATCATTAGATCAAACTATATTTTACAGTGTGATACCATTGCGATACTGAAGTTTGAGTGAGTAAACTATTCGGGATTACAGGTAAAATAGGCGTTGCTGTAGAGTGAATCATACGAATTTAATGATAGTTAATGTGAATAGTATTTTGTATTATTTAATTAAGTTAAGATTATATACATTAACATCAATATAATTAACATCAATATAAAATATTTTATATGCGAATATATTCAAAAAATTATGTACATGGAAGTGAGTAAAAATTTGTACCAGACTTTCGAACACGTGATATTTATTTGACAATTTTTCTTTATCTTTTTCGTGCATTTGTGTAAAAATTTTTTGAAAATAATTTTAATATCTTTGGGTTAAGCTTTTCAAAGAAGTAAGTTTTATTGTACGATTTTTATATTTTTTTAAGTAACATATAGAAATTTTAAGATACACATACTTTACAATTTTTATCACTTTTTATTACTGTGTATTTTCAGATTTCATAAATAAAAAATGGCAAAGAGAATACAACCATCCTGGGTACCACCAGAAAGAAAGAACAGCTCGGTTCTTAGGTTATACAATAGTTTAACTAGAGAGAAAGAAATATTTATTCCACAATTTGGAAATCGTATATTATGGTATAGTTGTGGACCTACTGTTTATGATGCATCACATATGGGACATGCTAGGTATAAAATTGCATATAAAATTATATATTTTAAGAGTACATATCTTATTCAAATAGCTTATTTTTATATTATATTTATTTTTTTTATCATCTCTGTATTTTAGATCATATATATCTTTTGATATATTAAGGCGTGTGTTATCTGATTATTTTGGATATGATGTTTTATATGTGATGAATATTACTGATATAGATGATAAAATTATAAAAAGGGCTAGACAAAATTATTTATATGAGAAATATATAGAAGAGAATCATACTCTTGATGAAATTCTGGATGATGTGAAATATGTAATGTGTATTTTTGAAGATACAGTAAAGAGCACAAATGATGCAGATAAAAAATGCATGCTAGAAATAATGTTATCCAATGTGGAAAAAGCTATTGGAAATCTTGAAAATGCAGTAAAGCTCAAAGATGAGGCTAAAATAAAGGAATATCAAGAAGTACATATATATTTTTTCATATTCTTAGAATATAAGTTATAAGTTTATAAATAGTAATAATATTGATTTTATATTCACGACAATAATATTATTAATTTTATTTAATAATTTATCTAAAGATACTATCTTTGTAACTTCTATGGATACAGTTATTATTAAAAGTAGCACGAGATCCTTTGGCAGAATGGTTGGACAAAACAAAAGGAGCTACTATTACAGAACATTCAATTTTTACCAAATTGTCACAACATTGGGAAATGGAATTTCATAAGGATATGGATTCTCTAAATGTAATATTAAGTATATTTTCTTGATTTTAATTTTACATACTTATTAATTGTATTGAAAAATTTATAATGTTTTTTTTAGGTATTAAGGCCAAATGTTTTGACAAGAGTTAGTGAATACATACATGAAATTATAGCATTTACTGAAAAAATCATAGAAAATGGAGTTGCATATGAAAGTAATGGTTCTATATATTTTGATGTTGCTACTTTTGATAAACAGGATAAGCACCATTATGCTAAACTTGTCCCAGAAGCATATGGTGATACATCAAGTTTACAAGAAGGAGAAGGTAAAAATTCATTTTTTTTCTTTTTTTTGAGGAAATAATTGTATTAAATTTAAAATAAAAATGTTTTTATTAGGAGAGTTAAGTAATTCAAAGGTATCTGAAAAAAGATCACCAATTGATTTCGCGCTTTGGAAATGTTCAAAGGAAGGAGAACCTTGGTGGGAAAGTCCTTGGGGCAAAGGACGTCCAGGTTGGCATATAGAATGTTCAGTCATGGCATCTATAATTTGTGGAGAAAGTTTAGATATTCATACTGGAGGAATAGATTTAAAGTTTCCTCATCATGATAATGAAATAGCACAAGCAGAAGCATACTATAATAATTCTAATTGGGTTAGATATTTTCTTCATTCTGGTCATTTGACCATAGCAGGATGTAAAATGTCAAAATCGCTAAAAAATTTCATTACTATACAAGATGCATTAAAAAAACATTCAGCAAGACAACTTAGGCTTGCGTTTCTTTTGCATTCATGGAAGGATACATTAGATTATAGTGATGATACCATGCATATGGCCATTCAGTATGAAAAGTTTCTAAATGTAAATATATTTGTGTTATATAATATTTGATGAATTCTTAATATTCAATAATACAAAGTACGTAAAACTTTTTATTTGTATTATAGGAATTTTTTTTAAATGTAAAATGTAAAATTAGGTCTTTGGGTTCAGAGACAAACATTAATATTTTTGCTAAATGGACGAAGTCTGAGGTGGAATTAAATGAAAAATTTTATCATGCCAGAGATTTAATACATAATGCATTATGTGGTAAGTAAACATTTATAAATATTATGTATTGTAATTGTATGTTATATATATAATTTATTGTTATATGTTGAAATTTGATTGTAGACAATATTGATACAAGAAGTACGCTTGATGCGATTAGAGATCTTGTGACACATTGCAATATTTACATGAAAGAAATTAAACAACCAAATACATTATTGCTTAGAGATGTCGCAGTTTATATTACAAAAATGTTTACTATATTTGGTGTCATATCATCGCACGATAATATTGGTTTTCCAGTTGACAACAGTACCACGAATTTAAATGTACGTTTTATATATTTTTATTTCCCTTTTATTTATATCTTGAATTTTTATTCACGAATTTTATTAAAGATTGAAGAGATTGTTATCCCGTATCTCGAAATTTTGGCAAATTTCCGTGAAAAAGTTAGAAATCACGCTAAAGACTTAAAAGCTAGTAGCATTCTCGAGGAATGCGATACATTACGTGACGATATTTTACCAAATATTGGAGTTCGTTTGGAGGATAGCAATGAAAAAATTTGTAACATTAAATTGGTAAATAGAGAAGAACTATTAAAAGAGAAAATGCATAAGAAGCAAATGGAGTTGGAAAGAACGTTGGAAAAGGAAAGAAAAAAAGCGGAAGCTGCAGCAAAAGAAGCGCAGAAAAAGATTTCTCCTTCCGAGATGTTTAAGTTAGAGAAAAATAAATATTCTCAATTTAATAGCAATGTACGTAAATTTGTATAATAATGATGCATTCCTTTTTATAATACTTAAGGAATTGTTCTGTTTAGGGTATACCAACGCATTATATCGATGGTACAGAAATCAGTAAAGGACAGATGAAAAAGTTGCAGAAATTGCAGCAAGCGCAAGAGAAGAGATACAACGAATATCTTGCATCCATCAATGGTGTTTAAAATTTTTATCTATATAGTATTAATCTTGTGCATTGGAAAATTGATTATTCAAGAAAAATATCATTTTTCTAAAATATTTATTTTCACTTTTTTTTATCATTTCATTATTTATTAATTTATTACTGTTTATGAACGTAACTACATGATATTTATGTTTGCGTTTGTACAGTATTTAATTAAACAAATTTATTTTATTTTAGCACAATTTTCAATATTTTACTGCCCATTTATCGTTAAATGTATTTCTAATATTTCTAATCATATGAATTTCTAAATTACATAACAAATAAGTTTGATTTAATTTGGAAGACGTAATTATAAAAAGTTAATAAATTAAATCTCTTGATCAATTTTTTTGCTTTGCAAATGAAAATTGACTTTTTTGCAAATTTATAGACATCGAAATGTTAGCGCTGCATAGTGGTGAAATTAAAAAAATCTATTGTTATCCTTGTACATTAGTGTATTCCTTGTTTATCAATGATGTTGTCTAAGCGCTTTCCAGATCCGTTTAGATTTAAAAAGATAAAAAGAAATCTAATAGATGACAGCACATAACCATGCTTATAGATAAAGAGAGCAATAGTGTTTAATAAGGACAGTAAGAGTGAGTCTCAATTAGTTGTCTTATTACCGATACGTGGCGCTAGTATTTTGTGCCTATAAATCGAGGAAATTTTTATTTGCAAAAAGGAATTAAAGCGATTAATTTGTGAATCTTTGCAGTTTCTTTCATCTAATAACGCGTTCAACTTTGTTCTTATATTCCACTTAATTTATAAAATGAGTGATTTGAAAGGTTTGCAAATAAATCAAAGTACTCCCACTCCCAATAATTAAATATCATGAAGTTAAATTTAATTGTGAATTGTATTATACAGTGTTTTTCTTTAGAATGATCGTGTAAGTTAATTCTTTTAATGAAAATACAATTGATTTATCATTTACTTTTAATCTTTAATCATTTTTCTTTGTATTTTTCAAAAACTAGGATGAGCGAAATGTTGAGAACTTAAGAGAAATTTTGTTTCTTTATATTTAAAAAGCAAAATGTTAAGAACTTCAGAGAAATTTTATTTCTTTATATTTGAAAAGGGAGTTGTAAACAAACAAAGAATGAAAGAAGAACGTAAACAAAAAGGAAGAAAAAGAAAAACAAAGGAAAAAGTAAACGTCGTTAAAAGAATAACACTTGTAAATAATAAATGATCGTTAGTCGTAGGTCATTATATGTCTAGCACATCCATTGCCGCGCAAATTTATAGATTTAAGTCCCAAAATATTCACAAGAATAAGTGATGATATTGAACTTGAATTATAGTAACTTGAAATTGTGGCACGTTCATTGGAAATCTTTTAATAACTTACAAGTTACAAAGAGTTACGAGAACAAGTTGGGCGAGGAATTTTGAGAAACAGGAGGGCAGAGAAATTTTTATTTCTCCTCCTATGTTAGACAAACGTATCATCGTTTCAGAATCTGTCAACAATGAATTTAACAAAGTTTAACTAGCTAGAACTGTAGTTAACTAAAATTAAAACTCATAGATCTTACGATATCTATGGTGTTTCACGACAATTAACAATAATTTATTCATTAGTTAAGGATTCATCTGCAATTCAGTTTAAATATCGAATGACATAATTAAAGAGAATTGTGCGTAATTTATACTGGATTGCGCAGTTTCTAGTTTGATATCGTTTTTTAAACAATATAGTATAGTGTATATTAAGTAGAGAATATTTATTATAATATACATACTATATGCACTATAATATTTATAATAGTGTATATTAAATAGAGAATATTTCCGGATATTAATTTTAAAACAAAATGATATTAATTACCAGAAATTATCTAACAGCATGGATCCTAGTATGCAATATGAATATTGTAAATTAACCGATCAATAATTATTATTACATTTTTATCATTTCTTGAATCGATTTACGTTTGCACTGAAATTATTCAAGATGATTAGACGTAATTAGATCGAGTAATTACAACAGAAAAAAATATATACAAGTACAAAAGTTTATGGAAAATCAATCCTTGGTAGTGATGGTGGATTATTTTTGTCTATATTTCGAAAAATGATTTTCCCATTACAACAATCAGTAATTTAATAAATTTACAGTTCTATTAATTTATTGCAACAGTATAATTTATACAATTCGTGTAGTTTATATATTCATACTAGCTTTTGATTTATTATTAAAGAAGAATAAAATTACTCGTTGTTTCAAATCTAGTTTCAATTCCAACCACTACATATGTTGTGGTCTCGTTCTAGGCTAAATCGGTAACGGTGGGAATGATATGAAAATGGTAATCGGTTTTACGACCCCGGAAGTGCGCGATACAAAAATGTATTAAGTAGCGGTCTGCATTCAGTACATATTTTTTTAACAACGATTTGACACATTCTTCCAATTCACGGTGAAATTAGCGAGAATAGTTGAAAGATACTTTATCGACGTTAAACTGCCAGGCAGATAACATCGTTACTGCGTAACAGATAAAATTACGTTTCAGGATCGTGCAGAAATGTTTTGCGACACGTTGGCCATTGGATACAGCAGAGTCCTGAAACAAAATAAACTTCGCACCGTTTCCATCCAACCGGATGAATCTGACACGTGATGCTGTCCATTATTAAGGCATAATACCCCTTTCACAATGACGCGTGAGTCGGTGTGTGACAGCTTTATAAATGTAAAAGCGATATAATGCCCGACTTGCGGCGAACCAGACCGATATTCATCCCGCATTCAGAAACTGTGAAAACGCGCGGCGTGGCGCGGCGGGGCGAGACGAGAAGAGACGAGGCGGGAGAGGCAAACGGGTCGTGTATCATGCGCTTTTCCAACTCAGGAAAATACGGTTGTCTGATAATGTCTCGTATCAAAAACTTGACGGAATAATTAGAAAATATCTTTCTTTGCTTTCTGTATCTATCGTATTATCGTCGTGTCATTCGTACTTCCCTTTTTAAATAAAGAGCGTTCGTGCCCTTAATCGTCATTTCCTTTTGTACGAGTAATTTGCGCAAGAAAAATTGGAGCTAGTTAAAACGGGCAAACTAGAGAAAGACAAAGTGGAAGATACAAATTTATGATTCGAAACGAAATTACAAAATTCCCGTCATCCAGTGTATACTGGATTCTTTTCGTTGCGACGCGTGGAAAAAAAGGAAATGTGGAGACGCGAGAGAAAGAGAGGCAAACGAGACAGAGAAGGTGGAAGGGAAGAAATGAAAAAAATGAGTAAGTTGACGTTAACAATGCGTGACGGTTGGCGCAAAAAATATGCTCTCGAATATGAAGTCAAGAGCGGTAAAAAAGCAAACAGACTTTTCGCTCGAGTTCTTTTTTTTTCACTCGCTCTCTCTCTCTCTCTCTCTCTCTCTCTCTCTCTCTCTCTCTCTCTCTCTCTCTTTCCTCTTTCACACCTCATCTTTTTTTTTCCACTGATGGCGACGTGAATGAATACGTAAATTTTTTCGGAAAAAGTCCGATTTCCGCACCCCAAAGTCGAAAGGTCTCGATTCTTGATTGACACCTGAATGTTCTCGTATGCATATATAAAGCCACCCTCTTTCTCCGGTTTTCACCCTCCTTGTCGCTCCCCCGATACACGGTATCGTTTCGTTTGCCGGTTTCTCTCACTCACTGCGGAATCGGAGTTCGGTAACTGTTGTAATTTAACGAGCACCACTTTTCTCGCTCGTTTTACCAACCGTGTGTTCATACACACGTTTCTTTTTTTCCTTCTCCCGGTCTCTTTCACGCGCTTTCACTTCTTTTTTCCTTCTCTCTCTCTCTCTCTCTCTCTCTCTCTCTCTCTCTCTCTCGTCACTTCCGTAACGCCGCTGATCAGAATGCTTCAGAGTAACCGAACGACCGATAAAAGAACAAAAAAAAAAAGAAAAAGAGAAAAAATACATATAGAACGATGGAAAGATGAAACGCCATTGTATCGAGAGATCGACTTCGTTCGGTGAATTGAATCGCGTTAGCAAATTAGAATAGCACTGTGCACACTCTGTAATCTGAACGACCAGTAGTAGTACGTTATGTTGATCATTCGCAACGGTTTTCCTCGGATTCGTTGCGAACTGAATTTGTTGAAAACCGATTTCAATGGGACGATGATGAAATTAGTGGACGAAGGGGAGAATGGATTCTCCGGCTGAACTCGATCTCGCAGGAATATCGATAATATCCTACAAGTTTTCGATAAAAATAGAAACACAATAACTGTACCAATGATAATGAAAAATTGTCAATAATTCAAAACTGGCACAACGCGTTTTAAAGCGTGTAGCTTTTAAATCGTTCGTTCTTTTTCTCTCGAAAATGATTTTACATCGAATAATAGATGGAAAAGTGAAGGTATTTCTTCGCCAAAAATTGTCGAAATTATGTCTGTGGTACAGTTATGATCTTCACTGTAGATAAATTTCTAAAATATATTATATACTATAATGGAATTTTTTTATTTATTACACTATATATACTATATATATTATATACTATAATGGAATTTTATTATTTATTATACCATATATACTATACATATTATATACTACAATGGAATTTTATTATTTATTATACTATATATATTTTATTATACTATATATACTATACATATTATATATTATATATACTTTATTATACTATATATACTATACATATTATATACTATATATACTTTATTATACTATATATACTATGGATATTATATACTATATACTTTATTATACTATATATACTATACATATTATATAATATATATACTATATTAATTATATACTATATATATTATATACTATAAAATACATTATATATTATATAATGGATTATTCTGAGAATGTCGCGACACACTTGTTTGCTTCATTTAATTTGTGCCTCTCGGCGAAATTCAATGTTTCATCGATCAATGCAGGTATATACGTATCGCCTGGTAATAATAGATTAGAGGAGAAACGTCGATTCATTGGTATCGCGAGCGAATTCCGATGGCAGGAAGATAACTAGGAGGCAGACATAAATAATGTATTGTTCGGTATTCGAGGACAGGCAACGTAGAGCGTGTCAGCTTGTGTGGTATCGGGGTGCGTTGGAAGTGGGGTGGGCAGGAGGCCACGGAGCCCACTTTTATAACTCCATCGACGATTTTCAGCTACCCTCTCGTCG